AGTCTGAGCCGAGACAGTTGGTTATACTTCCTTTCTTTTGCATACGTTGGTCATTACATGGCCACTTTTGATCTTGATATTTACCTCGAATTTTTTAATCTTCTTGGGTTGCATCTGTATCTTGCCCCCTGTTACTTTTCTCACCACCGAGCGAGCTAGTTGGCTCCCTCGCCTTTCCATTTCTGGGCCTTTTGTTCTCAATGGTGGGTTCCCTATGCACTCCCATGCACGAGCCTCACTTCTCACACTTCCCTGCTTGTTTTATACCCTTTTTTCTTCTTTTGCTCTTCATCATCACCTCATACCCTTCTGTTTCTACATTTTGAAGCTCGGTGATGACCGATTGCATCCATTCCCCTGAGCCTGCTCCTAGTTGGACATGCTCAATTTTTGATGATAATGTTGCACATAGAGCACGTCGTTGCGTCTCATGATTTGACGATTCTCTGAATTCAAGTACTTCTCATGTCACAGTTTCTTTGATCTTTACGAATCTTCTAGTCCGTTATAGGAAATATGTCTCAACTTAATATCTCTTGATAGTTTATCTAGGAAATTGGGCATGAAAGTTTGCTACATAATGGGCAATCTTTTCGAGTCCACAAGTCCAAAACAGGTTCTTCTTTCTAAGACAGATAAGATATCTAAAAAGGCTGTGTGCATGCAAAACAGTCGCAAAGACACGCATCCAAACCAAGTATTGTATTGTAGTACAGTATTGCATGAAAAAGGCCGATCCAAAAGGGTTACACAGAAAGAAATGCGGAGATGGAAACCAGCCAAACCATACAGGTCAAAGGGAGACAAGAGACAGTACGCAGGAAGATCATGATTCGAACTCGACGATCTTGCTAATGACCTCGCCATCATGGTCAGTAGGCGAACCATGGCTCTTGGAGCTAGCAGCATTGTCGGAGGCTTTGCTTGGCCCAGAGTCTGTGTCTTCCTTCCCGTCCAGAAGGGATGTACTCTCATCCTTACCGCGGACGCTAAGAACTTCAGCTCCTTCAAGGAGATCACGGTCAGCATCGCGGACGACGCTGCGGCGTTCAGTGTCTGCGCCATATGCGCCCGCGCCCCAGCTGGAGATTCCGCCAGCCATGACGGCAGCGCTATTCTCACGGCGTGGGTAGTCCTCATCATCCTCTTCATCGTCTTCTTCCTCGCGGCCGAGGGCGTTCCGCTCCAGTTCGCGCTGGGCGTCGTCCATTCTCTTTTTGACTTCGGCTGCCATGCGGATCCCGTCTGTGACGATGTTGTCCAGTACGCCACGGAGGCCTTTGCCTGGAGGCACGATGCCACCTGAAGCACCAGCCACTGGGGCCGCCGAGGAGCCGGCGAGTCCGGAGGAACGGATGCTCCCGAGGTTGGAGAAGGTAGTGAGGTTGGAGGAGAGCGAGGAAGAGGCGGCAAGAGCGGCTGGGTGGGGATGGTCAGAGAGGTGGAAGGATTGAGGGAAGTAGGATTCGAAGAATTTCTCTAGGAGCTCGTCGGCGAGGACGACCATTCGAAAAGTGGGGAGTGTGATGTGCAGAGGGTTGTTGGGGTCGAGAGCTGGGTTGGCAGACTCTGATGCTGAGCGGTTATGGTCGTGACTGTCTGACTCGGCGGTGCTGGACTGTGCCGATTGGAGTATTGCGTCTGGTGCTGGAGACTTGTTGGACTTGGAGTCTCCCTCATCGATATCAATGAGATCCTCGTCTTCGTCATCGTCATCGTCACCGATAGCGAATGAGTCTAGCTTCTCCGTTGCTTCTTCTGTGGCATCTTGTTGAGCACCCTTTTGGTTCTCGGGGTGGCTGGGATCGGCATATTCGAAGCAGCGACGGATGAATGCACTGACACTACCAAGGAACTTCTCGTCGGTAGTGAGCGAATTCTCGGCAAGTTCGCGATCTCTGGGCGTATTCAGGTCCTCCACAGATTGAGTTGCAGTAACAGTGCCCTCAAATCCTCGTCGAGAAAGGAACAAAAGCGCCTCGGATATTTTGAGTATCCCTTCACGATCGACTTGGCCATTGCCATTGTCATCGTATAAGTCGAAGAAGTAGTTGATGTTGTTCATAATGTCAGGTGATCCCTTGAGACGCGCTAGACCATTCACGACATTCTGGAGGTTCAACCCTTCTTCAGGATCAGTGGCCCACTTGCGATAGAGTCGTTGCATGAACTCATGGTCAGCTGGCTGTCGGCGGTTCGCCCACAGTGCTGAATTTCCTGATGAAGATGCTTTCCTCGTTGGCCCAGGGGAATCAGCCACCGCCCACTTAGAGGTAGCAGCCAAAAACTCCCGGAAAGCATCATAGTCCATATGTGTAGGGCTGGGTCCAAGGCCTACACGGCCGATTTGTGTATCCGTAGGAGGGGCGAGCATTGAGAGGCGTTCGGATTTCTTCCTCTCTTGCCGCCTGCGTTCCTCCTCAATGACTCTCTGGTGCTGTTCCCATTGATACAGAGTTTCGTAGAAGCGGTCGTAGATTGTACCGAGGTCATCTATGCTCAGGCGCTTGCTCTCTGGGCCAAGATTGCGGATAGAAGTCCGCTTGGCAAAGGTCTCGATATTCTCCAACACAGCACCCTTATGCTTTTCACGCGTTTCAGTGATGGTACTGTGAGTGATGCCTGAGAATTCCTTGAAAGCAACCACCATCAACTCCTGAAATCGGGTAATGGCCCGGAGCTTGGGGTTCTCTGATCTCGGGTGGGCAGACTCATCCAAACGTGAGAAGTATGATTTCAAGACAGAAATGAAAGAACCATCATCCTGAGTCTCCAACAGCTCTTCGCCGTTGACCCGAAGAATGGCAAGACCAACCTGGAAGAGAACTTTCGGCCCTTCCAGGAAGAAAACATCCAAGACGCGGAAAGCAAAGACAAGAGGCATAGAATTGATATAGAGAGAAAGGAACCAGGGCAATGAGACCACAGAGAGTTGGACATCAGACTTGGTCAGGTGCTCCCAGAGAACCGGCATTGTTTTCTCAACCAATGACTCGAACACCTTCTGATCCAGCAGTGTGCCGTACATGGTTGTTGAATAATAACCGGGAAGGAGACGATCACATAAGACAGAGAGAAGGAAGAATGCCTGAGCCTCTGACATATAGCTGTTCAAGTTAGCGCTCACTCTCGGACTTGAGGATCTGAACATACATTAACAGTGCAGCAACCACAATATTCATGGCCTGGCAATACCCAATTTCTGCATTGGTCCAACTGTACGCAGTGAGGACTCGTCGTAAGCGGCCAATACCCTCTTCACTCTGGAAGCCAGGATATTCTGGCAGACTGCGGTTCAGGTCTTTCTCGATTTCGTCGATAGCAAGGGAGTCTTGCCCCTCAAACTTGGCCAATGTCTCCTGATATAATTTGGGAGACCGCAGACGAAGGAAGAAAGAGCCAGATGTAAGCTCCCAGATTTCTCCGCGCAAGCGGTTCGGTAAACCGACTCTAATGAGCTTGTGGAAGGTTGGCTGGCGGACCAGCGTAGCATTGCGGCCATTTTCTATAGATAATTAGTGACAGGTCCGTACACCAAGCCAAAATATAGATGTCTTTACCTCTGAAATATTCGCCCCACAGTCTCATCTTGCTGCGATCACGTAACTTGCGTGCATCGCCAGGATAGCGGAAAATCAAGCCCAGCCCCGCATCTGGGGGTTGACGGGCGTCGGCATCAGCACCTTCCTGGCCCTTTCCCTTTGCACCTGACAGCAAGTATTCCGAGTAGCAATCGTTGACGACAGTCCGAAGGCTTTCAACCTCTTTCATTCCTTCCCGCAGGCCTTTCTTCAATGTATCGCAGAATCGTTCGCAAGCCTGTCTGCTACCGACAAGTTGCAAGATGAGTCGCTGAGGTGCGAAGTTGGCTTCTTGCTGCTTGTTGAGCAGACCATTCCATGTTGTGAGCGCCAGGGAGAAGACATGGCTGGCGCTATGGAGACGCTCGACTCGTCGGATACACGATAGAGGAAGGATAAAACCATTGCCCGACGGACCAGTTCCATGAGTCTGGCCGGTCCACGTGGTTGAAGCACTTGCCGTAGCAGAGGAAACAAAGCTTGTCGGCTGAGTGGAAAAGCAGATAAACCGCTCACTCAGATGAAGGCGCCCCGTGTATCTATTTCCGGCCCGGTCAGCCTTGCGTGGCCCATCGCCTTGGTTAGCCGATGAATTCGGGAGCGGCAGAACGAGATCAGCAGTAATCTCTTGGAGTGGATTCTGGGAATCAGGGAGGCGGAATTGTTGGCGGAACAGCGAGGCCTTCGAGGGATTATGGTCGGCCGTGGATAGGGCGGGAATGTTGAAGTTGGCGGGATCAATCAGGCTCTGCGCCTTCTGAACGAAGGATGTCCACTGTAACATTGTGAGAAATAAAAGAGGGGACTTGGATCAGATTGTGGAGCTGGTATCCGATGATGTTGGGGTCGGAGCTACAGCTAGGCACTGTGAAGCAGATCCGGGCTAGGAATATGAAAGAAAGCCCATGCGTGGTTGTAATTGAAGCTTCAGGAGCATTGTACAAGACAAGTTATCCTTCACCGAGGGCTGAGCCTGCAAAACAAGAGGGCCAGGGCGGGTGATGTTGTCGGATCGACAAGAGGGGGAGGCCGTGATGACGACTTCACGTGACCAGCCCTATAAACAGCTTGGCAGAATAATGCGTTGGTAGTCCTGAGAACTATACAAACTGAAACCTTGGCTGAGTCTGATTGTCTATCGGTAGATCTAAATGCTACAGTTGAGGGCTATTGGTTGCAAAGAAAGTATTTGAACAAACAGTTGATTGATAAGGTGATACAAGGAAAATCGCTGTACAAGCTTGATATAACAATAGTAACTCAAAACAAAAGGTCATATTGCTGACCGGCACAAGAAATGGAATGAAAGCCCAGTCATGGGCAGTGATCTCGAAAAGAATAATTCAAACCCGTCCAGACGGGTGTTGGCCCCTGCTCTCCTGAGCAAACCCTAGTCACAGAACACCACTTGAAGTGGGTTTAGTTCTTGTCGAGGGATGCTCGGGTCTCAGATGGTTCCGTGTATTCGGGAAGCATCTCTTCGGAGTGGCGGGATTCGGCCATGAGGCCCTGCTTTTCGCATGCTTCGCCATGCTCCCAAGCAGCCTTGTGTTCGGGTGATTTGGTACCACGGTACCGTTGCCAGAGGAAGACCACAGCTTGACCGACCAGCATACCGACAGCGCTGGCGGTCAATCCAGCCAGGACGCCGAGAACAGCAGGAACAACGATGAAGTGGACAACGCGCGAGAATGTGCGGGCGAAGGCACCGTGGTGAGGAGAGTGGTGGTGATGCGGGCGGCCAGCATCAGAGCCAAAGCCGTGGCCATGGCCGTGGGGTCCGCCTGGACCAAACTCTTCGGGTTGAAAGTCTTCTTCGCCGAAAGATGGCGGCGGAGGGAAGGGCATACCGTCAAGGCCTCCTTCGTGGTGGCCGTGGGGACCATGGTGTTCCATCATCTTGGGCTTGTGCTTGCCGTGGCAGCCCTTGCGACCAGCCTTGGTCATGCCCATGACACGGGTTTTGGCGCCATCCAACAATCCACGAATGCGGGCAACCAGAAGCTCTTGCAGGCATTTGGCTTTTCCATGGCACTCCTTCCAGGAGACGCGGTCGGAGGCGGGTGTAGTCTTCTCAATCTCCGTCTTGGCGATGAACAGCTCGCCGTTGGGGTCTTGGAGAACGGTGATCGCCACAGTATCGACTGGAACGGGGTGGTTCTCCAGGTCGAGAACGGTAAAACGAACATCCAGTAGTTCGTAGCCGGGCTCATCGGATGGAGCGGCCATCGGCATGACCTCCAGAGCATAGCCAACAGGCATGGGCTCGGAGTCTTCGCCCTCATCGCTTTGTTGGATGGCATGAATGGGGCTGGGAGGAGTAGGAGGGAAGATTTGGCGGCCGTTGGCAAGCAGGCGGTTGTCTTCAACCGAGAAATCCAACATCTATTGAGTTGAGTTAGTTTCCTTGAATGTTGGGATGAAATGGATGAGACCACCTGAGCAGACTTACCAGGTGTGATGATTTATCCTCAGTCCAGCTGACAGTGCCTTCCTTGGTTTCACGGAAAGGGCACTCGGTGCAAGGCAAATCAACAGCCGCATGATGGACATCCTCCAGGAGCATTGGGTGGACATTCACGAATCCATCCTCGACGGATTCCATCTCGGGGACCACCAGTACAGCGCTGGCGCCTATAGCGGCAGCGCCCAGCAGAACAGAGCGGATAAACATGGTGAAAGCTTCTCAAAATGGATGTCTGAAGAAAGCTGTAAGATGAGGGAGCAAAAAGATGATAGTTATCTTGAGGGGCGAGGAGATAAGTCTAGTCTCCTTTCGGCAAGCAGTGGAGAAGGTGACGCCAGCTTCTGCGTGGCGCGTGTTCCCATTGGGCGGTGAACACACTTGCTGACTGGACGACTGGCGCCATCAAATGGAGTCCGCGCAACCCTCGATAAAAATAGTTTCCAGCTTGTGTACCTGGCATATATGCATACAGAAACATGATGGTGTATACCATACCCAGGTACATCGACATCCAGATATACAGGCCGGTCAGAGAACAACAACGACAGCGTATATCATCCCTGGAGGACAAAAACTCGAAATCGAAACTTCTGAAGATCAGATTAAAAAAAAGGTTTGTTATCGGCCCAAGCAGGGCTGTCTCGATAATGAGATAAAACAACAGACTTGGTACGATAGGTGAGGGGGGCAACAGATGTTGATGCAGAAGTGCTTTCGAAAAAGCAAGCTTGGGACCGGCATCAAATACATGCAAATCACAGGAGCAAGTGACAGCTTATATCGTACCCAGGAACACCGACATCCAGGTATAATCGCATCAAATTGCCAGTCACAGACAACGATAGGGCGTGTATGTTGTATGCAGATCAAATGCCAGGCAGACAACGGTGTCATTGCGTATATCATGCCCGGGAACTGAAACATCAAGGTATGCCGGGGTCGAATATATGCAAGTCACAGACAACAACAACAGTGACGGTGTATATCATTCCCCGAGAGGACCTAGGTAGGGATCAAATCGCCGGTCATAGACAACCATGGCGTCACGGCGTATATCATGCCCAGGAAAAAATGCATCGTACCCGGGAACTTCAGGCGTCCAGGTACAGCTGCATCAAATATACATGCAAGTCACAGAATCACGACAGTGACAGCGTATATCATATCATACTCAGAACAGAGGCAACGTACCCAGGAACTTCAGATATCCAGGTATAGCCGCATCAAATATACATGCAAGTCACAGAATCACGACAGTGACAGCGTATATAATATGACCAGGTATAAAGGCATCCAGGTATACGTTCAACAGAACTATATATACCGACTCGGACACAAACAAGTACTCTGACAATGGGGCCTTTTTTTTATTTTGATTTTTTTTCGACTCCGACAAAAAAATCAAACAGCACCCCGTAGGGTGAGCGAACAGAACAAGACACGGACTGTTACACAGGCATGGACTCAAAACACAAAACACACAAGCCCTCTGACAGGAAACTTGCTCTTGTGTTTTGTGTTTTCGAAAGAAGGGGGGAAGACCAAGACTCGAAAGGGAGCCTGACTCCCGGACATGCCCTCCCGGCTGACTGAACAGAAGTCCTTGTTGTGTTGTTATTGGCGGCGTGACCCGGGGACAAGGGGTGATGATCCTGTCACACGCGGGGACTTTGCCGATGTTGTTGTTGTTGGCTTAGCACTGGGCGAGGGGTGACAATCTCGACCCAGACATGTTGCCGATGTTGAATGTCCGATGACAAGTTGAGGACCGGGAGTTATCGCGTTTGCCCGTTCTTCCTCGCACCACACCACCACAAGATTCCACCAGTGCTTACCCGAGGGTACCACGGTCATCCGCGAGCCACCTCGTCACCCAGTAGTCAATCTTTTCCAGCCACGGCCATTCGCGAAAACGACTGTAGCGCAAGTGGTCAAGATGACAGATGTACTGCCTCTCGTAGCCCTTCCACTGGGTATAGTACGCGGTGTACTCAATGGCAACCAGGAGGGCTAGGACGAGAAGCAGACGGCTGGGGCAGTGGCGCCGAATCGATCCAAGGAATACGAGAATTGCTCTCGAAACCAGGGGAACGATAGGGGCCAAGGAGAACACCAGGCCTGGGGCCTTGATACGGGTCTCTTGCCAAACGGCCTGCAAGACAGCGAGGCTGAATCTCGCGAAGACCGGGACCACAAAGATTAGCACAGGCATCAGCACAGACATCAGGATGAGGATGCTCGCCATCGCATACCCGCTGACCTTAACCATCAGGTAATAGGCCATCAACAGGAATTTGAAGAGCAGAGACATCGATTGTCTGATAACCCCGGGGTAAGTGATCTCGGGCGACTCGACTGCGGCGACCATTGGAACAGGAACGGGTGGGGTCGAAACTGGGTGGTGAAGCCCGGAATCAACCGCCTGTGGACCGTTCACACTTGGCCCCAATGGCCACTGCTCGAATCGAGTGCGCACCGTGATCTTCCGAGGGTTATCATGGACATCCTGCAATCCGAACCCAAAGCGTCCTGGAACCACCGCACTGGTTCTGACACGGGAAATCGGATTGGCTGGCTGAGCCTGAGCCCGACGAATGTTCGCGAAGTCTTTAGCAAGTTCGACTTGCCGAATTCGCGCGGCAACAGGGACTTCCAGGGCGCCAGGGTCACGGACCGAGATAGCCTTATACACCGGGTAGGTGCGCGGGCCTGGACCGCGGTAGATTGGAGGACGCATGCGGCTCGCCACGCGATCCGCCGCCTGCCTCTTCCAACGCTCCTCGATCTTCGCTTGCTGAGCCAAAACTGACGCAATCGGGGCCTGCTCAACAATGGGAGCTGGCGCCACAATTGGATCAGTTGACGCAGCCATTGTGGAGTCAATCTGAGTCGGAGGTGGTGCAAAAGTAGCAGACAAACTAATGACTGCTGGCATCGTCCACAATGGCGTTGTCGGGATTGGGACGCGCACGTGGGATTTCACTGCCTTCACCCAGCGCTTTCTCGCATTGAGGTAACGAGGGCGACTTAAGGGGAGGGTCAGTTTGGTCCGCTTCACGTATAGATTCCCATCCCATGACTCTGCTGTGCGATTGTCGGGTTCCCAAAATCCGTACACTTGACGAGCCCGCTTCCTCTCCGGGGCGCTCAGAGCACTTGCCGCAGGGTCCAACACTCCGTTCCATCCTACGTGAGGACTTGGGGGAAGGAGGTCGATTGCAGGATCATCGGTCATCGTGACATCGATAATGGGAACTTCTCTCGGTTGGTGGAATTCTGTGGTGGTGGGTGCTTCGGCTAACGGCGCAGCACCGAAATCAGGAATGATGAAGTTGGTTTGTCGCTGTTCCTCATGTTGGAGGGCTCCAGTGATACCGGCAAGTGTCTCTTCAGAAAGCATCCCCAAACCGTAGCCTGAGCCAGGGGCCATGTCAAATGGAGCGTTGGTGGTCTCCGTGTTGGCGTCATGAGTCGCGGTCTGGAACATGGGCTGAGCCATTTCGCTAGTCATGATGTTGCTTGACGTTGGCTTGGCATTCTCTGGGGCGTCGGGCATGGGGGACTCCTTTAAAGGCACTCCTAGCTCGTAGTCCTCATTGTATGGGACGTTATGGGCTTCACACCAATCGACTCGCTGAAAGCCTTCCTCTGCTGCAAAGAATTGAAGGTCAAGACTATCAAATTCCGAGTCGCAGAACGGGATTGGAGGTTCAGGTGTCCGTGGCTGAATGTTGGTGGCTAGGGTGTCGGTGACTTCGTTATTCGTGATTGCGGGCTGGACCGCGGAGGGGGTGTTGGCGAATTTGCTCTCGGTGGTTGCAGAAGGAGCTGCGGAGAGCGCGTTGCTGAGTGTTCTCTTCGTCATTGTAGGCAGTGTGACGGGAAAGTTCAGATCTTGAATACTGAACCGGGGCGACACATGAGCACGATCGTGATGTTTAGGGAGATTGTCGGTCGAATCTTGGCCTCGTGGGTAGGGGTTGGTCATAGTACGCTCAAACCCGTTTATCTTGTCAGACACGACGGACATCATTTCGTTCAGATGTGAGAGTGCCTCTGCCATACGGCCAAAACATGCGGCTTTGCGGCTTTCGGTTGCCTGCATTGCGGCATGCAAATTGGACCAGTCTTCTTTCTCCAGCTTGACCAGTTTCTTATGCTCAAGGAGATCGGTATTGGCATCGTCCAGGTCTCTCTCCAAGTCCAAGATACGGGACTCCATATCAATCATTTGCTGGTGATAGGACTCGCTCCGCTTCTGAGCAAGGACACTTATCCTGGCGTTCTCAGAATTGACTTCGGCGAGGCGAATCTCCAGCAAGGAGATGTGTTCTTCGCGAGCCTCGGTGGTTGCGGATTGTTGAGCAACGTTGGTGCGGAGGCGCTTGGCGTTGTCGGTGGACTCTTCGATGGACTTCTCTTGGAGGTCAATCATAAACTCGGCTTCATTGAGCTGGGCCTGTTGGGTTGCAATCTGTCGCTGTAGCTGGTAGGAATTAGCTTCTGCATTCTTGATTGCTTCCCGTGCCTGAGACACAGCGGCCTGGGTGAGTGCTTGTTGGAGTGTTACCTGATCGCGGTTTTCAGCCGGGCTAGCCGTGGGAACCAAACGGGTCAGGTTCACCCCACTCCCGTGCGGAGGAGTGTGGCTTGGTGCTGAGGGAGACGAGTTGAAGGGGGTAGGGGCGTACAGTGCCGGGTCGATCAGGGCCGGGTCGATGGGGATGCCATCGTCGACAACCTTGCGGCGAGGAACACGCTTGCCCATGATTGCGGGAAGATGGGGGGGGGGGTGGGTAGAAGGGTGGAATTTTATGGGATAGAAGGGTTGAAGGGTATGGGATAAAAGGGTTGAAGAGTATGATGGTAAGAAGCTTGCGAGAATCCTTTTGTCACAAGTGGAAGCAATGCAACGCGCGTGGTGGATAAAAAAGCAAGCTTGAGGGCAAAGGTAAACCAATGAGGTGAGGAGAAAAGAAAGGAAGAAAGGGAAAGTGGGAAAAGAGCGAAGAAATAGGTAGTCCTCGATCACTTTAGGAAGGAACTCAAGACGTGCTGCCTGGCCGACTTGGTTGGATGAATGGACAGCCAACTCCATGTCTTTGTTCGACTACCCTATCTATTGTCTAATAAAACAATACTCATTGATCATCAGCCTGTGGACAAAGGCATGAATCAACGGCCTTTCAGTCAACCTTTGCACCAGGGCCGGTTCTTTTGTGTTTGACACTCGTATTTTACGTAACCTGAATAGACAGCACTCGTTCAAGATGCCAATTGAAATGCCTGCATTGGACTGTTGCTCAGCCGTGTATCCTTGTAGGTACATATCTGCATTATGTTCTATCAGGATTTAGTCTAATTGATCATAAATGTCTCTCATCGACCGGGGATGTGCAGCTAAGAATAACGTTCGAATAGACTCGAGTGTGGAGGTCGGGTGGATCTGCGGTACCCGTCTTGGCGTGCAGGCCGGCATGCCGAGCCGCATACACTCTCCGATCTTTATCTCCGTCTCTACGTCATGGCCTCTACCACATTTTCGGCATGACATTCTCTCCTGTTCTAAAATGTCATGGGGATGGAAATAATTGAGTGGATGACAACCGAGGCTACTTGGCTGATCACCATCGAAATCGCTGTCACGGCCACCGCCAGTACCAACGAGACAATCGCTAAGCTGCTACTCCCGTTGTGCTAAGCCTTCCATTGCTAACCAAAACGATGATATTATCAAGACGCCGCATTTGTTTACTGCATGGCACTGCGGACTGGCATGCCGCGAGCCACGATCCCAATACGAGAGACTTGGAGAACCACACGAGACACAGTAACATTGCTGGAATTGACGCAAATTCAGCTTACAAGCATGTCTTACGGCAACCTCGAGCGCTTCTCTGGATTGCAAATATAAAGAAAGCCGTCACTATTTCGGCAAGCTGCCACCAATCGTGAGGGACAAAGAAGACAAAGGAGCGGTATCGAGGGCATTCTCAAGGCATTGTGCGGCAAAAAAAGACGTCGGGGCACCCAGAAGAGCAGATATTTCATATTTTCACGCTTCTTTCATTGCGGCTACTGGTGGTTATGAAGTCGAAGGCCCTCACAGCGCTGTGTCCCGCAGGAGCCTAGCCCGTCGAGAAAGCCGTCTTGAAAAGCCATGGTGAAGTCTTCAAGGATCTGGCCAGTTCACCATTCAAATCGAGCATACAATCACACACAATTCACCAGTTTCCAGGTGTGTCTCCTGGTAAACAGCTTCCAGCAGACTCAGAAAGCCATGGTGTATACACATATTACGAGAACGAGCCATTCAACAGGACCTTGCTCGATTCATCTTGATTTCTGACGCATGGATGGTACTTTAATGAAATTCAAAATACCATGGCAGTATCAAGTTTCCAGGTCCTATTCCAATTCCTATATCCAAGCCAGCTAGCGGCTCTGGAATCACACCTCGTACTCCTGTTAGCCAGAAATGGTGGACAGAAGGGGTCGGAGGCTGAGTAATCGGGACAAGGCTTCCTCTAGAGCAGACTATGTGCTTACATCAAGTCGGTAGATATCTTACTACATGAAATATTGTTGTTGAATTGTATCGATTCATTGCTCTATCAAGTGTGAAGACTCGGATGCCAATATCGTAAGAACAGGAGTGTGGATAGAAATGGGACCAGGTCATTATCTTCTCGTTTTTGTCCATTATCTGTCTCTTGTAAGATCCACGTAATCGAAGTCTCTCCTCGTATCGAAAAGAGCCTCGAGCAAGGAAATCCCTTAGAAATCAGAGCGGACGGAGATAGGATCCTGCATCCGAGGCTTGGTCAGCCCAGTGTCAGTCTAAATGTGAATTCCTGCGATGAAAGGTTGCCCCGAGGGTATCTCAGGACAACTGACCACCAGCCATTCTCTGTATTTGATTATGGGCTCCAAGTGGGACCGATTGAAATCTTGGGCTTTGTATTCGAGTGCGTTGTCACCATGCAAGAGAAAGCAGCTATCATATCATCTCTTCAATGGCACGGTCGTTGGTATGGATTCAACCAAACCAAGGGATTATGCAGCAACGTAGACCATTTCGCTTTAGTTGGTGCTGTCAGTCGATGGCACTAATTACAATTGTCTGGTGAATATTGCGTAAGGCCTTCGAAGGAAACAATCCCAGCACTGGCCACTCTTTTGTATTCTCGCTCCCTGTTCTCGCTTTATTCCGTCTTGCCGTGGATATCATGCATGTCCCGGCGTGAGAATCTCGTAATCGGCGGTCGTCGGGATGGGAAGGGATCGTTTAGTGCGATCTCTTGGTAAGAGTACACTGTGCGTCTGACTATTGTATGTCATAGGTAAACAACATGTGTCACTGGCGTGAGTAGGGCCTGTATCTCAGCTTACCTGACTGGTAGCGCAGCTGGTGAGGAGACAGACCAACATCAGAATGGAGTGCTGGAGTGCGGGTCAACTTGACTTGGCGAAACTGCTGGGCTTTATAGATCAGCAATCAGGCGAGACTCAAACATTGGGGTCAGGGACGCCAGAGGCGCAATTGCGGCTAAGGTACAAATTCCGACTCAAGCCAGATCAGAAGATCGGTGAGGGAGAACGAGTCGATTCTAGCATCTCGTCTGTATGAGCGCTTGGTCCGCGCTCGGACGACTGGTATGGCCTGTAGCAAGCCACTGACATAGTAGAAGGACATGAGGAAGAGAGTCGTGGTGCTTTGGTCACACTTTGCAAGAGTACCTAACATGGCTCCAGTCCCAGGTTATTGACCAAATATGGACCAGTTTATGGCTGGTTCAATTTGCGAGTGCTCAGGCTTCGATCGCTACTGGCAGGCTTACTTCTACAGACTCAGATTCTCCGTGGAACTACATGCGATACTATTATGATATTATGACCAAAGAGCATATCACAGAAACGGTTATCTGTGGGGATCGATGGATAATTATACAAGTGGGTCTCCGATTGGTCCCTTGCAGGAATATATATCCAAGACGAGAGACAGCCTGCATTTGTGACAAGGTAACTCGAGAGGCCAGCAAGACTTAAATCAATAGGACTGTGCTACGGGAATGGAATTGCCACAGTAATATATATAAGTGGCGCTCTCGAACGCATGTCTCATAGACATGAGAGAAATTAAATTTATATCAAAAGACCTCCGTTGTATTTGCAAACCACAGTAGATTCACAAAGTAAGTCCAGGCAAGCCCGAAAAGCCTCAATCTATAATCTGATATATGATCCACATCCATACACTCAAAGCTTAGACCCCTTCTTGCCCGTCACATTGGGCACCTCATCCCCAGAAAGCAAGAAGTCCGGGTAAGACAGCTTACCACCAGAGGCACCGCCCGCCGACATGCGCCAATTTGCGCCATCGACTGTTATGCATTAGCACTTGCCTCCAAACATGGTCTATTGTAATATGATAGCTCACCAACGAGTGTCTGTCCAGTAACGTAGCTGCCAGTGTCCGAGAAGAGATAGACTGTAGCATCGGCGATGTCACGGACGTGTCCAAAGCGGCCCAGCGGCTGGGCCTTGGTATAGGCTTCCACGGCATCTGATGGGAGAAGGCGTTCCAGGCCCTAGAAAGAATGGTTACTTCAGATACTTGGAGACTGAGGTCGGACGCCTATTTACCTCGGTCTGCGCGATAGGTCCGGGTGCGATAATGTTAGAAGTCATGCCACGAGGACCATACTCGATGGCAATGCTGTGGGACAGGGCGTCAATGCCGGCTTTGGCGACTGACACGTGGGTCTGGAAGGGCAATCCCCGGTAGTGAATGGTAGCGCTAACGAAGATAATTCTACCGCCCGTGCCAATTGGTGATGGCTTGACTGAGGGGCTATTAGGAACAGGATTCGCAAAATGTCGGTCGACTTGTGTGATGATTCACTCACGAGACTTGGAGTCCATTCTGTGTTTCTTTCCTGACTCCTTCAAGTATGGCAGGGTAGCCTTCAGGGTGTTGTAAGATCCCAGGACATCAATATCCATGACTGACTTGAAGGCGTTGGCTGATAGTTGCTCGATGGAGGCGAGGAAGTTGCCCGCCGCTCCAGCACTGTCGAGGATTATTAGCACAAGAATCGAAATGACACTTCAGCTGGTGGTTGGTGTACATGACAAAATCAATGCCTCCAAGCTCTTTGACACAGCGCTCGACCGCTTGCTGCAAGTTGTCGAGCTTGCGCACGTCCACAGAGCCAATGCCGATAACCTTGGCACCGGGCCGGGCAGTCGCAATGTCCTGAGCGACACGCTCGGTCTTCTCTACATTGCGACCTATGATACAGGCGTTGGCGCCGAGATGGACTAAAGCCCGAACTTGGGCGCTGCAGATGGTGCCGGCGCCACCGGTGCAAAACACCACCTTGTTTGCTGCGTCTGTTAGCGTGGTTATGGGACAGAGGTCTCGACTACTCACCGAAGATCCCATCCTTCCAGGAGTTGCTCAGATATTCTTCTTTAGGCAGCGGCATTATGAATGTTGGAAAGAGTAGATTCGAGAAGGTGGGGAGAGAAAGTGAATCTAAAGGAGGTCCGTTGATGATACACCGTCGCGTTTTCCCCACAGTTGGGTTGGACCTCGGCTTATCGGGGTCAAGTATGCCCGCAAGGATTAGTGATACACCAAACACAGGGTTATCATAAGTATTTACTGTGTTGAGCAGCATTAGAGCTAGAGGCGATCAAGCTATGCTCGAATAATTAATTCATGTCTCTATGTATCGGGGCAGACACTAGTATACATGTAACTCTAGTGTGGACTCTGTGGCTGTAGATCTGCAGATACTCCCCGAATCCAACGTCTTTCCACTATAAAATTGAAGCCAGGATAGACAATCTGCCTCATTCATTGTATACAAACCACTCGAAGTACACAAAACAAACGCCGATTTCCCTCTCAGCAGGATGAAGAACACCGCAACGCTGATTGGCTGGCGCGTTGGCTGACCGCGACGTCACCGAAAAATAACTCGTTCAGTTCTCGACGCCCCCGAATCACCTCAACGATCCCCATTTCTCATCCACAGCGAGCCTTTGCACATTGCAATCTCACCATGGCGTGCCCTATCAGCATCACCAAGTTCGTCGGCACCGTCTCCCTCGGTCTTCTTACCGTACGTCAAACCCCCAACCATACAATCCAACACCCAATACTAACTCCCACAGGGTCTCTCCTACTCAACCTCCGCAATCACAATCCCAGCCCTCCAACTCCTCCCCACAGCGACAAGCGCCGCAGCCTCCCTAAACGAGGTCAAGCGCCTAAGCCGCCGATACGCCCTACGCCTCTCCTTCCTAACAAACAGCTGCTTCTGCTTCGCATGGTGCCTTTCATCACCACGTCGCCGACACCCATACATGATCTGGCTATGCACATTCTCCGCTGTCGCTGCCCACGGCGTTGACTTCTGGTTCAACCGTCACCTGGGCTTCAAGAACTGGGCCTCCGCTGTCATCCGCGACGTCTCGCATTTTCTTTGGTCCGGGACTCGGCTACGAAGAAGGACGAGGATCTTGTCGTTGTCGAGGCCGAGAGTGATCTGAATGGTGAGACTGTCCAGCGGGAGATGGAGCGCGAGCGCCGTTTGCACCGGGCGCGCGCTTGGTTGTCGGGTATTGCGCTTTCGATTGGTATTGTTGGGCTGTGGGGGGACCGGAAGTGAGAATGGTCTGAGACTGTAGGATCTTTTTTTTGTCATAATATTATGGGGTTTTCTTGGGATAGGGATACACTGGTTGTTGTCTCCTTGCCTTTTTTCTTGTCAGATGCTTTTGGGGTGCTGTTTCTTTGGCTTTGACAAAAGGAATGAATACTTTTCATGTCTTCTTGTGCACTTCGGTTTCTTGTACATGATGAAATCAACGTCAAAACTTCGATATTCAGTGCCAATCTGGTGACGATATGACCTGGTTTGTTGTAGACTCAACTCCCGTGAACTCTGAATATCCGAGGTATACATACCTAGCAGCCAATCGAGTCACGCGAAATGAAGCTTACCGCGTGTATCTCTGGGGATGTGGCGGTGGGGGTGGGGGTGGACCGGGGGATCGACACCCCAATTCTTGAGTTTCTACGGAGTACACGATCCCTATAAAAGAGCCAGAGTATATCCATAATCTCATACGAACAGTTGTTCCAGAACCAAGTCGTCATTATGCACACCCAACTGATCCTCCTCCCCCTCTTCCTCCTAATAACAATCCAAATCCTACTCCGAATAAGAAAGTCCCTCACATCCCCTTTAAAGAACATCCCAGGACCATTCTGGGCGCGCTTCAGCAATCTCTGGTACTTCAACCGTGTCCGCCATGGCCAATTCGAACATGACAATATCAAGCTGCACAAACAATATGGTCCGATTGTGCGGGTTGCACCGAATCACTATAGTATCAGTGATGCAGCTGCTATTAAAACAGTCTATGGTACTGGCTCTAAGTTTGCCAAATCTGCTTGGTATGATGGATGGAAGCATCCGGCTCAGTGGACTGTTTTTGCGGATAGGGATATGAAGAGACATGGTATGTTTTCGATGCTTTCGGTTCTTTGAATCGATAGCTTTGGATAAGTTATCTGACTTATATGTTCTACATTAATTTAGCCGATACCAGGAAACGGTTTACCAGCTTATACTCCATGAGCTCCTTGGTAAACTACGAACCCTTCGTGGATCATTGCGCAGAGCTGTTCATGGCTCGTTTGGACGAGTTCACGGATAACGGGGCGACATTCAACCTCGGACATTGGTTCCAATGCTACGCCTTCGATGTCATCGGAAACATCACATTCGGAGAACGCTTCGGTAAGAACGTTATCCACCGTCAAACTCTTGAATAACCACAGAAACAACGCACTAACCCACACAAAGGATTCCTAGACCGAGGCCACGACATTGACGGCACGATCGCAGCCCTCCAAAAAGTAATCATGTACAGCACATTAGTCGGTGTCTTCCCAGAATGGCACCCACGCCTCTTCAAACCGCTAAGCAAACTAAAATGGTCCGGCGCCGGTGGCCGCGCATACATCAGCAAATTCGTGCAGGACAAAATCAGCGCACACGACCGAAAAGCCCAATCCCAGACCCAAGAGGCCGACAAGAACGAAATACAATCCCAACCCCAAGATTTCGTGGACAAACTCATGCTCGCCCGACAGAAAGAACCAGAGAAAGTAACAGACTACCACCTCTTCATAATGGGCCAATCAAACGTGACAGCGGGATCTGATACAACAGCTATAAGCCTATCGACGATAATGTGGCATTTAATGCACTACCCAGATGTGCTGCAAAAGCTACGTGAGGAATTAGATGAGTTCACGGCCCAGGGCCGGTGCAGCTCGCCTATCACTTTCAAGGAAAGTCAGGAAATGCCCTATTTTCAGGCTGTTATGAAAGAGGCGCTGCGCATGCATGCTGCTACGGGTCTTCCTATGTGGAGGACTGTTCCTGATGGTGGAGCGGAGATTAATGGGCGTTTCTTTCCTGGTGGGACTGTTGTTGGGGTTAATACTTGGGTTGCGCATTATGATGAGACTATCTTTCCGGATGCGGGGGTTTTTCGGCCGGAGAGGTGGATTGAGGCTGAGGGTCAGCCTGAGAGGTTGAAGGTTATGAATCAAATGTATATGCCGGTGAGTTTTGGATATGCTATGTTGTTGTGTTTGTTTGGTTGGCTGGCTGACTCTTTTGATTGTAGTTTGGTCTTGGTTCGAGAACTTGTCTTGGGAAGCATATCTCTATTTTGGAGATGTCCAAGCTTATTCCTCAACTTGTACAGGAGTTTGATTTTACTCCGTTGCGGAAGACATGGCGTACGGAGAACTTTTGGTTCGTTAAGCCTGTTGATTTTGAAGTTCGGGTGCAGCGGAGGATCCGGAGCCCTGTAGTATGAGATGGGTGTATGAAGCTTCTGAGAGGAATCGATATGTGATTTGATATTGTAAATAGCTACCATCAAACCATCCCCAAATTCATTCTTCGATACTCCATGATCAATCCATTGACATCTCCCATATCTGTGTGGTCATATCTTGATGCCTCATGTGTATCTTCAATTTCGGTCTGGTCATCGTCCACTGCCGAGATGATCTTGGCGGATTTGATACGCGCCAAATGCCAGAATTCCGATGCGTGGCGGAGAAAACCAACGAGTTTCCATATAGTTTCGGGTGTCTCGGGAATATCGATGTCTTCTGGTATTCTTTTATCCCAGATTCGTCTCCAGTTTTCAAGACCTGTCTGCACCGGGGCCAAGGTTGTTTCAAAAATGAGAGAGTTCTGTAGGTGGAACATGAGAGAATGGATTGCTTGAACCATTGTGAATAGATTCAAAGTCCCAATTTTAGAGAAATCTTGAACCAAGTCTTCATCGATTTCAGCCTGACAAATCTGCCGCACAACTGATACGATTGATAGTCTGTTTCGCCAGAACCGAGTCTTGGTCCATTGTTCGAAATGTGACAGGCATTCGGTTGCTGACTCGGCCTGGAAACATGCCTCGGGGCAAGAGACATCCATCTTCAGTTCGGAGACCATTAATCGAGGTGGTGAGTTGTGGAATATGACAAGTGCTGCATCGATGAGGAAGACGAATATAATTGTTCTGGTATAATTAATATCCCATTGCTTGATCTGCAGTAAAAGGTCGTATTGCCCATACCTCATCATTTCCTCCTCTTCCGCAAATTGTTGCCACCACGCTTGCGATCTATCATGGACTTTCAGGTGTCTATGGGAGGCATTCCCAATTCCAACATGTCTTGCAAGCTGTTTAATAATCACATTAGCACACTGATACGTGGTATGATCATGATATCAAGGCTTCAACTCACAGTCACCATCGACGCATGGCGATACCGTCTAATCCTGGCCTGCGCCTCCCCGGGACCTTCTCGCTTCTGTAGCGAGCAGACTAGATATCCAGCCTGTATACTCTGTAGTCGCTCCTTCTTCCACTTCGAGTCATTACTTCTGGGTGGAGGATTATCCCGGAAGCACTCATGCGAGAAGATAAGCTCTTCAATGCTATCAAGCCACTTTCTAGCCGACTTGCTGTCCTCTTGGTAGGGAGATAGACATGCACCAATAACTGTCATCACAGATAGCAACCCAGGTGTCGCGGTGTGAGTATTGAAAAGAGGCTTGTGGATAATAGGGCAATTCGGATACCAGAGAGACCAGAAGTATTCTAGGAAACGACGGATATTTGGCGTTGAGAAGAATATCTGGCACTGGTCATGGGTTTCAGATGACCAGTCAAATATGATCACGTCGTTGTTTCTTTTATTGCAAATGATATTTCGTAGGCTTCGCATCAGCTCCAGGGACTTGGGGGCTAAAGGATCAGACACCATTATCGGGGGTATTTTTTGGTTTGTTTTGGAGACTTGTCTCCCATTTGAGGTAATTTTGTCCTCATAAGCATCTGCAACCAATTTCTGTCTCCAACGGAACGATTCGCGGTCCGTGAATGTGGACATTCCCATTGAACTGGTGAAATATGCAAGATACTCTAGCCTCTCAGCTTGAATAATATCTGAAGTTATCTGGGAGGAGAAGAGAAGATCCAAAGTCGAGAAGTCGAGAGGTGAGGGCATGTTTTGCAATAAATCGTGCGTCGGGTCAAGGAATGGCTCTGAAAAAGAGAGGTTGTCATTTGGATGATATGATAGACTGTGTTCATTATGTAGATGTGGCTCAGATGATATGTTGGCAACTTTGCTTTCCTTTTCTAAAGAAAGGTCACTAGGGACTGTTGAGAGTTCAAAGGGAGATAGGACAGAGCCAAGGACCTGGGGATCATCCACGATTGGTGATACTGCATTTCCATGTGTTTCTATTGCAAAACACATTCGTTTGGGCTGGTGTATCTCATCTGGATTGACATATACTTGGTGTTCAGAGTGGCCCTCAGCCCTGAAGGAGCCACGAGACTTGCAAGTCCTCTCATGGCGGCGTAGTGCATCGCTGAATTTCAAAGGTGAGTTCGCTAAACATACTAGGTATACCTTAAGCTCGCACACACCTGCGGTTGAAAGAGTTCCCACATGATGTACAGACATGAGGTCGGGCGTTGTCGTCTAGGACATGTTAACACTTGGTCATTCTCTGGATGGAGAGATATACGGGATGCTGAGTGGCGCTTCAGATGCTCTGGTCGACTAAATGTCGTAAAGCATACCTCACAGGACCAGACGTCCATGTTACATGTTAGCATTGAGGCTTGACAAGGTGAAGTTCAACTGCAGATCGACTCGGGTAAAGTGGGGAGCCGAAGTGCGGGGGAACCAAGCAAATACATACTTTGAAACGTCAAGCTATAAGTTGGTTACTTAGTTGATATAGTTGTAGCTTATTTGCTCTATTAACTTGCACTAGATTTGCTGGATTTAGTCATGTTATGCTGGATGTTAGTTCATACAGGCCGCATTACACACACTAAGGTCAATTACTGTCTCTCCTATCTGCCTAATTTTGTCGTTAATATCGCTTCCACGCCAGCGACAGACCCTGAAATGAGCCTTGTGTCTAAGCCAATGAACAAAAAGACCAAATTAATTAATCCCACGCTAAGGATAGCAGCGGATCCGTCGGAAATGAGGCCCTTGGCGCCATTTCAATAAAAGCGAAAGGAACATCACATTTGATTTTCTATGCAAGAAAGTCTAAAATAATTCAAACATGGTCAATTTCACTATCGTCAACGGCCAAGTCTACACGCCAGGCCTGGCAATTATCGATGCCCCGCAGCCCAACACGCCCCTTGGCGGAGGTAAGTCAATAAGTCAACACAAGCCCGTTGCCTCCTTAACTAACCGAATATCCAGACAATCTCCAAGTTGCTATCGACGTGTCAGGAAACGGCCAACTCCCATGGCCACCATCCAGCAACACCGACTCATCAACCCTTTTCAACGACATCAGACTCTTCTTGACCTCCGAGTCACTCTCTCACAACTTCACCATCTCAAATGGCACAACACCGTCCGCTAACACAAGCTACATCGGCCCAGTACTAGGCCTCGAGCCATCATCAACCGTCAAACACGTGAACTGGGTCTGGCCGAAGTGTCTCGTCGGCGATGGCTCCGATTCAAAGAGCGACTCAGATCGCGGCGCATATAACATCTCCATGCACCAGTCTTTCCGCTGGAACGGGACTGACTACTATACCGTGTTTCAGCTTCCCATTTCTGTTACAAACAGCATCCCTGAGAGTGATGAGCGCGTTGACTGCGCTTTACTCGAAAACGAGGTCATGAGCGTGGCAGAGGTTGATGAGAGTTCGGATTCCCTACCTGGACAGCCGTGGGTTGAGGGAGTCAGTACGACAGATTCGAGTGCCTCGCCTACACAGACGGGTATGGGCCTTCGCAGTCATTCGGGTTCGAGACGAATGGCCGGCATTGCGATTGCGGCGACAATGATTCTACATTTCTTCAGTTAAGGAGAGGACAGTTCCTGAATACCATCCCTTGTATACTATTATTTGTTGTTGTCTTGAACTTAATGCAGAGAACCCCTTTTTCCCACAAGAACAGCCATTGCTTCACGCGAGATTATCGCAAGCTTTATGAGTACTCGGGATTATGCTGAGCCTTCCATAACTCTCTTCGTTATCATTGATTTTCGCTGGTCTCTTCATCGGGAAGACAGATCGAGCATGCAGCCTTGTTTAAAGTATGCACCCTCGGATTATATTACGAACCCCTGGATTCATCACCTGTCTCTCCCAGAAATTCCAAGTCTCCGCTAACAGCAGAGAAGTGCCATCCCAAAAATCAAATTCACTATGTCAGAGAACTCCAACCGTGGTCGTATACCAACCAACCCCAACCCAGTATACGAACCTCGCGCCTAAAACCCCATGACGCTCCTTTCCACCTATAGACGCCCCCTCACCAGAAGAGCCCTCCGATCCCGCCTAACCCGAGCCCTAATAATAATCTTCATAATATGGAATCTAACAGAACTACACCTAATCCAACACCAGACAAACACCCCAAAAGCCAACAAACCCCACCACGTACCCACAACCAAAGAACGAATATACATAGCAAGCGTGAACTGGAACAACGAAGCTATTCTCCGCAGCCACTGGAGCCGCGCCCTCCTAGAACTATCTTCGGAACTCGGACCGGAGAATATATTCATCAGCGTCTACGAGAGCGGCAGCTACGATAATACAAAAGGAGCATTGAGAGAGCTAGACTGGGAGCTTGAGCGGCTGCGCATTCCTCGGAATGTGACACTTTCGCCTGTTACGCATGAGGATGAGATTGCGGCGCCTGCGCGGGGTGAGGGGTGGGTAAACACGGTTGGCGGTGGAAAGCAGCTTAGGCGGGTTCCTTATTTGGCTCGTGTGAGGAATTTGGGGCTGTTGCCTCTGTATGATCTTGCTAGGCAGGGGATCACGTTCGATAAGATTTTGTTTTTGAATGATGTTGTTTTTACGGTGAGTTTAGTACGTGTGGTTTTAACTGTTTGGATGTATGCTAACTATTACCTTTGATGTATCAGCCAAGTGATGTTTTTGAACTTCTCGATACTAATGGTGGAGAATATGGAGCGGCTTGCTCCTTGGATTTCTCCAAGCCGCCGAGTTACTATGACACGTTTGCGCTCCGCGATATCAAGGGCCATGAGGCCGTCATGCAGACTTGGCCTTTTTTCCGTACTGCGGAATCGCGACATGCAATGAAAAGTTTGTCTCCGGTGCCGGTGGCTAGCTGCTGGAATGGTATGGGTATGTATCTCTCCATCTAGAGATATCTACACAAACTAACTAGAATATAGTGGCAATGCCCGCAAGTCCATTCCTAGCCAAGTCACCACTACGGTTCCGAGGAATCCCAGACTCACTAGCGGACTATCATCTCGAGGGCTCTGAATGCTGTCTCATCCATGCAGATAACCCTTTATCCAAAGAAAAAGGGGTATACCTCAACCCTCGGGTTCGGGTTGGTTATAACGGTCAAGCATACACGGCCGTGAATCCAGTAACGAACTGGCTGACTGCAAAGAGAATTTTGCAGGGGCTATGGGTCAATCGACTACGCCGCTGGAGTATCGCTTCTTGGATTAAAGAAGAAGTAGTACGACGGCAGGTGGATAGTTGGAAAGCCCTCAGCCCTAAGAATGAGGAACCGGGGCAGTTCTGTATTATCAATGAGATGCAAGTCCTGCATCGATATGGGTGGGCCCATGTATGATATTTAACGCGCAATATACACGTTCCATAACTCCCTGTTAACTAACTTGTGCATTACTGTACATGGAATTTGAGTATAATCCCCTGGCATACTCTTGTAAGGTAAGTTTTGCCAATTTGCTTATTCAGCCTTCGTGGTCTAGTTGGTTATGACGTCGGTCTCATATATCCTTTCTTATGACATTCTTGGTAACAAGATTGACATCCGAAGGTCTCCAGTTCGAACCTGGACGAGGGCATTGTTTTTGGGCTCGGTGGATATGCGTTGCAGTTAATTGGCCTGTTAGCGGGGCGAGGGAAGAGTTGTGGGGAGCTGCTTTTTACAGAAAAATTACTAGAAGAGTACGGAGTATATGGCATGAGAACATTTTTATTAAGATTATTATATTCTATATACTTTCGAGCAGTTTGTTTATAGGTTGTCCTTGGTAAGTAGATGCCCCGTCCGTAGGCACAAATCCATCTAACTTCTTCCCCTTGTGTCTTCTCTTATAATGCCCCTCACAGCACAGATGGTGGCATACATAGTGCCGTAGATCCTGCTCTATAATATATATCCACCAGTCAAACAGCACTCTTCTCCGACTTCTCCTCATCCAAAGAATCAACCTCAGCGGGCACAGCAGGTTTAACCGGCTCTACCGGCGCCGCCGGTGGCTGCGGCGCAATCCAAAAGACAGGATACCTCCGCTGAATATTATTCAAAAGCAGCGCGCAAACCAACAACAGCGCAGAAGACAACAACACAATCGGCAGGAAATACCAAGAGAGATGCCAGATCTCATCATTAGTAGCCGGCAGCAGTGCAGTCGCACCAGCAGGCGGATGGGTAGTGCCCGTCAACTGCATAACAACAATAGCAATAGCAGTCGAAAGCGAAGCCGCTAGCCAGCGGAGGGACTCAAAACGCCCCTGGTCGGGCATTAGGCTGAATAGTTTTGTGACGCAGACCCCTGTTAGGGCGCTGAAGAAGTGGCCAAAGACTAGGGCGCGTGGTTGGGCTAGGGGACTTTCGATTGCACCGAAGACTAGGACTGCCGATGCACCCTGTTTTTTATGTTAAAATGCGGACATGGATATGGATATTTGTATTCAGTTGGGGTGTTATTGTTTGGTCGGTTTACTTACATATGAAGCGATGATACCCGGGACGTTACGTTCATTGAAGTAATGGGAGTAATTGAAGATTGCCTGGACGACAGATAGACCGCAGAACGCAATCACGAAAGACCATATGGCGACGAGATATGTGTTGAGTGGCTTCACGGGTTCTGCGCGATAGCCTAGCCAATGGCTGATCCACCTAGGGAGACGGGCGAGACGTGAAGGGGCCATGGTGAAAGACCGCTAAGCGGCTATAGGTATAGAAAATAAAAATTAAAGTTAAGCCTAATGGCTTGGATATCAAGGGAAGAGAAGGAGATCTTAAAGACCTGCCGTGCGCCCCAATTCTGGGCCGTGAGGGGGGAAAAAAAGAAAATTGGAGAAATAGTTGGAGATGAAGACGGTCAGGTTGTATTTTGATGACAGGACCAGGTATTGACGCTGGCTCTGGTAATGCTGATTGGATAGCTACTGGTAATAGTGGAGATATGCGGGGATTCCTGACTAAATTACCATAATTAATACCCGGCCGTTTCTATGACACATAGTTATGCGGCTCGGCCGAGTCCGTCTTTCATTGTGACTCTATATGCATATCTGACTATAGACTATACATTTTCCTCCAAGCCATGCACTAAGTCTCGGTCCACAATATGAGACTCACCAAGAGTACCCTTCATAACAAGCACCAGATCATCAACCGCCGCCAGGAACTTAAGGTAAGCACTAACAGCCACGCAGAACCGGCGATAATTCTCATCACGAATGAGCTCCTTACTCAGCGAGATTTCAACATGGCGCATATCCCAGAAATCATGACAACGCTTAAGCAGCGGCGTAGGCAGGACTTCGGGCAGAGGATCACCAGTCTTGAGTGATTGCTCAACGACACCCAGAACGGCCATGACATCGCCGATATTGCGGTGATCGAGGAGGCCTGCTTGACGGGCCAGACGGCTTTGGAGGTGTTCTGGTAGTGAAGCCGAAAGGTGAAGCAGACGGCCGAGGTTTTGGTTCAGTTCTTGGCATAGGGATTTCACTTGGCCTAGACGCTCGCTGTCGAAGGGTGAACCGGAGAACTCAAAGCGTAGTAGTGCGATGGGTCCTTCCAGTGAGGTGAGGTTGTTGGCGAGGTCGAGTGCTAGCTGCTCTGCTGCCAGGCCTTCGTCTCGTCCCTGGCCCCAGCAGGTCAAGAGAAGGGCGTAGTGGTCTGATAATTCGCGAATGACGTTTGAAAGGGATTTGCAGATGTGGCGTGAGGCCGATGGTGGGCGCGGGAATAGTTGGACAATCAATGCGCCTGCGGATCCGATGAGGACAAGGACGAGTCGGCGCCAGAAGACACTATATCCGAATCCAGGATTGCCGTAAGAGGGGATGTGTCTGGGGGGTAAATGTTAGCCGAGTGAGCTGCCGCATTGCAGGATATTACTTACGTGTCTTCGTAGCTGTAGCCGACGACCAGGATACAGGTTGCACCGGCCATCATCATTGCTTGCAGCATGGCAGGGGGAGCGAAGATACGCCCCCACATCAGGATGATGATCACAACTGCCATGATAGCAGCGAGACCGTATGGATTACCTTCGCCGTGACCTGAGCCAATATACCATGCAACCAAGCCCAAGGCACCGCCAATGATGGTACCGATAGCTCGACAAATAAGGGAGAACGTGAAGTCGGCCATATAGATGACCAACGTGGTTTGCCCCATGATGAGGGCCCACAGTCCTTTTTCGCGGTAATAGAAGCCCGCGGTGTTCGGCAGGGCCGCAGGGATGGAGAGTGCGATAGTGACAACCACCATGCGCATAGCAAACATACCTTCCGAGCTGATGAACCAGTGGTAAGTACCAATGATGGCGCGGCCCAGGCCACTGCGTCGTTTGACACGATAGCCTCTGCTGATGCGAAGATGCTGCTGTGCCGCTTTAGACTGCGCCTCTGCAACGTCAGGGTCGGTAGTCGGGTTCTGGACCACAATGACAGGTGCCACCGCATCTTTTCGAAGGACCCAGTTGACGGCGTACCGCAAACCCCTGGGTAGCCACAGGCGGACCTTTTGACGTTCTCGCAGGAGAGCGGTCAATTGTCCCAGGACTCGCTCCCAACTATCGGCGACTCCGAGGAGCTGCTCCTCGTAAATCATTCCAATGACAATACCTCTCACTCTATGCACTGAAAACTCGTCGAGTTTGGCGAGCTCGCCTTTCTCGTTGAAGATTTGGGAATGCGTTTCGATCAGTCGTTCGGTGGTTTCATTTGCAAATGATGCACGGAGAGCTTGGATATTCGTCAGTGCCGACTGACTGCGATCGTGCAACTCGGCGAGGTGTTCTTTGGACGAACGGCCGAACCAACGAGTCATGTTGACTTTGTGGATACATTCGGCAATGATCTCAGTGGCTTCCTGGCAAGCTGGAAGGATATCTTTGCTGGACTCCTTCAATGCTTCGATGGTTTCTGATCGAAGTGATTCATGTTCTGGGCTTCGCAGCGCTTGAACCAGGTTGACACTCTGCATCAGCTGGCGCATACCAACCTCGCGCGGGCGTTTCTTTTCGTCGCCATTGGATTGTGATTCGGTGTCCGATTCCCGACTCGCGGTCAGTTGGCGTAATTTCTCCAGTTTCGCTTCTCCTCCCAGGCGTGCAATGTGGACCTCCAGCAATGACAGGTTAGTCATCAACGCCTGGCGTAGCGGTTGCTTCAAGCTCTTGACATCGTCGGCGCCCCACCAGCCGACAGAGAAATCCAAAGGCAAAAATCCGATTGCTGGTTCAATGGCCTTGTAAGCTGCGATTGTTTTCGTTTTGATCTTGAGCAAATCCTTAAGCACCAAGTCTTCTCCCTTCAAAAGGCTGGTTTCTGTGGCATTCAGTGGGCCTTTGAGGAGTCGCACCAACCCTTCCATGCCGTAAAGCACGGTGTGAGAGGTAGACTGAGGGAAAAAGATGAAATGAGAGACGAGTCCCAGTCCAATTCCAATGGCAGCTGGCTCGACTAAGACCTTTGGAATCGTTCCATTGAAAGATGGAAGCAGTGGGCCAATAGTCAAAGTAACATCGACAATAATAGTTCCAAACATCTGCAGCAGGATGAATTTAGGGTTCTTTGCCCGAAGACGAGCCTGTATAAAAGGTCAGCATACTCAGAAGTATATCCAGATCGGCAGGTCATACCAATAAATAGATAAATAGACAGATTAAACAATAATAAACGGCGGTAACGCGAGCATCAAGCAAAAAGCCAGAGTAAACAAGCACCTGCTGGACAGCAGCCACACTCTGCCCGGTGGCATTAGCCTGGCTATAAGCGAGTTGGCCAAGTGCCTGAAGCCTAGCCTGGGTCTCAGCCGCCGGCCTTGCGGCAATGGCAGCCTTCATAGCGATGACGCCCCAGGCCCAGCCCAAAGCCATACCCAGAACGAGGGTGAGAGCTCCCAAAAGGAAGATGAAGACAATTCCGGTCGGGGGCACCATAAACAGCACCAAACTGGATAAAACCCGTTAGCAATGGATTCGCGACGATACGGAGAGCAGCTCACGTTGCGAAAAACGTCGCGGTTCCAATGGTGCTTAGAGACGGCGTGATAAAGATCAACAGCGACGCGACCCATGCTGCCAGCGAGCACCGAAACAGTACTTTGAGATCGCGCGCATTGAAATGATCGAGCCATCCAGGCAGCTTCTTGCCTGTCTTGGCTGGCGCTGCTTTCTCGGCGGGCCCCGACCCCTCTCCACTGGACGTCAGCGGAGAGCTTGGCCGGGCATCGCGCGAAGGCGAAGGCTCGGATGTGGGTTTAGTCATAACTTGAGCAGTGCATCCGGGCAAATAAGCTTGAAGCGGTTGGAAGTTTGAAGGGATGTGGGCATTCCGCGCGATTAAAGGGGATTAAGAATTTTTGTGCCCAGACTTTCGAACTTTCAAACTTGGAACACGAAAACGACCGATCGGCACTATTGCCATTATTTGATTTGGCTGTGAACCTGATGGTTCTCCCGTTGATCGTCCTTTAGCTTGCCACATTGTCTCGCTTCGGGATGTTAGACTGTGCATAATATGTTATGCTGTGGCACAAAGCGCCCAACTTGGGCTTGGCAACGCATGTGCTGCATCGCGGCAGCATAGAAGCTTGGCCTGTCTCAGGGAGTGGAATTAGTGAAAATATTGCAAATACATTGGATTTCTGGATCTTGTCGGTTACTATTGAACGCCTCTGTCTTATATTTGCTTGGGTCGAGGCTAAATTTGTGGTATAGCACCCAGGCCCCCTATTATGGGGTGCGACTATGGCATACCGTACCCATCGTCACGAGCATCCAAATATCTCGAACGGTAACTTTGAAGCGTGGGATAGACTACGTGGTCTGAGTATTCAGAAATGATACCATTTCCGCAAACAAGGAAAATCACACGTTTGGTATCACGTTCTTCAACATGCTACCAATTCACTCTCCGTCCTCTCTAAACCATAAGCATAACATGCTAGAGGCTTATCAACTATTGAGGGTAATACAAGGTTTGGAAATTTTCGTTAAATAAATTACACAGTCAAATATGCCTTTTTCAACCCTCCACCGTCTCACTGGAAGGAGAACATGTACTCGGGCCAACTACCATTAATAAACAAAAATTGTCGCTTTATCTAAAGCGGAGCAACTTCTAAGACCCTTTTTGGATGAGATAGTGCAAATTTTCATAACTGCAGTACGGGATCTACCCCTTTGTAAACGGTCGGTGCTACTTAGATTGGTTCATAAGGTTGTGCAATGAGTTGCCGTGCTTTCTCTATATTGAATGCGTTATGTGAAGCAGATATCCCTTGAATAGCATGTAACCTTTATCCATGTTCGATTCGAACCTGTTCATACTACCATGTTGAGCATCAACGAATATATGCGCAGAGCGACCTCCAGGAGGAAATGAAAGAAGCTAGTCAAGAAAAATCATATCAGTAAAGTGAGTACATTATAGTGAACAACGTATCTCTCACCGGATCCGATGTACCGGCTTCCGAAGAATTAGGCCTCTCATGAACAAACAAAGTGAAGTATGCTCCGCTGATTGATGAGTAGCCCTGCAATGTATTAACCAACCAGCGTGCTTCTTGGTACGTATCGCTTGACTCTTGATCAGATCCTTCCATGCTGTTCAGGTAACTTTGTAATCCAAGTATCCTCGAGTCTAACTCGGGTGTTCCCATGAATACTACTCCACGGGTTGACGTCCTGATGCTGTGAAGATCCATAGTGGGAGTTTTTTGCGCCGCGTCTGAATAAAGTAGCGCCTGAGATAATGGTTAGTAGAAACTGTCTAGTTCAGCATAGTTATACATACACTCTTGACTACAGTTCCTCCCAAACTATGTGCAATGAAGATGATAGGGCGCGATGTTGTCTGTCACATACGTCAGTCCTTATAATGATGAGACCAATCAAGCTTACAGATGTCGATGATCTCAGATCCCACAAATCCAACGCAAGTTTCTTCGAAACCTCTTGATGAGACGCTCCACTATCTTCGCCCCCATTTGATGTATGGTATCCCCAGGAAACAACTCGGGCGTTGGGTATGTCAACCGGCAACAGGTCTCGAAGCCAATTTACTCCATTGGCTGCTGTCCATGATCTTTCACGGTGACCACCTAGGCCGTGAACAGCAACAAGGCTTTCATTTCTTGTAAGCTATATTGAAGCTTGGAGCCAAGAAAGGGCGCACTTACTCAATTTTGGGCTCTGTTCCTGGGCCGTCATATAACAACTCCAGTCCGTATTGTTCAGCGTCCGGGGTGTGCCGTGACTATGACGAAGCTTGTTAATAAAAATGGATTCCAGTCAGTTTATGACTTATGGGTCTCACGACCTTGTTATTCAACTTGTTCTGTTTGAACGAACAACACCAAGACCAGGGCATGGTTTAGTGCGGTTTAGGTGCGGGGTTGAAGATGGGTGGAGGTTAGCGTCTATAGAAAATGATACTTATACGCTTTCATTATGCAATGTCGCTGTCTATCCACATTTTGCCAAGAGTTTTCTTGTGAGATTAGCTACAGCATTTGTTTCTAGTGCTAAGTCTAACACGTGAGGTCTTCCATTTCTCCGTTGAAGGCCAATTTTCTCCCGAATCCACAGAAATTTTGAGGATGACACGTTCTTTCAGCCGCATCATTACTCCCCCTTATATTACAGGTTACTATAGCGAGCAAGTGGCTACAAGCGAACACATGTATTTAGGCTTCCAAGATCTACAACCCAATCGGCTAAACGATCCGACGGAAATAAGGTTGATTGCTTCAGGCTTTAACTGGTGCCTTAGGATCTAGGTGTCAAACTTTAATCCAATTTTTGATTTTTTTTTTTTTTTTTTTTTTACTGCCATCGGCTTGCCGAGATGTGGCATGCCATACGCCCATGCAACCGCAAGTGTCTTCAAGCAACAATCATTAATGACCGCGGGCAAATCTGAAATGAATCGATATGAACCCACTAAGCCACAGATTTGCCTTCTATCGCGTTTATGGCGAACATGAAAAAGTTAGTCAATCGCCTCCCCAAAAGTGGAGCAGACGGCCATACAACCCAATGAGTCTCCCCGCCGTAGATGGTGTGGAGCAAAATCATTGCGAAGACGGGCCCGATGTCGTGCTCCAGGGCAATTAGCTCGGAGCAAAAGGAATGTTCCTCCCGTGAGGCATTTCCTCTTTCTCAAGTTTCTGGAGTATATTCGACAGGACTCGACCATGACACACGACATGGACAAGTCAGGCTTCACGGACGACAAGGTCCAGCCTGCTCCCAATGCAGACTTCGACGAGTACGATGTGAACCCCAAGGCGGAATTCGAGCTCAACGTCGGCGGTCGCGCTGCGCTGCAGCGTCGCCTGCGGAATTACCAGGTCACCATGATCGGATTCTGCAGTGGAATCGGTACTGGTCTGTTCGTTGGAACAGGTTCTGCATACGCCAAAGCCGGCCCCGCTGGTTTGTTGCTCGCTTATATTATTGTCGGAGGTGTGCTGTGGTGTGTGATGCAGAGCATCGCCGAACTCGCAACCCTATTCCCTACTGCAGGATCTTTCCCACACTGGGCGACTCGATTTATCGACCCGTCTGTCGGATTTTCACTCGCTATTTCATACGGATATTGTTACACAATCGCTATTGCCTCAGAAGTGTCCGCGGCTGCGGTCATTGTTTCATATTGGACGGATATAACGCCTGCGGTCGTGATCACGGTTGGATTGGTGCTTATTTTGGCAATCAATTTGATGAGTGTGCGGTTCTATGGCGAATCAGAAGTCATCGGAGGTGCTGTGAAGGTTCTTTGTTTCTTGGGCTTGGTGGTCGTCTCGATCGTGATTACTGCAGGTGGTGGACCCAACGGCGAAGCCATCGGCTTCCGTTTCTGGAACAACCCTGGGCCGTGGACGGATTATAATGGCATTACAGGCCCGTCGGGCCACTTCCTCGGTTTCCTGTCATCTTTCGTCAATGCCTCGTTCAGTTTCATCGGTGTCGAGTGCGTCGTCATCACAGCATCTGAATCGGTTGACCCCCACCGCGCGATTCCCAAGGCCGCCCGCCGAGTCACCTACCGTATTGCCTTCTTCTACATTCTCGGTGCTCTTCTCATCGGCCTTATTGTGGATCCAAGATCATCCGGCCTGGTTTCCGGCTCCGACAACGCGAACAGCTCACCTTTCGTTATTGCCATTTCCAACGCCGGCATCAACGCACTCCCTTCTATCGTCAATGCATGCATTCTGATTGCCGCTTGGTCCGCGGGTAACTCCTACTGCTGGGTCGGATCGCGCATGATCGTCGCCATGACCACCGACCATCAACTCCCCCAATTCTTTGGACGCGTCGACAAGCATGGTGTGCCATATGTGGCTGTCATCACTGCTTGGCTCTTCGGCCCATTGGCATATCTGAGTCTTGGCACCGGCGGTGCCGCTCAGGCCTTCACCTGGCTTCTGAACCTGAGCACCGTCGCTGGTCTGATTGCCTGGGCCACCCTCTGCTTCTGCTACATTCGCTTCTATGCCGCAATGAAGAAGCAGAACGTTTCCCGAGAGACAATCCCATGGAAGGCACCTCTTCAACCTTATGCCGCATGGGTGGGATTCATTGGTTCTACCATTATTACTCTGGTTGCCGGTTTCCCCGTGTTCTTGAAGGGTAACTGGAACACATCCGACTTCGTTGCATCGTATGTTGGTATCCCTATCTTTATCGTTCCCATCATCTGCTGGAAGCTCTGGCACCGCACCAAGTTTGAACGTGCTGCCAACATCGACTTATGGTCGGGACGTCTTCAAGATGGGGAAATCATGCCACACGAAAACCCGCGTAACAGTGCGTGGAGAAAATTTGTCGACTGGCTATTTTAAAATGACTTAACGATGTGTTATATTTGCATGCCATGCAGTGCAGGCCATTCAACATGAGCGATTTATAGATTCATTTAATTTCCAACCATATTCAGTTTGAAAGACATTGTAAATGATCCATGCTTCTGCCATGTAGGCTGATTACTTGATTTGAAACTGCTCTTTGAGCTTTCTGATATCATGGTGAGAAGCTTTGCAGCATCCACCGACGAGGAACTCCTTGAAATGACCCCGGTCATAAGCATCATTGACCACCTGGGCCAATTGTTTCTCCCAAGGTTCCTAAAACCAAAGTCAGCAAATCCATCACTCAAAACACCCAAAAACGGGCCGTAACCGGGACTCACAGAAGCCCTCACATTATCACCCAACCCATCGGGCTTCTCCCAAACCTGCGTAGTGGTGTTATAAACCTCCCCATTCGTCCCATCAGGATACAAAACCAAACAAGGAGCCGTCCCGACAATCCCATCCTTAACAGCCCCATCAACAGCAACCCCAAACCTCTCCACAAGCCCAGGAAGTTTATGAATCTTCGTACAATTCATCCCAATTCCCCAAGGCACGCTTCCCCCCTCCAAAGGCCCGACTGCCGCTCGCACAACACCCTCAATAGAACTCCCATCCGGCAAAACGCCCTCATCCCCAGGGAAAACACAAGCAATCCAATAAGGCGCCGTAATTCCCGAATCACGAATCGCCCTCCGAACAGCCCGAACCTCATCAAGCCTGGGCAACGTCTCAAAGGCAACATACTGCAGCCTCCCCACCAATCTCCCCCATCAGCCTCAACAAACATCCTCAACCTCTCCAAATGCCACCTATACAACGCCTCCTCACTATCATGCTCCGCATCATACGCACCACTATACTCCTGTCCGGGAATCATGCAAGCGCCGTACGGTCCCAGACTCAGCGCGACGGCAGCGGCATCCCGCACCTTGGCTGCTTCAGCGATGTCCACCGAGCGCGATAGGTATGGGCCCACCGCGCTGGCGGGGATGCCGTCTGGGTGCGTGAGTGTTTTTGTGAGCGCGAAGCCCGAGGCAGAGACTTGGTATGTTGCTGTTAGGAGGATGTCTACTCCTGCGTTGCCAAAGTCTCGTTGGCAAGCTTCCAGTGTTGTTGGGTCGGTGACTAGTAGGTCGCTGGCCCAGAGTGGGGTTGTTGCGCTGTCGAATTTTTTGTTGTATTGGTCGCCTAGGGAGGTGCCTAGGCCTCCGTCTAGGATTTTGATTGTGGCCATTTTGTTTGAATTTGGGGTTTTTGAGGTGTGGTATGTGGTGAAGTGGGGGATTTATTTCGATATCGGAGTAGTTTGATGGATATTTCTTGGTTATGTAATCTCCCGTTTCTGGGTCGCGGTAGAATGCTTATTTTGAGGGGGAATTGTGGGGATGAGATGGAGTTTATGTGGAAGTGCTGATACTGGCATTGTATTGGGGGTTTGTGGTCTGGACTCTAGAAGATAGTTGGTGATGTGTAGGGAAGGGTTGGCTGCACATATGCACACCAGCCCTACCCTCTAATCCAACCTCCAACTTCACCACTTCGCCTAAATCAAGCAAAAGTAGGTGAAATCTTCCCAGAAGCCCGAGCCGCCAATCTCTCTCGAATAAGCACCTCGTAAACATGCTCAGCCCACGAACAGCAGACCTTTCGCGTATCCTTCGGATCAATAATCTCCTCAATCCCAAAGGCATTCGCCGTGCGCACCGGGTTCATAAGCCGCAGATACTCCTCTTCTAACTCTTGATACCGTTCTTCTTTCTTACCAACCTTCTCGGCTTCTCTCAGTTCATGTCTATGACCAACTTCAATACCTCCATCGAGTGGCAACGAACCCCATTGCCCAGACGGCCAAGCAACCTGCATAACGGGATCCCGACATCCAAGCATAACACCACCTGCAACACCGAATACCCGCCGCGTAACCACATTAAAGACCGGCACGGTGGTGCTGAAGTAAGCCTTAGCGAGTTCAACGCCCCAGCGCATGGTAGCCGTACGCTCCGCAACAGTGCCAATAGCATATCCCGCTTCGAGTACATAATGTCAGGTCCTATCACCAATTTCGGAGAGTGGGGGGGAATGTATAATTCCACTTACGGACATCAAGGAACTGCAAAATAGGCAAGTTCATCACATCACATAACTTGAGCAACCGCGTGAGTTTCTGACTCCCAGCAGCATCCAATGCACCACCGTTCACTTCACAGTTAAGCGAAATAATCCCAACAGGGCGTCCGCCTAGACGTGCAAGTCCGCCAATAGCAGTCCGGCCCCAGAGGGCCCCGATCTCGAACCAGGAATCCTGATCGACGACTGAAGTGATGATCGTCCGGGCATTGTACATGCGAGCTTGGCGTCGGGGGATGATACTCCGTAGTGCAATATCTTCGCGGTCTTCGGGGTCTGTGCATGAAATTACTGGGGAGCTTCGCTGCCCGAGTTAGGGAGGTAGCTCAAGACGACCCGTAATTGTTCGTAGCACTCTGCCTCGTTGGCAGCGAGGTTGTCAATTGTACCGTTCATACAATGGACCATTGGACCGCCCAGATCTTGGAAGTCCAGACCTTCCTCGAAGGTCGCGCCCTCGACGACTTTGGGGCCGGCATTAAATAGAGCGCCGATATCTGCAGCCATTACGGAGAAATGACATGATACGACTCTCGCGGCACCGAGTCCAATCTGCAAGTCATCAGCAACCCCATTTATACAAATTCCACATCATCGGAATAAAGAAACTAACCGCAGGACCAACAACAGCCCCCAAATTCGGAATCCCCATATTCAACTGCTGCACAACAAACGGAAAAGAAGCAACATGGGGCAAATAACTCCACCCCTCCTTCTTAATCGTAGTAACGCTCCCACCCCCCGAACTCCCATCAACAAGCTTAACAACCGGAATCCGCAACGCAATAGCAAGTTTCTCAACATAAACCGTCTTCCCGGTACTCGCACCATCAGCATGTCCAGACCGAATACTGAAATCATCAGCCGTGAGGAGAACCTTCCGGCCACGCAGCAAGCCCGCGCCTTGGACGTTATTGCTCGGCACGAAGGCTACAGGCTTTTCGCGCATAGGTCCTGTTTTGGCCCATGTTACTGTGCCGGATACGGAGCCGATTTCTGTGAAGGTGTTTGCGTCGAGGAGTTGGTCGATTCGTTCACGCACCCATAATTTCCCGGCTTGTTTTTGGCGGATATAGCCTCTGTTTTTGGGGTCTGGGGTTGCTGCTATGGTGCGCAGGTTGGTTATTTGGGTTAGGACGTCTGAGTGGTCTGCTGGCAGGCGGTTTGCTTGGGTCTTTTGTTTGGTTGGGGATATATGTGATGAGAGTTGGTTTAGGCGGTTTGTGGCTTGCTCTTTGCTTGCTCCTGCTGGAGGTGGATTGTTGTTTTTGGCCATTGTAAATAGATTTCTTTACTTTTTTTGTTTCGTTGTTCAGTGTAGAATTTGAGATATAAGGATGGGCGCTAGATGGGTGAGGGGGTGGACCTTCCGAGGGCCGAGGTCCCTTTTGGGTTATAAGGATATCTGGGAGTGTCCAGTCCGATTGCAATTGATGTTAAACTTATCAATTGCTAAACTTGCAATATCAGCACCTATTTAATTCCATTCGAACAGTGACACCTATCTTACGTGCAATAATATATACCCCGGCTACTTCCCCATGTCGTCCCCGCACTCACCCATCAAGCGATTGTTGGTCGCAAACAGGTATGAACTCATCCAAAACACAATGAATAGGTCTCTAATGAACCAAATAGAGGTGAAATCGCCGTTCGCATCCTCCATGCGGCACGGGAATTACCCGAAAAGGTCGAGACATTTGCACTCTACACAACAGACGACCGATCACACTGCGATCTAGGCAGACCTCAACAAGCAATCCAAATCCCATCAGCCACTTCCTACCTGGACATAACCCATCTAGTAGATCTAGCCCGCAAGTACTCCATCGATGCCGTCCACCCAGGCTATGGCTTCCTCAGCGAAAGCGCCGAGTTCGCCCACCGTATGTGGCACGAAGCTGGGTCAATCGTCATAGGACCAGGCTGGGAAAACCTCGCCCGAACAGGCGACAAGCTTCAAGCGAAACAGCTTGCGAGGCAATGTGGTGTCCCCGTTTTAGAAGCCATGGCCCAATCCACCGCTAGTGTGGATGAAGCAGGCGCTTTTGCTCGACGGGTTGGGTTTCCTGTTATGATTAAGGCCGTTGATGGAGGTGGTGGGAGGGGCATTCGGCTTGTGCGTGAAGAGGCTGAGTTGGATAATGGGATTCAGCGCGCTATTGGGGAGTCGCCTTCCAGGACGGTGTTTGTCGAGAAGGCTGCTGTTGATGGGTTTCATCATGTCGAGATTCAGATTATTGGGGATGGGACGGGGCAGGTGCGGCATCTGTGGGAGCGGGATTGTAGTGCTCAGAGACGGTTTCAGAAGGTTGTTGAATGTGCTCCGGCTTTGATGCGGGATCGAGGGTTGGTGGGGAGAGTGATTGAGTCTGCGATCAAGATGGCGAGTCATATTTGCTATAAATCGCTTGGGACGTTTGAGTTTTTGGTCAGTGAACTGCGGGGGGAGTTTTATTTCTTGGAGATCAATCCTCGTCTTCAGGTTGAGCATACTATCACGGAATCTATCAGTGGGATAGATTTGGTGCAGACGCAGCTTTTGTTAGCGCAGGGATATACATTCAAACATTTAGGTCTTGGTGGTGAGACTAACGCATTCGACGCTCCGCCAAAGGCCTTCTCGGTTCAACTCAGACTGTGTGCTGAGGACCCAAGCAACAATTTTGCTCTGAGCATTGGCAAGGTGAATCGGTTCAGCGTCCCAAGCGGACATGGAATACGTGTCGATACCAACGTCAATATCGCCGGTTCCCCATTGATCGTGGGATCCAATTTCGACAACCTATTGGCCAAGATCATAGTCACTGCACCAACCTGGGAAGCAACCGTGAGAAAAGCCCAGCGAGTCTTGGCTGACTCCCGGATAGACGGGGTGAAAACTAACATCAGTCTTCTACGGGGAATCGTGGCCCATTCCGATTTCATGTCCGGCAGAGTCGACACACAATGGCTTGGGCTCAATCTCGAGTCTGTACTGCAGCATGGTGAGAATATATCGAAAACTCTACAAACGCAAGAAGGATCTGCCGCCCCTTCGCAGGCAACCACACAGAGCGCGCTGCCAGCATCCAATCTACTATTCCGAAAGGGAGATGCATGGTCCATCACTTTGGAACCCCTTTCAAAGGATGGCCAACACGCAGACAAAGTATCGCACCATCTCCTCCTCTCTCGGGTTTTACGAAATGAGTTCCCCTCCTCTCTCGCCGCCGAGATCGAATATACCACCCCAACTTCTCGCACTGCAATCCCTTACCGGATGAAACTAGAAACAACCTCAACAGCCGCGTCAGCATTGGTCTCCTCATCACACCGACGAGGCGATATAAAGAACCCCCAGCACATCGTTCTCCCTCTCTCTGGCAAGCTGATCGAGATCCTCGTAACAGACGGCGAAGATGTTGCCGAGAACCAGGTTCTGGCTTTCGTCAAGCAGATGAAGATGGAGCTGGAGGTGCGCAGCCCTCGTGCTGGACGGGTTAAATGGGTCTATGAGATGGAGGATGAAGAGGAAGATGTTGCAGAGGGGATGTTGTTGGTGGAATTGGAGCCAAGTGTTGGTAGTGTGGGAGTGAGAGGGAAGTTATAAAGTTAAGTAGTAGATTGGATGTATACAAACAGTCGAATCACCTCAAGAAGCAAATTGGGAGAAAGCAGATATTAACGGCCAATCAGCAATTCCAGTTGTCTGATATACCAGCATCATTGGTCTAGTGGTAGAATTCGTCGTTGCCATCGACGAGGCCCGTGTTCGATTCACGGATGATGCACATTTCTTTTTGATCTTTTTTGTTTTGGCCATGAATAAGCCATGTGAATGAGAAGTGGTTTAGTTTTTGTCTGTTAATCACCACAGTTCCTCGTAGGGAATAAATATCCCCTAAAACATAAACGCAAGGCAGTGTTTACTTCGGCGGTCAACACGAGTCAAGTGACGTCACCCAATCTTCCCAACTCACCTTTCTCGCTCTCTCTTCTGTCCTGACTCCAGGTGGTTTTCAAAATGGATGCCCTTGGTATCTACAGTCTGACCTTTAATTGTGCAAAAAACCTTGTCGATGTCGACCACTTCGCGCAGCACTTCTTCGATGCGCTCCCCGCGTCGGGTGCGGGGAGCTCCGCACCAGACATGATATTCCTCTCGCTACAAGAAATCGCGCCTATCGCCTACTCGTTCCTCGGAGGAGCCTACCTCCAGCCTTATTTCGATGCATTCCGACGTGCAGTCAGCAAAGCGGCCGCGCGCCGTTGGGACCACCACTACGAGAATTTCCTCAGCGATAACACGGGCATGACAGGCCTGATGCTGTTCGCGCGCTCCGATACCCTTGAGCAGATTGCTTGGAAGGACACGGCACATGTCGGATTGGGAGTTTCGGAAATGGGAAACAAGGGTGCCGTCGGGGCTCGTCTGGGATATGTTGTGGAAGGGAATCCATCAAAGACTGTTGATCTAACTTTTGTCGCGGCGCATCTGGCCGCCATGGAGGATTCCTTTGAACGGAGAAATATGGACTGGAAGAGTATTGTAGAGCGTCTTGTGTTCACCCACTACCCGGGCGTGCAACCAGAGTCAGAAGTGAGCGAACATACCGGCCTGTTAAACGACGCAGCCTCAGCACACTCGGATCACAGTCGTCGCGATCTCTTCGCGCCAAACGCCTACCTCTTCGTCGCAGGAGACCTGAACTACCGCACCTCAAACACCGGACCATCCCTCAAGGAGATAGTCCAATTCCCACGACGCAGCGCCGGCCTGGACGACCCATCGCACTACACGCACCTCTTGAAGAACGACCAGCTCATGCGCGAGATGCGATCAGGCCGAAGCTTCCACGGGCTAACAGAAGCGCCGATCGACTTCCCCCGACATACAAATACTCCGACGCAGCACGCGAAGCAGCACGACAGGGGCTGGACACGGAACAGGAATGGAAATGGTCCAGCCACCGCTGGCCCAGCTGGTGCGATCGAATCCTCTACCTGGACACGCCCTCGTGGGTGGGCGAAGGTGGAAAAGTACAGACATTCGCATACGATGCACTGCCTCTCTTTGCACAGTCAGATCACCGCCCCGTTGCGCTCGTAGCCTCGGTGCCGCTGAGACCCTCTGGAGAGAATCACACGAGACCGGATCTCCGCGCTGTGGCTCCGTTTTCCATTGATCCGAACTGGCAGGCCAGGCGGGACATGGCGCGTCGGAAGGAGATCGTGGTGGGTGCAGCTTCGTATCTGGGACTGACCTGGGAAGGGAACCGACTGCTGTTTGTGTTAGTGGGGGTATCTTCGGAGCTTGGTTTCTTCTTCGATCTATGGAGGTTTAACGTTTCGGTTTGACAGGGCGTAATCTTTGTTTGGGTGTTTTCGGAAGAGTATCATGCAATGCTGTTCGCCTGAATCGGTACTTTACTTCTTCTGGTATTTGTAATGTTGCATCGTCAGCACCCAAGGTTCCAGGATTACCCGGGCCCTGTGACGATTCATCAGATAACTGCCCAGGTGTAGACCGGCTATCGGCTGCTGGGACAACCCAATGATAAGTCTTGGTTTGGCAAGCCCAGAGGGTCACATGAACCGAGCCGATCCGAAACGGTCTGGATGCAGAATGCAGGTAAGATGGCGCTGGATGAGGTCACCGGCTTGTACACCTCCGATTATCGCTTCGGGCAATGACTCCAATGGCTGAGACCACCTACATGTACGGTGTAGGCAGATGTCTGGGCAGCAGTAGAAACGGTGTAGTCAAGTACAAAACTTCTGGAACATGTTCCTGCAGTGGAGACCAGCAAAATGGCATCTCAAAGTGCCGTCACACCCAGGACCACATGAGCCATTCAAGTGACGCAGCTTAAACATCGGCCACGTCGACCTCTCACCGGAACGCAGTACGACGCTTATTTGCCAAGCAAGCGTTTCATTAGAAGTGTCAATAGTCAAGCTTCTAGATCTAATCATTCCATGGCATTTGCCGGAGCGGGATGGGAAAAGGAAAAAAGGAAGTGGGAAAAAAAAATAAAAATAAAAAAGAAAAAAGAAAACAGGCCTGGATCCACAAGCCTCCACAGGGATACTAGGATCTAGGATGAAAGGGAGAAATCCAGAGCAAATCTGGAATGGCCGCGTCAAAGGGTTGAATTGGATTGTTGGTAAGTTTCATTGGAATTGGCGAATAGAGTGAGATAGTAATAGGGGGTTGTATCCCCTACAAGGGCCTGAACATTCCCCCTAGATTGTTAAGTTACCGATTACCGATTACCTACATGTACATACGGTGACAGGGCTGATCAGGAGAAGATCAGAATGTTCCATGCAAACAGGCCTGATGGGGACAATCGAGGAATATCCCCTGAGTTGTGGGGATGTTTCCAGAACAAGAGGCCCGAGGCCTTAACTCGAAACTGCTCTAAAATTACGGGCTAGAGTTCGTATAAGCTTAACGAGTGAGTTTCGCATGCAATAGGAGATACACAGTAAGGAGATACTTTAGAGATAGAAGAAAATAAGTTACAGAATATTTCGTTTTAGTCTGGATTTAAGAGCCGATCAAACCATCTCCGGGAAGGGGAGATCTGTAAGAAAAGGTAAAGCGTCAGAGAGAGATTAAAGAAAATAAAATAAAAAAGAAATAATGGAACCCTAAAATTTCTACAGGTCTAAGCCATCTTTTTGAGCCTCTGATATAAACCCCGTCTCTTCCTCCGCCTTGACCTCTTTAACTCTTGCTCTCTCCATCCCCCTTCTATTCCCGACGTCATCGGTCTAACGCCTTTTCGTTGAGATCCCTTTGTCTCTCTGATCATATTACTTCTACACTACTATACTACTACACACCATACCACACTACTTCACTACACCATCACCATGTACTCATGCGCCAACTACCCCCGCGGATGCCGAGGCCGTGTCAACAGACAAGGAACAAAGTGCTCTGACTGTGTGGTATGTTGACTTAGTCAAAACCTCTATTCTATTCTCTCTATTCTCTCTAGAATATATAGCTAAGATCATCCAGTCCCTCAACTTGCGCCGCCCAGCGTCAGCTTCTCCATTTGCCCAGCCGCGCGAGTACAAGCGCATGCTGCCTTCAGAGCTCTTTGGCGAGTCCTCAAGCAAGGCGCCCGAGCTCCAGCTGTAATGAGAAGCGCGCACTCCGGGACGGTCTGGAAAACCACAGCTGCTAGGTTACGATCGTGATTCCGTCCTGCTGGCTGGGACCTAACGCATGATCTCCAGCTGTTTTCCTTTGCTCGCTACTTCTCTACTTCTCTGTGTCTTTTTTGCCTCTCTCTCTATACCTCTACCTCTCTCTCTTCCCCTCCCTCTCCACATCTCTCATATGCATCGCCGGGAGTTTCTTTGTCATATCTAACGACGGTGGCCATCTACTTTTGCCATAATTTTCTCATTTGCACCCCCTCCCCCACTCTGATCCTCATCTCTTTATCTCGCTTGACTCTTCCATATCCGCCGGGTCGGTGTGGAAGGGTCCTTTGCGATTTTCTCATCTCTCCCTGGGAAACCCGGCATGCATGAACGATCTGTCAACATTTTCATTTTTCGCTCATTTGGGTTGTTTTCTTGGGGGAACAAAGACCGGCTCGGCTCTCTGCCTTTGTTGCATGGAGGATATATATAGAACGCATTTTGCATGGATACCAACGGAAACATGGACCTGCCACTGGTGGGCAGTGGCGCTGATGGATTGGGGGCTCTCCAACTACCTACAGAACGTGGTTTACCCCTTCTCCTTACTTTTATTGTCTATTTCCCCGCGCATACGTTTGCTTGTGCGCTGATGTTCTTCTTGGGTTTTTCTTTGGTTATGTCCTATTTTTGCCTTTCTCTTTCTCTTTGTATTTCTTGTTCTTTTTCTTTGTGACGCCCATACCCCCTGTCTTCTTTTTTATTGCGCTCATGCTCCTAGTGCTAGATACCTTATTACCATCTGATATTTTTTATTTGATTGTCCTTTTTACCATTGATGTCATGCATTCCTTACCAGTTTACACTAAAAGTCCAGGCTAAACGAGTGAGGCTCAGTCCTGCAGATCTAAAACCGTTGTGAAAGTTTACTTTCTCTCCCAGCCCCAAAGCAACTGGGGCTGTGAGCCTTTTGGCCCCCAATGGCCCAAGGCCAATCTGTTTCGAGTCTGACTACTATTTCTATTTGTATACACTTCAGCCGCATGAAACAACCTCTCCATACTTAGAAACACAGCTCGTGCATGCCCCGCCATTCCCATTCCCATTCCCATCTTGAACTGTTTCATCTACCAAGCATCAGCCTCGATCTAGCCTCAGTCTATTTTCTGTCACGTCTATCCCAGGACACCGTCTGCGCTTGTTTTAGATGCTAGATCCTAGTTCCTGCCCAAACTGTGGATCTGTGTCTGTGTTGTCCCCTGGTCTCTGGTCCCCGGTTCCCCGCGGCTTGAGCTGAACTGGCCCTTTGACTGGTTCGTGGTTGGTCATGTCACATCGGCTTAGGCAAAAGGATTCAAGGGCAATCTAGATCTGGAGTATGTGTCTATGGGAGGCTTCGTGCTTGGTGCCACTCTCTGTCGATCTTTTTGGCCGCTCCTTCCTTTTCTAGCTATTGTTCTTGGGTGCCTGGATTTGGTGTCTTATCCTTGGCCTTGGCCTTAGTCTAACAGACAGACTTACACTTACACTGCCCAGTACTAATACAGCTATACGGAATACGGAAACCCGATTACGGCTGTATAGTCTCTCGGGGGATGGCATAATATCTGCACGGTGCAGGATCTACCGGGTCATGTGGCCGGGAATCGAAAATCCAGACCCCTTCGTGTTCGGAGAATTAATGAGCCCACACCGGGGCGCTGAATAGCCCACCTGGGCAGAGTAGAGTGATTGTTTTGTCACACCTGTTAGAGCGCCGGTATCCGAGGACAAACGTGCTCAGGGAAAAAAAGGGGGTTACCAGGGAGAGGGGAAAAAGAGAGACAATTGTTGTCGATCGCTTGTTTCACAAACACATACTGTACTTCGTACCCACCTGCCATTGGCATGTCCACATTTGAAACTATTGTGCTGATTATTGTCAGGTAGACACAATAACGGGAGAGGGAAAAGAAGGAATCCACCGAAAGTGGCTGCCTGAATGCGCAATTATCGAGAAAGTCAGAGCCCAATGCTCAATTGCCCAAAAGCAGGGGAAAAAACTAAGTAAAAGTGGATTCCGTTAGAGACATTCCACTGTTCGACTGACAGATTTCTGAGATGTAAAACAAGCCTGGTGGAGAGAGCTAGGCTGTCTAGTGTCTAGTGTGTCTTCTAGCTGATTCTTCCGGGCTTCTGTGCTGTTGCTGCATACGAAAGAATAAAATAAAATCAAACCCAAAAAAGGACACTAACTTTCCCCCTTTTCTATCTGCTTTTTCGGTATTTCTTGCCTGCTTTGTGTCAGCCACAGCATCGATCGTCCGTTGTTTCAGGGTAGAAACTGTGGGGATTTTGCCACGCCTCCACTACGGGATGTCTCTCCCGTTTTCTCTTCTAGAAGGGTTTGAAGAACTCGCTGTGGCTGGGTGTTTGGTTCCCCTATTCTATGGATCATCTCGTATTCTTCTTACAATTGACAGGAGAGTGGTATTCTACCATTAGCATGGACTAGGAGAGAGCGGAAATTCCGAAATTGACTTCATTAATCTCCCTAAATTGCTGCCTCGTTATATTGTCTCCTATCCATCGAATTACATGCCGTGGCGCGTATGTACATGTGATAGCGTGTCGTGCAGTAGTTACTGCAGGTAAGTGGGCAATCCCTGTCAACCCCAAAACCGAACCGAACAAACTACCATGGATTGGAAACACACACCATGGTACATGTACATGAAAACATCACATCTATCTGTGAGATCCGTACTCTATATCCATAGTGGACCAAATCTCAACATCTTACAGCTGGGCAGACACCCGCTTAATAAGTACAATCTATTTACAACAAAATACGAACAGGAACAACCCAATCTAACCCACGCTCCTATAAGAGCCCAGAAAACCCGTGCCAGGATATTGACGTTGCAAACCTAGATCTGACACAAGTGTCAAACAAATTGCATTCAAATTGCAGATTGCCGAACAGATCCAACGCGCTCAAGGCTCACTGGTTACTTTCCGAATATCCGAGCTTCCGAACCCCCCGAGTCTGGAACGCGTTCCTGTTCCTGGTGCGCGGGTCGGGTGGAAGCGCGAAACGGCTTTCACTTTAATTCCGGTGTGTCCGGTAGTTTGGATCGCTTTTTTTGCCCTGCTTGGATCGTGGCGGAGATCCTGTAATCTCGGGTTTTGGGTTGGGCGTTGGGTGTTACGCGGCACTTGACCGGGGGTTTTTGGAGGTTGGGTGTTTTTTTTTTGTGCGTATGTCATTTCTACCATAAATGTAATGTAGATGCTGGTTACGGATATGTAGAGGGGCTAAGTGGTAAGTGCTTGGTGATCTGATCTGTGTTGTTTGATGTTTCTACCAAGGTTGGTGGTTTGGGCTTATGGCTAGGTCGGTCTATAGAAGAGTACTAAGAATGGGGCTTGTTTTGGGTGATTTTGGAGTATTCTCACAATCCAGATTTGCTATTGAAGCCTAGGTCGATGCGCTTTTCAGGTAGGCATGTAGACATTCACCCATTTCCTAGCATCTGCCGGCATACCCACTCTGCTGTCTTCGTATGCAGGGTCCAGTCTCGCTTGTCTTCTAGGGCTTCGTTGGCTCCCTCAACGTCGGGATGGCATGCCTTCCCTAATTCCTCAAAAATGACAACTTGATCTCGCATGTGTCGATCGAGACATGGTTCACTTCCAGGGGGCCTGTGTCATCTGTATTTGGTCTCTCGTTCGAGATCTCTTCAATGAACCCGTCCACACATCGGCCAACCAGGCTCTTAATCCCATAAGCATCTGACCCATGTCGAGAACGAGAATCTGATCGTGGTTTTTGATTCCCTTTGTGCTTTGGTTTTCTCCCTTGGTCGAACGGATCTTTTGGTAAACTGCCCAGAGCATCATGCCCTATCCTGAAGCCCGAGGAGGTATGGGCCACAAGGAGGAGATATACATGACTGCGGTGGCTTGTAGCTTCCGAGGTGTGAATCTCAATCGGAATTGGTATGCCATCAGCAACATCTCTAGCAATGTCATCTTCGGATTTCGAAGTCGAGGGCTTAGCAAATGTAGACGGGTTCAACTCCCTCAGTGCACGACGCAGGGTCTTTTGGGTGACTTGCTCGATATACTGACGGGCAGTACTTCCGCCCTCCCCCAGTGCACCCGCATTGATAGGTGGTGAATCTGGTGCCAGTACCGTAATATCAATTTTCGTAATTCCCCCACGCTTGTGGTCCATGAGATTGATCCGTGGAAAACCAGAGATTGCGGATTGTGAACCTGTTCTCTGCGCTTCATCTGGAGTACCTTGATGTTCAAGTGGATGGATGAGAAATTGTATTGAGCCTAGGTCAACTGGTCCTGATGACCAGCCACGCTTGTGAAGGAGAATGAAAAGAGGGGGAGTCCAAGTTTAGCGAAATTTGGTACAAGGACCTGTGTGGCATAGTCGTATGATGGAGAGAAAGATGCATTTGTTCCACCCGTGATGCTGACTGTGATGAATGGAGCAGCTGCCTTTGATCCTACGTGAAGTAGGTATGGATAGAGAGCCTGGAACACAAGAAAGATAGCACCAGCTGTCGGGAGGCGAATATCGTATTCTGTCTGCACCTCAACTTGCGATAGATCCACCAAAGGTCCGTTGTTTGATTTCGGGTGTTGTGGGAAAAAGTTCAAGAACTCGGAGCCGATCTCATTGCCCGACACTTTGCTGTCACTGATCTCGCCCAGCAACTTGACGGCTGCGACATGGGATCCTTTTAACCCCTTCTTCCCCTGGCGATTTCCGCGAATATGATCGATGTTGACTGGCTGACTGGTCAAGGTTGACAGTGCTAGGGCAATGCGGACCAGCTGGCCACCTCCTTCTAGGGTTCGCCCGTTCAAGTTAACGTGATTTGATTTCGTAGTTGCTCGGGGTTCCGCCATTATGAGACTCATCTGCAGTCGAATATCCTGGGATCCGAGATTCAGTCTACAGTAATGAAATATAATAACTGTAGATGAGTCGACTCGTATATTCACAGCCTCAACTTGAGTCAGAATGCGTCAAGGTGCTGCCTTGGCGTGACTCAGCGCTTAGGGTGGGCGCTTAGCTTTGCAATGCAACCAGATGAAGCTCTGAACATCTATGATGAACTTTGAACTGTAAAGTGTAAACTGAGGATGAAGTTGCAGGCCCTGCCATTTACGATGGCTCCTTCCATAGTTGCTTTTGCCTGCCATATTCCTGGCTTCCACTCATCGCATTCTTCTCTTCACATCCGCCACATCAGGATATATACTCTGCAGACTTTTGAAACATGTTTTCCTCATCCATTACACGGAATCGACTGCGAAGGTCCATGTCGACCCGCTCAATCCGCAAAACACGGCGAGCGCCAGGCCCCGAGATCGTGAACCCCGATGTCGCCATGCTTCAAGCAACTGCCGCAGCATCACGGGCAATGCGTGGAAGTGATAGATCGTCGCAAGAACCAAAGACCTCATACGACCGTCTGGGTGGTCCAGCAAACATTGCCGTTCCTCGACGACGCCCCGGATCAAGCCTTCCGTTTACAGATGATGGGACCCAGGGAAGTTTCCCAGCATTCACAACCCCACGCCAATCTACAGAAAGAACTGGCGGAGCCGGCCGAGTTTCGCGTGCGGATGGTTCTGCTGTCCTTCCACCGATCACAGAGTTCAAAGGTCTCGATGGGCGTAACAGCTCTGTTCCCTCTTCATATCGTCGGCTACGCAAGGCCAAGTCAATGTTCTCAACCAGACAGCGAACTTCACAGACCCCGTATGGAGTGCCGGCACTGCCCTGTGGTGACCCCTCTGATCCTGAACGGAGCCCTGGTTTTCACCTGCCACGAACAATGAGACGGACAATGTCATTCCTACACGGAAGTGGTCAATCACAAGCTGACCAGGACGCCAAGAACCATGATGAATCTCTTCAGCTGGCTCGAAGTCAATTCAATTTGGAATCCGAGGACGTGGGGATCCAGACTCGCCGGTCTTCCTTCTTGCTCAGGCGCAAGAGGGAGCACAGGCCGTTCCGAAAGACATTTCGTGCCACAAGTGAGGGTGGTACTGGTCAAAACACTGGAGATCCTCGTGGAAGGTCTCGAACTATATCAAGTTCCATCAAAAATGGGTTCAGACGGGTGTTTGGCTTTTCCAGGATGCCAGAGCAATCCGCCTTGCAGGGCGATATCAAGTACGGCGAGCCCTTCAACACAAGCCCCATCGAAAGAATATCACAGGATTGTTCTCGTCGCGAAAGAAAAGACACAGAGCGCTATGCTGGCCCCAGTCCTTCCCCGGATATGTCCTATACTCCTAGCTGTGATAGCCTTTACACCGGCAAGTCCCGAGTTACCAGCTGGGCGGACTCTAGCATAGCAGACACTGTTACTACCAGGCGACCTGGCCACCGCCAATCGCTCTCCTTTATCAGAGAAGATGGCGACCTGGAACCAAGGATGTTTGCAAGCGACACGGGAGATCCTGAGAATCAAATTTCTTTGGATGTGAGATCAAATCCCCGTCCAAGGGGGGTTGTGGACAGCCATGACCTGTACTCTGCTTTGATAGAACAAATGGGCCGAAATGCCCTACCCAACCCGAATGAAGGAATTGTTTTCGGGTCTGTGCCACAACATTCTGTTATTCCAAAACGGACCAATTCGGTGTACTCTCAGCGCGGTAGGCGCAGTATCCGCCATGTCCCAAGTGAAGGATCCTCAGCCTCACCCAAGTCATTTGCAACAGCACGCGGTGGTGATCAGTCAAGCCCGCAGAGGTGCCACCCACATCTGAACCAATCTTTTGCTTCCATGCAGATTTCCCGGGGCATGTCTGTTTATGGGACAAGTCAACAAGTCCCAGGAAAATCCGCGCGTCCAATGTACGCCGCGAGTGAGGGATCCGAGGATGAAGACGGCAGCATCATCATCGCCCGGTTCGGGCGTTCGAAAAGAGACGCGGTGTCTCCAAGTGTTTATTCCCGGTCCACCAGTGGCAATACCCCGACAAATGCTGACAATACCGATTCAGTTGACACGCACGCGCTATGCGTGGACGATGAACCTGGAACAGCAACAATCTTCGCTCCTCAGCGAAGTACTTACAGCTCACCGAAGCGCTCTGCCCGCATCGCATCTTCCAGGACTCATGTCAAACCCAGTGCTGATTGGCACCAATGGATGAGCTCCCAGATTGACAGGATTGAGCAGGCAAGCCCCACAAGAGAACATGTCAGGGAAGATGCGCAATTCCAAGATGATGACGAATACCTGACCAGAATAGCTCAACAAGTTCCCATCCCTGGTCCGGTCTCAACAAACTGTATTAACACTCCAACCAGCCAGGGTTATGCGGAGCACAAATCTTCTGTTGGAATCAGAGTCCCATCACAAGGCAATTTTTCCCGTCCTTTCGGTCAGGCCTCCAACATGAGGACCATTTTGGCATCACAGAAGTTTGATTCAGGGGTCGTGGCACAGGATCACTCGAGCACCCCAGCCACGGGTCCAGTCGCTATGTTTAACGAAAACGCTTCGCCCAGGTCTAGCCAGATTGCTGAAGACGAGATGCTGTCGCCAATCCGGATCAGATCCAGTAACATGCAGCCCCCAGATTCCCCAACGCCAAATAAGATGGGAGCTAAGCGGACTTGGACGCAAGAGCAACACCGACGGTATTCCGCCAGACGTCCACCAATTTCGCAGGATGGTAAGCCTGGCCAGTTCCGATCCATGCGCAACCAACGAGACGCCCGTGGTAATAACGAGAATATGAGACATCAACATGAGTTCAATGACGTGATGGAAAACTATCATCTCCAGGACATTCACTCTGCCATCTCAAGCAAGCGCATGGTGGACATGTTTTTGGAGAGTCGACGCCAACAGATGTCTGAAACTTCTGATAACAAGACAGCAACCGAGGCTTTTATTTGAACATGGATCAGTCGAATCGCGTAGTATCTGATTAACTTTCAGAAGCTTTCTTGTTTGTGTTTCATTTGTTGTATTCTTCCCTGTCCTGTATGCTGCAGTCTTTTACTCTATGGACCTTTTACTTGAGATAGGTATATGCAGCATGAATTTAGATATCATTACACGTTACAGCTTTCCTCGCGATCAATAATAAATAAAACTGATTTACTCATCCTCTATAGTCAGGCAGAACGGTAGGGGCAAATAACTACAAGCAAAAAAAGAAACTCTCCCTCGGGGAATCGAACCCCGGTCTCCCGCGCTTATCGGTTTTAATGACAAGCGGAAATCATCACCACTAGACCAAGGAAGATTGGATGACCGAGTTACTGCTCGACCACTTGGATGGTTGATGGAATATTTGGCCATCTTTGATATTATGACTCTACGGCTCACAACATCCAAAATGCATTAGTTATCTGTGCCAACAGCCCCCCATCGCCAATCTATCTTAGCACTGTTACCGACAACACCATTCTATAATGTGTGGTGATCGTAGAGTGTTTTCTGTTCTTAATCTTCAATGATTTTACAGGTGTGGTCACTTTTTAAAACATATTTGATCATGATGTATATTTGATGACCAGCCGTATGGGTTTAGAACACAAACATCGAAAGCAACAACACATCCATACAAAGTATACGTGTATTCAAATAAGAAAACAACAAATCCCATTAATTGCGTATTCGGATATATAGGTATGTAGGTATTCGCGCACCACAGTAAAAAGGAAAACCCAGATTCGATCCCACCATTTTGCATCTTCGCTCCCAATCACCCAAGATATATTGTCCGAATCACTCCACATAATTCGCAGGGAAAAACCCCTTCTGCCCCCTCAACTCACCCTCCCACCAATCATCCGTACTATCAGACCTCTGAATGATACGAATCTGATCACCCTCCCGGAAAACCAAATCATCACCGCCCTGCCCACCGAAATCATACAACGCCGTTACAAACGTTGCAGCACGTTTCGGCGGCGGCGGTGGAGGACGCTTCTTCTTTGCAGCGATTGCAGTGGCAGTATCCAAGGGTGTACCGCCCCTCGGCGAGGCTGATGCCGAAGACTGGAAGTAATCTATGTTCGGACCAGCGGGTGCGAATTGCATCACGCCTTGCGGCATGGGCTTCACGGCTGGCATGGACGCTGGTGGGGTAGGCATGAAGGAGTCTCCGCCCGTGGAAAGAGGAGTTGTCGCACCGGAGCTGGAGACTGTTATGTTGTGATGAGTGGTAGTCGACAGGGGTGGCGAGGGCGAGTCCTCCTGGACGCAAGAGTTCGGGCCTAGGTTTGGAGCTGGGGCCGTTGATCGGCTGCGGACTGAGAGGTTGGAGATCGAGGAGGCGGTGCTTGCTTTGCGGCCGCCTATCGAGGGTCGTTTGCTGTTTTGTTGGTCGACTGAGGCTTTGCGTAGGGCTTTGCCTTGTTGCAGGCAGCCGAAGCTTTCGATGTGGGACTGGATGGGGTTGTAGGCGTATTCCCAGTCCTGGACGATTTGTTCCATTGGTGGGGGTGGGGATGGGAATCCCTCTTCTTCGCAGTAGGTGTGTAGCACTGTGTAGTAGTGTGCTAGCATGCGGTTTTGGATCTCGACTTGGGCTTCCAGGATGTATGGGGTCAGAGAGAAGACCAGGGAGACTAGGGTTGGGAGGCGCTGGCGGAGGTCATCATCGGCAGCTTGGTACACCTGGAGGGCGGTTAGTGTCTGGTATTCTCTTGGTGCTCGGCTTTCATCTGCGTACCACTTTCGCATTGGCAAGCTCCGTCTCAGCTTTGGCCAGGTTCACATTGTCGCGATCGGAGCGCTTGGGCTTCTTCAAGAGGCCATCAACGCGGCCTTGGGAGCGTTCGAAGTCAGACTGTTGAAATGAGATGTTAGCATCCACAGTCCAATCAAACACAGGCTTATCACTTACCTTTTTGTCATTGCGCTTCTTGATTGTCTTCTTCATAGGCAGCAAGGATTCCTTGGCATGTGCAGCTGGCCGCGTCATGCGATCCTCGACAGCATTGAGCTCTTCCACCAGATCAGTCCGCAATTCATCATATTCCTTGCGTAGTCGGTTTGTCCGAGCTAGCTTGACTGGGTCTGTTTCCACTGGGTTGTGGTTGGACGGGGTTTCTGAGGAGCCGATGATAGGACCGTAGAAGCCGTCGAACTCATCGATCATTCGACTCTGGTATGTTGCGATGGAAATCCAAGCATCACGCCAGGCTTTGGTAGAATCCACGATCTGAGAAAGCAGTGAGTGTTAAAGTATGCGAACGCGCGTCCTAGGAAATATGGATGCCTACCTTGCCCAGGAGCATATCAGCATCGTCGAAGTCCTTCAACAGCACAGCAATCTGGCTATCATCTGCTGATTGCTTGGTTGTCATGCGCCCAAAGCGCCTCTGCATGTTCTGCATTCTGGGCGATGGGGAGCTTCCAAGTAATGAGTGGGGAAGCGGGTTGGAAGCGGGGAGAGGTTGGAGTAATAGTTGACCACAGACGAAGTACACGGTGAATCTGACCCAGTGACCTGACAAAACAACCCCAGAAACCGAAGCCAGAGTGAAGGTTGACAGAATCAAAAATCGGAAAAAGGGAGGGGGCTGCCATGACACATGGCTTGGCCCCAATGTGTTTCAGCCTCTCATGCGGCTCTCTTTCCCCTCCCCTCCATCTTTCGTAGTGTCGATCAATTGTAACTTATCATATACTTCGAGTATCCCACTCAGCCCAGTGGACCCTTACTCCACTCAAAGCCAACTGTGTCGCATTGGTCCACGAACCTGTGTACTGTTCAAATTGACTCACTTGATTCCGCGTGGGGGCTGGATGCTTGTATTGGGAGTCATTGACAGGGGTATACATAGGGTGGGGGCGATGCCATTGGCCCCAATGTATTTCATGACTCGACGAAGCATAGAAGCAGGAGACCATCAAATAAGTTCGACCCACGACCAGAGCAATGAGTAGAGAAATTAAGAGTGAGTACGTGGTAGATGTAGAAGTATAGTTTCGTGCCTGAGGCCTACCGCGTTTACCTTTTCCCTTATCCGGCTTATCGTATCCTGGGACCTCCAGGGCTGACTGGACTAACCTTCAAGTACTTACATCTCACTGTCATGAGTTGCATAGGCAGACATGATGTCAACGCCATCCTCGACTGCGCGAAGTGCGACCGCAACTTCGCCCCAGGTCACCGCGTCGGTCGTCAAATTCCACTGCCTCTACACCCACGATCTGCGGCGCAAGTCAAAACGATGGCAAGATGGCTATCTACGGTACCACAAGTTTAACAAGCGCATAATGGTCTACGACGACAATGGAAACTTCATTGGTGACCATCACTGGCGATCCAATGACGAGGTCCAAGATGGCGACGAACTCGAGCTGGATAAGGGTGTTCTGATACAAGTTACCGAGTGCACGGGGACGAGTGAAACCGATATCACCAACCTTTACGAGAAACGAAAGTCCAGCCAGGGTTCACCACAGACAAAAGATCCAATGTCCCAAGCTCCCCGCTCTTCGGCGCCTACCCGTTCCTCCGGCTCCCAGTCTTTCCGTTCGCTAAACGATCTGTTGAATATAAAGAAGACCCCGATCGGACACCTCGTTTCTCCATACGAGCAAAGGAATCCCCCACCGAAGACGCAGAAGACACCAGAACCCACAAGACCGGCGAAACGTCAGAAGACAACCACGGCGGTGCCTACACACCCCGAGAGAAGCTCGCGCGTTCACAGTCAGGTCATTGATTTGACGGAGCCGAACCCCAGAGCTTCTTGGAGACAGGATACGAATACCCGAGCAGAAAAAGAGCCTCTCAGTTCTGGAGGTTACCCAGTGACCGATGCATACCCGACAGTTCGTGAAGCTACACGGACAACAGTTGCGCCAAAGCCAACTCTGCCCCAGAGACCCAATCTTCCTTCTACCACAAGAAGCACTGTAGCCGCTGCACCTGAAATGATGAACAACCGACCAAAACCAATGGCGCCACCTCGTATTGCACCCAAGGCTGTACAACCTGCCGCACCCGTGAACAATAGACCTCAAGATCCGCCGCGGCCTATGCAGTTCCAGAGACCCGGCCCTGTTGTCACAAGAAATCCAGTACCTGCTGCACCTGAAACGGGCAGTAGTCGACCAATACCAAAGGTGCCACTTCTTACATCACCCAAAGCTATGCAATCTGCCACACTTGTGAACAATGAGCCTCAAGACCTGCCGCAGCCCCAGAGACCCAATCCGACGGAATTCTCAAGACCTTACATTCCAGAAAGGTCGATAGAAAGCCAATCCCCTCTACCCCAGGGAAGAATGACAATGGATGAGCCTGTTACTGGGGTCAGAGATAGATCGAAAGATGTGTCGAACCCCATGCAGCCACCAAGGCCGGGTCCTCCGACAGCTTCGAGGCCACCTTTTCCAGCGCCAAAGCCTCTTACCACTCGTCCCGTACCGAATGCATCAGTCCACGAAACCAATAAGAATACAGAACTTGGGAAGCCCACCAGTGACACAGCTTCCAATGATATGCCACCTCCCTCGCGCCCATCCAAGGCAATACCGTCAGACAAACCCACGACCTCTCTACGGATGGCAGCTGCAAAGCCACGCAGGAAGCTGATGTACAGCGCACTGCTGCCAGGTGATATCTTACAAAAATCCTCGTCTCCACCAACAAGGACACCCCCCGATACAAACCCACGTGAGACTGCCACAATTTCCCAAGAGCCGCAGTTAGTGTGTACCCATCCAGCAGCCAGGATTGCAAAACTAATGTCTACTTAGGTTTACAAGACCAGTCGTTTCCCCTACTGAAAATCCCGGGACTTCAAATGAAGACTTCATGCCGTCAGAGTCAACACAATTTATATTCGACGAGATGCTAGATGGTTCGGGCTTCAAACCGCCTTCGGCAATTCGAAATCTTACGAGAAAAAGGTCTCTTGATTCGCCTTTGCGCAAATCATTTTCGGATCCAACTGCATTGATTTCACGACATGGCCACCAAGCCCCATCAAACTTCATGAGAAGCTTGTCGAATGCAGCGGACCAGGAAAACGAACCCAAAGAACAAGGACCGTGGACCTCTGAAGCTTTGGATCTGTTTGATTTCTGGCCCGCTGGACGCCCAAAACCTACTTGATGAACCCATGATACCAAGAATTATCCTGCATACCCTCGCACATAGATATAACATATATGATAGAAAAAATGATACCCCAGTGACATTGACAAAGAAGCTATACCATATGGCGCAACAAGAACTATAATCCTAAAGACCCTTCTTAACCAAAGTCCCGGAAATATAAGGCATAGCAGACCACTCAAAAGACCTCTCCAACTCAAAACTCTCCCAACCCCCATCAACCTCAGCAGCCCTCGACAAAGCCCCCTCGATATCACGAGTCAAACAACAATCCCCAATAAACCAACTCCACCCAAAGAACTGATAAAAACCCTGCGCAACCCTCCCTACAAGAGACCCCTTAGCCCTCCACCACGGATTAACAACATGCTCGGTAACAAGAAACCGCCCACCAGGCTTCAAAAGCCCATACAACTCCCCAATCGTCCGCTCCATCTGCGGCACCGAACAAAGGACACGAACACACAATATCGTATCGAAAACACCCGCGCTGGCATCATCCTCATACTTATCCACCACGCCAGTCCCCGTCGCCTTAAGCGCGGGGATTAGCTCTGCGGCTGCTGCGCCGCAGGGGAGGATGTGGTATTTCTCAGAGATGCCTTCGGCGATTGCGCGGGCGCGCAGCTCGGCGTGGAGGCCTGTGCAGGGCTCAGCGCCGTAAAGTGATGTTATGGAGGGGGATGTTAAGAGCGGCATTTGGGTCCCTGTTCCTGGGCCTACGTCTAGGACGGTGCCGCTGGCTGTTTTTAGGAGTGATGGGATTAGGGCTGAGCTGCCCACTGGTTGCAGCGGTTGGTTTGTTGTTGGGTCTGGGCTCGTTAGGCGTTGGGGTTGGGCTGGGTTGGTTGGTTTGTTAGGGAATTTGTACTTTTGATATGGTAGTGGGTGTTGATGAAAGAGTGATCTTGTGTTGGTCTCTTTCTTGCTTTTTTTCCCCCCTAGAAATGGGGCTTTTTTTTCTGGGACTTACAGCTGAATTCGACCCAGAAATTGCCGAATGCTTCGTCACGGAGTCTGCGAGTCTGGGTGATTGGTGCGAGGATCTGGCCATTCTTGAAGACGGCTTCAGCGCAGATTCGGAAGTAGTCTGTAGTATTACTATTAGTGCATGTTCACAAGGATGACACAATATCAGCTAAAGAGAAAGATATTTGCAAGAAAGACCTCAATATCGAATATGCAATCTCGACATTGATATCTTCGGCGTCTGTTCGGCGTCTGTACTTACGGGACATGGCCCAAGTCATGAGCTTTGCTGGCTCCAGCATGCCAAGCATTCGCTCGGTAAAAGGTGGTGGTGCCTCAGACGACATGACGGTAGTGATAATGTTCAATTTCGTATAGAATCAAAAATTATCCAAAAGAGAGAAAGTAATATAGAGATAAAGTAGGAATAAGTTAGGGCCGGCGGACGGACCCCGTGACGTGGTGGGGACTTCGGCGTCTGAAATGCGTGACAACCAATTGATGTACAGCGCACTAATTAATCACCGTTGCGAATGGTACAATGTCCCATAAAATGATAACTTAACGTTGACTTGAAATAAGTGAAACAAGGTATAGACATATTTGATTACAAGTTCTGTCTAAATAACTAAAACAGGGAGCAGCACGCAAGAATCCTACAGTGTCTGGCGTATACCGAGGAAAGGTATAGATCAACATATTGAACATAGACTAAAATCAAGTAGCTTGTTCTGTTGCACAGGGTTTGCACAAATACCTAAAAAGAAGATGGTCACACAGTTGAAAGAGCGGACAGAATCATGGCATGTAGTGGCCAGAGGAATTATTGACATAAAAAGAGAATATAGGAAGAAAGCAGATCAGACTTGAGAGAAACGATCCAGCAGGACGCCAACTCGAATGAATGAAGGACAGAGAGAGTGGGAGAGTTGAGATCTGTAGAGACTAAGGAAAGAATGATTGTAGGCGAAGGAAGGAAAGGTGTAGGTGAGGCTGTCCAGAAAAGCATTCTAGAGCAACGATCCGTAATCATTGCCGAAGTCAAAAGAGTCAAAATAGAGGTCTCGGCGTTTGAGTGCGAGAAATTCCACGCGCATATGCATGAAAAGGTCGAGTTGAAGGAAGTATTAAAAAGCGTGGTTGTGGTCGAGAGACAGAAGAAAGAGAACTCGTGGTCATTATCTTTATAAGTGACTCAAGTTGTCTGGGTTGAGGACCTGCCCACAAACCCTACGAACAAATCCCAATCTCATGAGGCGATCGATGTTCAGTGAGGGTGGGGGGAGTGGATGCGATCGACTCTCGGGCTATACCGACTAGTACGCGAAAGAGAACCCACGTCGTGCTTGCCATCACAGCAGGCACGGACATTTTCGAGTCGGTCCAAGTCTTGTGTCTCATGGGCATGCCTCAGGTCATCGACGCTGTCTTGGCCGCGGATGCTTTCATCAAGCATGCTAGGAGACTGGGCACCGTGCCGTCCCTTCAGACTGGCAATTGACCCCCGAATTGAGCTGGAGATCGTGCTCAGCCGTGATGAAGAGCGTTGGTGGGCTTCATCGGGAACTTGCAACGAGTTTGGTCCGGGTGTACTTAGCGCCGGGGATGCACGACCTCCGCCAGACCGCATGGACATAGCAGATGCCGCTCGTTGTTGCTTGGGTGCATTGCGAACGTTGCGACTGTTGTAAGAGGAAAACGACATCCTTGTTCCCTGTCGAGAGCTAGATCGGAAATTAGGATTGAACTCGTCGATATCATCGAGGGTCACGCTGTTGTGGTCTTCACAGTTGTCGTTGGTCTCCCTCAAAAGAAGATAGGACAATGCATTGAACCAAGTCTCGTGTCTCTGGCTGGTCGTAGCCGTGAACCGAACCCGTCGGCCAGGGCTGACAACCTCCAAGCTCCTGCAGTGAAGACCCGGTGGGTACGGGTTATCATCAGCAACCACCCGCACTGCCTCAATAGGCACACTCTTGGTACGAAGTTCGCTCTTTCCAGCGGTTTGCGGGTCGTGCGCACTCCAGTACAATGTACGGGTATAGGGGTGGACCCAGAAGTATCTTCGGTGCCTCGTTGAAGACATGTCTGCCGAACCGGTCTTGCGAGTGTACTTCCAAAGGAATTCGCCAATCATGGTCTGAGTGATGGCCTGGATCATGCGAGGGTCAGTGTTAGGTCCATAGCCCTGAGGCATAGGACCGGCATGAGGGTTCATGTTGAAACGCTCCTCAATCTCGGACGCGAAGGACGAAACCGAGGATCGTCGTGACATCTGACTTTGACTGCCTCTCCTCATTCTGGGCTGAGAGGAAACGGTTCTCGCAGAGCCAGAGCGCGTAGCCTGTTCGTTCGGCGTAAGCGGTCGCTGGGTGTTCATGCGATAGGCAGAGGCGGGTGCCAAAGGAGGACCCATGACACTGGTGGGGGATGGTGGCGCCGCATCGACAGACTTCTTCTCGGCGGCCATAATCGCCTCCCGGTGATCGTGAGGCAGGGGTGGGTGAGCACTGAGACCAGATGTCTGGCTTGTAGCGCTGTGAGGCCGATGGTAACTGGGTGTCGACTTGGCAGATTGAATCTGCGAAAGATGAGGCCGAGACTGAGGCTTGGGTGTTACAAAAGGTACTGCAGCGGCTGCGCCGACGACAGCAGACTCCTTTGATTGCCCTGTGAGTTGACTGCCTGAAGTATGCGGGCGTGTAGAGCCACGTTCCATGAGGATCTGGTCGATTTGCTTCGAAGACAGAATTGTTTGCGCGCCATGGTCCATGGTGACAAAACTAGACTGTCTTCTGGTGGAGCGAGCGAGAGCATTGCCTGAGATATCGTTCAAAGCCAGCCCGGCACCAGCAAGTTGGTGACTATTGTTGGTGTTGGCACGGCTGCGAGTAGTCTCAGTAGGGTGGTCCTCATGAATAAGCACTGCGGCCTTTGAGTCTTCTGTTGGCTCAGTTTGGGTAGACAGGCGTGCCACCATGGGAATAACAGGTGATGCAGACTGCACAGGCTGAGTTTCCACGGAGCGCACAGAGGAGAAAGACAACGCCGGCGGCTCAGGCATAGCTCGAGGCTTTGGAATGGCCGGCTCGGTGTATGTCGGATCAAGGGAAGAGATTGTCAAACTAGGGAGAATTGGTTCAGGAACACTAGCCTTGATAGGCGCGGTGAACTGAGCGGTGATTGAGGAGAAAGTCAAGTCGGGAACTTCACGCTCACGCTCAACGTGCTTGATAACATCAACGTATTTAATGACAGGTTCCGGTTGAGAAACAGTTGCTCGGACAGGTTCCGTTGTTTGAGCAGTAATGGAGGAGAAGGTCAACTGAGGTATTTCAGGCTCACGCTCCACATGCTTTATAATGTCGACGTATTCAATAACACGCTCCGGCTTAGCAGGGGTGGCCTTGACGGGGGATGTAGCTTGAGTGGTGATAGACGAGAACGCCAGCTTAGGCAACTCAGGCTCACGCTCAACGTGCTTGATAACATCAACATATTCAATCACACGTTCCGGCTCAGCAAGGGTTGCCTTAACGGGCAATGTAGATTGTGCAGTGATAGACGAGAACGTCAGCTCAGGCAATTCAGGCACACGCTCCACATGCTTGATAACGTCGACGTATTCGATCACACGTTCCGGCTCTGCAGGGGTTGCCTTGACGGGTGATGTAGATTGAGTGGTGATAGAGGAGAATGTCAATTCAGGCACCTCAGGATCACGCTCAACATGCTTTATAACGTCGACGTATTCGATCACACGTTCCGGCTCTGCAGGGGTTGCCTTGACGGGTGATGTAGATTGAGTGGTGATAGAGGAGAATGTCAATTCAGGCACCTCAGGATCACGCTCAACATGCTTTATAACGTCGACGTATTCGATCACACGTTCCGGCTCTGCAGGGGTTGCCTTAACGGGCGATGTAGATTGTGTGGTGATAGACGAGAAACTCAACTCGGGCAGCTCGCGCTCACGCTCGACGTGTTTAATTACATCCACGTATTGAATGACGGGTTCTGGTAAAGCAAGAGTTGCTTGAACAGGTGCCGTGGTCTGAGTGGTGATAGAGGAGAAGGACAGCTCGGGCACCTCTGGCTCGCGTTCAACGTATCTAATGACATCGACGTGTTTGATAATTGGTTCTGGCACGTGAAGCTTGGGCAGAATGGGACTGGTAGTCTGTGATGAGACCGAAGATACGGTCAGTTCCGGAATCACCGGTGCGGGGAACTCATGCTTCACAGGAGCGGTGATGCCGCCGTTGATATAGGAGACACTTAGCTCAGGATGCTTAGGAGCCTGAGGCGTGGTGTGTTCGGAAGAGATGTCTGCAATGCCCATTTCTGGCAACTCAGGTTGGGCATTTGCCTCTTGAACCGAGCGTTCATCCCAGAGCATCTTTGGCGGCGTAGGAACATTAGCCAAATGATCGCCATCCTCAGGCGAGGGCTTGTGCGGTGTCCACTGTGTTCCTGCGCTGACCAGTCTTGGCGTTGCCTGTGCTTCCTCGGCGATTCCTGTGTCTGCTGTTGGCTGGGTCGGTGTGCTTGGAAGAGCAGCTTCAGTAGCAAAATTGGCACTGATGGGAAGCGTATGCTCCCAAGGCTCGGTCATCACCCCAGAGTCAACCATAATAGGCTTAGGTGACGCGTCCAACATGGCGTCCGAAGGTCTGCGCGAGCCTGGTGTAGCCTCCATGCGCGGCGTAGAAGCCTGAGAAGTTTGCTCATCTTCACCGCCACCTTCGAGCTCTGCTAGTTCAGCAAAGAGGCTCTGGCCCTCTTGAGATACTGGTGCTTGCTCAAAGGTAGGTGCCGGTGATTCACGAGAGCTTGAGGGCCGACTAGTCGAGGCGAATGGCGCCTCCCCGGATGGGCGAATGCGTCTTGACATGCTTCGCTTAGACTTGACCCGAGGCCGGGAGATATGTCTTTGGCTTGGAGAGGGGAATCCTGAATCATAATCCTCGTCATCAGTAGAGGCAGAAGCCGTGCTGTGATAAGAATCGCGATCACGAGTCTTGGACATCATCAGGGAGGGACCTCGGCTGCGTGGAGTTGTTTGGACATTGTTCTCAGTCTCAGTAAGATCTGCCGAGTCACTGCTGTCATCCGCCATGCTTTCCACGCCGGTCTGGAATGCTTCACTTTCGGTTGCTGTTGCTCGCTCATTTGCCGTCTCAAATCCGTCTTCAGCTTCAGTGGCTGTCTGATAAATGTCACTGGGCTCATCGGGAGACACTGTGCCAGGGCGACCCATCGATCTGGTCATGGCAGGCTTGTGAGTAGGACTGATCTGACCGGCGTTATCTTCCCAATCGGTATCATGAAGTTCAACAAAGGACTTCTCTTTGCGGCCCGCACCCAGAAGGTCTGGACGAGGAGGCTTTCGAGATGAATCTGTCTTAGTCTTCTGTCGCTTGCTTGATCCGTTTGGCGCAGTAGTCTCACGGCGACGTGTCTCAACCTCATCCCGGGCATCCTGCAGCATGCGTTTGAGCTCGATCTTCTCAGTCTTCTCACGGTGAATGGTACTCTTAAGATTCTGGATCATGCGGTGAGCGTGACCAAGCGAGCTCTTCAAGGTTTCGGACTCCAAGTGGCCATGTCGAGGAGTGAACTTGTTGGGGGAAGGTGGCGGGGAACTTTCAGGTGTGATTTGCTCCGGCTCATCGCCATCATCATTATAAGCAATATCCCGGCTGCCCTGAGTTTCGTGCTGCCGTAAACGCATGGCAACAGCCTTAGCAAGCTCTTGATTCTGAGATGTCAATTCTGCGAGCTTTTTGTGCAAGGCAGACTTCTCCAGCTCGCCAGAATTCAAATTCCGGCGCAGAAGATGGATTTCTGCATCGTTTGCCTTCTGCATCAAGCTCTGATCCTCAAGTAACCTCGAGTTGGCTTGCCGTAGCTCCTCCAATTCCCGTTCAATGGCGTTCTTTTCGGAAGCTGACGCGGTCAGTGCGGTATTGAGTCGACTTTCACGCTCCGCAGCTTCTCTAGCAGCCGCCATCAACTCGTGTGCTTGTGTCTCCAGTGCCCAGTTTTCATCCTTGTAGCGCTGCTCACTGTCATCAAGTGCCCGGATTCGTTGCCCATATCCCTCGGCCTCCAACTCAAGTCGCGACTTTTCCAGATTAACAGACTTGAGCGTCTCTTCCCGTTCTGCAAGAAGAGCTTGTAGCTGGCGGACTTGAGCCAAAAGAGAGGTGGAGATCTCAGTCGCAAATTCGATATCGTGGACACGATTTGACTGTTGATTGCGCTGCTTCCGGGATGGAACGCTGACTTTGCTAGGGGAGTTCGTGGCTTGACTGGCGAACAAAGCCGGGCTTAGAGGTGACTATCCAAAACTCAATGTTAGCCTGGCCGAGTAGCCGAAGGAGCTGAAACAAGTGCAAGCATGCAACCAAGGTTGTACCTTTTGATCAAAAGACGGCGTTCCGAGCTGAGCCTCCTCTCCCCCTGCAAGGCGTTTGGGCGCCAAAAATGCCCGCGCCGACTCACGACCGATCTCATTATACTCCTTCTCCAGGTCGGCGAGTTTGCGTCGCAATTCCGGGCCCATCTCTCCCTCATCCTGCTGTTGCTCGACCTCCTTCAGCTGCTCCGATAGCTGCTGCTGCTGATCGATTAGGGCTGTTCCCAATTTCGAGGCTTCCTCTAATCGACGTTCCGTCTCCGCCAGATGAGCCTCAAGGGCTCGTTTGGCCTGGGCTGGCGAAGATGCATTGAGGCTAAACAGCTGCGTATCGAATGACGAATATCGGTGGGCGTCGCGTGGGGCTGGCCGTCCGCCATTCGAAACGAAGGGGTCTTCCATGGATACAAAGGAGGTGGTGTCTTCAGGGTTGGGTGCTGTCATGATCCGAAATTCGGGCGCCTCAAACGGCATCTGACACCTCTCGTTAACGAGGATGCAGTTGCCGACGAGAGGCAAGGAGGTCGCGCGTCAATCTTTGTTATTTCAGATTTAGACGGAGGGCATCATCCGAACACCTGCTGAAAACTTGTCGGAGATGTTGTATTGCCCAGCCGACCAGCGACCAGATGTTTCAGATTACCACGCGCCGATGCGACGGGTGTAAGGCACGCCGTCGGGAGGTGTAGAAGAAGGAAAGGAGGGGAAAGTCGAATGAGTTAAACAATAAACACCGAGGAGTTTTGGGCGAATAATCAGTGAGATCCGGTACCTGAACCTTGGCCAGACACACGCGCGTAGGTGTCAACCAACCATAACAAAGTGGTCGGATCTGCAGATGGCGCCGCAAACTGATCGGCTTTTAAATAAAGAAAACAAAGGAAAGGATAGAGCGAATCAGTAACAAAATGAAAAAGGAAAAAAGGAGAGGCAGTTGATAAGACAGGTCGAGTTTGGCTCAGGCGGGGAAGAAAAGAGAAGAGATGAGTGAGCGAACGTGGTGTTATTGCCAAATGGCACCGGTGTTTGAGATTTGAGATGAAGTGGGCTACCCCAGAAACTACGATCGGCTACAGTACAATGTCGAGGGATGTTAGATGTATAAGAGTCTTAAGTGTTTACAATAAACAATAAATAAGATTATACTTCCGTTTGTGTTTCTCTTCGTCCAACGCGTCCCAGAGTGAGACGTTGATGTTTGTCATGTTTGCCACGTTTGCTTACTCATCGCTTCCACCGCCTTCGATATCTCGCTGTTGCGACAACTGGAGACCTTCTTTTCTTTCTAATCACTTCTTTTTGCTTGCAGACACACATAATGACCGAAGAAACAGTTGCAGATACTGTGCCCCAGGTCGCCTTTAAGAAGCGCTCCAAGGGCAAAGCCAACTTCCGCAAGAAGCCCGCAACGCCACCTCCAGCTTCTGACTCCGACTTCACCTCGTCCGATGATGATGAGGGCAAGCGGATTAAGAGGCGGCGCAAGAATGCAGCTGTGACAGCATCATCTACAACAAATATGACGAGGAAGCCTGATGACGAGCCTACCACCGCTGCTCCCCTCCCATTGACCTCGAGCAACGACGCAACCAAGCATTCTGACTGGTACGACGAAGACCTCAATGCGAAGAACCTACTCGGCACTACTAGAGTACGACCGGGACAAGCCTCTGCGGGTGCCTCGACCTCAGAGCCTGACGGCACCTACAAAGGCGCAGCCAACTACCAAAACTTCATCCAAAAAATCCAGACGCACCGACAAAGTTTGGTCCTGTTAAAGCGCCAACCAATGTCCGGACAATCACCGTCACCGACTTTGCCCCCGATGTGTGTAAGGATTGGAAACAGACTGGATTCTGTGGCTACGGAGATTCTTGCAAGTACCTCCACATGCGTGAGGATTACAAGGCAGGATGGGAGCTGGATCGCGACTGGGAGGTCAACACCAAGGGCAAGAAGCTAGACGGACGAGTGGTATCGCAACGAAACGGTGCAGGGAAAGCAGCCGAGGATGATGAGGAGGACGAGGATGAGATGTTGGAGAACATTCCATTTGCCTGCATCATCTGCCGAAAGCCCTATAAAGAGCCTATCATCACTAAGTGTGGCCACTATTTCTGTGAATCGTGTGCTCTGCAGCGATACAGGAAGAACCCCACGTGTGCAGCCTGCGGTGCGGGGACCGGCGGTGTCTTCAACGTTGCAAAGAAGCTCAGCACCTTGCTGGAAAAGAAGCGAGAACGTGCGCGCAAATTACGCGAAGAGGCGCTTGCGAATGGAGAGGAAGTTAGCGACGAAGAAGAGGGGGAGGACGATAGTGAATAGGCGGAAAAGACATCCATAGTTGTAACAATAATGAACATGAACAGCAGCTGGACTGCAAATCAAGTATCTGACTGTAACCATTTGAGTTCTATGTCGAGGCGTGGTGTCTAGGTACATGTATAGCATGAAACACTAGATTCGGCCAACCTTTGCCAATTTTGCTTCATCTTTCGCTGTCGTAGCAGAGGCACTGAAGATGAGAGTCAATAAATGTATAAATATGTCTGGGCTTGGCATTGATCCATGTGCTGTAGTAGCCCAGTCTGACAGATATATACCTGTAGGTGACGCCCAAGTCCCATAGCATGGAAAGTCTTTCTTCCAACAGTCCCCCCTGCAACTCAATCGGCCAGCCAAAGCATCACTCGGCCCCTCTAATTAATGACGAGGAGATCTGCATTTCACGAGATGAGCCAAGACATCTCGATAGCCACGCGGCAGATTGCGCACATGGATAGCTTCGTCGCAGTCTGTCTTCCCAAGCTAGACGATATCTGATCGCGGGTGAGATACAGGGTATATTACCGCTCAAAGCGCAGAAAGCAACACTGATTAAGTACCTGTACAATCTGTACGGTCAAATGTCGATCCCAACCGCTCGGACCTGGAAATTAACCTTGTCTGCGTCTCCGCTTGACGCAATTGCCCAGAATTTGTTGACCATCATGAGTTACAATCGTCAACGCAGGCTGCGCAGAACAATAACTTTAAAAATCTACATGCGCTCGCAATGCAATATTCACATTCTCCCCAAGACAGATCTACATCAGCTTTGACATTCATTCCTTTCCAGCAAAGCGGCCACGACATTGCTCCTGCTGATCGGTGGGCCCGGTGCGGTCATAGACAGCCTGTCGCGAAGGGATCACAGAATCCACTCAAGACCCTGAATGCTTTGAACTGTTTGGTTCGCGATGAAGCCGATCAAACAATGGCTAGCGAGGCCGATCATTGGGGCCGTCGAGGCTGTGCGAGACTCGAAGATCCCAAAGAACAGACCACAGACCATTGTCTTAAGGGTTGATTCAATCTAGCGACACAGCCCCACTCCAATGCGAGACTACTGTTTAGCCTGGTGGAGGACAACGCCAGTGTTCATTATCCTCCACGTCAAAATGGGCAGTTTGAGCGCCAACGCCACGTGGAATCCATGGTACTAGGCACACGCGTGTTGGTGGATACAGCAACTCGAAATGTCTACAGATTGGCCGCAGGCCATGTCCACCCGCGGCACGTTAAGACTTTCACCCGTCCGACCATGGCTCAAGCGCAAACTCAACCTATGAAAGAGGTTAGAGGCGCCCCAAAAGCCAAGCTTTCGCTACCAAGGGCCAAAGCGGCCCCTAACTTTCACCCCGGCTTCAACGAAGGCGGCTCCCCTGAGTTTACGCCCCAGGTGGCCAATGATATGCGGCAAGAATGACATTCTGGCTTCTCCTAGCCCGGCGATAAAGCTTCCCCCTCTCTAGCCTTTTTTATCTTCATTTCCCTGAAATCTCTTGTTCTTGCCATTGTGTCTCCCTTGAACCTCATTCTTCTCCCCATTCCGACGACCTGTGACGACTGCGCCATCCGTTTGACTAAGTTTAGCCTTAGCCTCGCCCCTCCTCGAATTTGCCTTCGGCCGCCTTGCTATTTTGGGACTATTGACGCTCCTATTTCGAAATATCGCTCTCCTTTCTCATATTGGAAAAGGGTTACCCCTAAGGGAGTCAACCATCCATGGCTTGAATGCGATTGTCTGCGCCTTGAATTTTACAACCACGGGCTTCCCTTTCCAAAGTCTCTGGTGTTCGAACCTTCTTCATCATGCGGGGTGGAATACGTCTCGCAGTGATATGCGTCTCTTCTTTGCTTCTTTTCTCTTTATATCTCCTCGAGGCGCATCTCGAAGACCTCTGTAATCAATATCGCGCTGGCGCATACTTGGTTGATTGGTTAGATCGCAATGGCGCCGTTCCGAACCCGACATACGCCGACTCCACCATGGGGGACAAGGTGATAGTGATGGCCAAGCTGGAAGAGGAGCATACCGAATGGGTAGAACAAGAACTGCCTGAGTGAGTGCCTGCGATCCCACCTCTACCCCGTAAACCAGCACTAATCCTGTATCTCACTAGCTGGCAACGCGCAATCTACATTGTCAATCCCTCCCGAGAAACACGATCCGACGCTAACGCCCTGATGACACCATTCAACAAAGGCCACGAAGCAATGGCCTACCTAACCTACATAATCGACAACTACAACAACCTCCCCGCAACAATCGCCTTCCTCCACGCACACCGCTCAGGCTTCCTAATGGCCTGGCACGTGGATGCGCCACTCCACGACAACGTCATCGCCATGCGCAATCTCCAACTCGACTTCGTCCAGCGAAACGGCTACGTCAACCTGCGCTGCAATTGGAATCCCGGCTGCAAGGGTGCCCACCGCTTCAACAAGCATGTCACCGATCAGATCTGGTGGGATGTTTTCGAGGGTACGAGCACCCCTCCGTTGAACATGTCCTCGCCCTGGGAAATGGAATACGGTGGCCATAAATACATCCGCAAGCCTGATGAGATTGGCGCGGCATGTTGTGCGCAATTTGCCGTTTCGCGCGATCAGGTGCAGAAGCGGCCGCTGAATGACTATGTCAAGATCCGGCAATGGATTCTTGATACCGAATTGAACGATGCATCTTCGGGTAGGGTGATGGAGTTCTTGTGGCATATTATCTTTGGCATGGAAGGTGTATAGTAAGTTAAACTTACCCTATCTTTATCTGGGCATTTCCTAACGCTCCACAGTTGCCCCGATGAACAGCTATGCCAATGCCAGGTCTACGGGAGGTGTTAACCCCCTTCTTCAACCTGTGCATTTACCGCAGACCCAGCATCGTGACTAGGGCTGCTGTTGTACATGTTCTGGGAAACGTGTCTGATACAGTTTGTCGCACGGCTTGTACATGCCGTTTTTCGATGTGCATTTGCTGACAGTACAAACATCCCTTGGCGTGGAGTTCGTTCGCTCGTTTTATCATCTAGAACTTGGAGTTTTGTGTGTTGCTTGGGTTAGGGATTCATTTGCGTTCAAGCGCTGAGCGCGAATCCCCCTGTATGAGAGTGCTTTCCATCGTTCATAGGTGGCCTTTCAGATTATTCATTTAGAGATACAATGTGAATACTTTTGCTACCGTGTTGGCTCTCTCGCGTATATTAGACAAGATACTCGGAGCCTGCGAAGCACGGCTCTTCGAGCTTGCCTTTTAGAAACAACTATAGCTACATGTTTTGTTAACCCTCTTGACGTCGCTATACTGTTTTGCAATATTGATAGCCATTAGCTAGCTATAGAAAGGCTACGTGGGCGCCACGCTCGAGAGCCAGCAATAGGGGATTGAAACCCCCTGCATAATGGCCAAAGTGCTGGACTAAAAATGGGTCGACCTTGAGATATGTAAACAGAAATAGGATACCGTCGTAATGCATTAAACTCAGCTACCACCCTCAGGAAAATAGCCAGCGATTAGAACTTCTCTTCAAAGTACTGCTCAACTCGTTCCACCAGATCCGCCTTCTTGCCCGCAGTAGCTCGGCCATGCGCAGTCAAGAACTCCTTAAGAACGGCCACGGTCAACTGTATTTATGTTAGCCAAATCGACGTCCTCTCCATATAAAGTACCATCAATGTGATATGCTTACCTTGGACACGGTGCCCTTTTCAGAGGCTCTTTTGACATCATTATCCAAGTCGTTGCCACCACCCTCAACCTTCACCCGCTTTGACGGGTGACTTTCAGCATTTTCCTCCTTCGCACCTCGTTTCACCAGGGTTGATTTTGTAGCCGCGGTTCCGCCGAACATTTTGGATGACTGGGCTTTTAGTTCCTCGGCCCATGCGAGGACATATTCACCCGCGCGCTATGATAGACAGAATTAATCAGTACGGTTCAAGATCGCAGATTCTGGAAGCGACTCACCTTGTTGATCTGTCGATATTTGGGGATGGTCTTGTCCTCTGCGCTTTCGGGCATATCTTCTTCCAGGGCAAGGGCCTGCAGAATGCGATAATGCCATTGAAGTGCTGCTTCGAGTCAGTTTTACCTTTGGGAGGGGAGAGGGATATGACAGAACTTACAAGGGTTGGGGTATTTTGAAGGATCGTATACAGCCTTTGGAAGCTGTAGCTGCTGGATAACCATACGCATAGAATCAATCAACGAATCAGGCGCCTTATTCAAGGTAGCCTCCGGATTCTCGCGAACATCATCCGCAAAGGGAAGAGGGATAATCCACATGCCCGGTGGGATTTTCTGTACACCATTCTCATCGATCTTCTCAGCTCCAGCAATCATAGCAGCCAAGACAGGTGACGCATTCCTGCGAGGAATGAACCAGACCAAAGCCATTTTCTCAGCCTCGAGGAGTTTCTGCTGCAACGCAGAGAAGACTCGGGTTGAGCCTATGTAGTCTTCTTCGGAGGGATAGATGAACGATGGGTGTTTAACGTTGGCCCAGATCGGCAGCGCTGACAGTGGCTTGAAGCCAATGATTCTGATCACTGGGTCGCCAAAGTGCCTCAATGCCTGCTGTTCTTCGATTGTGAATGAGACTTGCTCACCGCCGAATTTGTAGGCTTTTCTGATATCCTCTTTGTCGACAGTGTGTGCTGTGTCATCGGCCATTAAAGTGGTGACGCCTTTGGCGATTTGAGGAGCCTCGCCTCCCTGCCAGACGAAGCAACTCCGTGCGGGCTCCTGCTTTTTGAGGAGTAGGTATCCATTGACGGATATTTTGAAATTGGGGCCCAGCTCGAGGGGCACGTTTGAAAACAGGGAGCGCCGGGGGACGGATCTCGAGTTGATGCTGGATAAGAGAGAATTGAGCAGTGAAAGTCCATCACCTTTGGCGGTGGACACGTTGGTATCTGGTTGCAAGTATGCCGGGGCATCTCCGTCACTGGGGGATGTTTTGTAGATGATGTCCTGCCATTCGTCAATAGAATTCTGGATAACGAGGCAAACAACCTACATCATAGAATTTAGAGGTGTCGAATTCGTGGTCTGGCTGAGAGATAGGGAAAAGCTCAATGTTGACGCCCAGATCATACAAATCTCTCGCTCGAACCGTTGCAGCAGACCGCAATGCCTTGTTATCTGCATGTGGATTGTCGTTGTCGGTCACGATAAACAACCGCCGAGACAGGAAATTTGGAGCCTTGGAAGTAAAGACTTGATTTGCGCAGAAAAGCACATTAGCCATCGAAACCGGCTCACTTGATGGCTTCAAGATCTCCAGCGCTTCCTCTTTCATCTCAGCTAGAGATCGTAGTTCCTTGACTTCTTGGGCAGATGGAACATCCAGGTCCGTGTAGAGATAACAGTGCGGGTATGACAGCTCGCCGCGACTCTCTTCATCTTCATCGTAGAACTTGGATGATTGTGTGCCATAGAGTAAGACGCCGATCATGTCATGAGGATTGGAGATAATGCGTTGTTGCATCAGATGGTATGCACACTTCAAGGCGGCAGACGCAGGTGATTCCTCAACAGGTTTCTTGGGATCAAGCGATGCCCGGGGTGTCAGCATCGAGCTGCTGATATCTATAGCAAAGAGAACAGCATCTTTGACCGATTTGAAGCTCTGTTCAGGTCAAGTCAATCGAAGGCCACTATATCTTCAGCTTTGGCACTCACGGTCTCATCGAGCTCTTCATCCTCAAGATTGTCCTCCTCACGGGTGTAGTTATCGCTCGCCATTTTTAAAATTGAAGCAGTGGGAGAGTGAAAAGTTGTCAATATCAAGTTCAATGCCTCTTGAGACGCGCTCTATGGCGACACGAGGTCATGTGACTGATGCCTAGAGCTGCCTGGAGCTGCTGACGTCCCCCACACATTGATTGGCCGAGGCAAACTTGGAAACCGAGAACATCGGCTCCGACGTGCGCATCGGTCGACTCTGTTCCTCAATTCCTTTCGACGTGTATAAAGTTGGACTTTTTTCTTTTCTTATTTAATCCGCTCCTATCCAGCTATGGCGTTCCGAGCCCCTTTCGCGACGCCGCGACGGTTATTTACGAATGCCACCTCATTCGGACTGCGACCAGCAATTGCCAGCCGATTGTCATGTATGTCCAAGCAGCGAGGACTCGCGACAGTGGTCCCGCCTGTCACACAAGATGCAACCGGATCCAAGGGCCCGACTGCAATGGTGTTTATGAACATGGGTGGTCCCTCAACGACAGACGAGGTGGAGGACTTCTTGAGCAGACTATTCGTATGTGTCGAGGAATATCTACGGTGATAATATCCGGTTCAAATATTGACACAATTGTTTGCAGGCCGATGGTGACCTGATTCCCCTCGGACGACTCCAATCATATATCGGACCTCTCATCGCCCGCCGGAGAACCCCGAAGATCCAACAGCAGTATGCGGATATTGGCGGCGGATCGCCCATTCGGAAATGGTCCGAGTACCAGTGTGCAGAGATGTGCAAGATTTTGGATAAGATTTCTCCGGGAACCGCACCGCATAAACCTTACGTAGCATTCCGCTATGCCGCCCCATTGACCGAGACGATGTACGAGCAACTGTTCGCCGATGGATTTGGAAATGGAAAGGGAGGACGTGCTGTCGCTTTTACGCAATACCCGCAGTACTCCTGTTCGACGACAGGCAGCTCGCTCAATGAATTGTGGAAGTGGCGTAATCGCCTGGAGGGAAAGCGCGCAAACGGAGAAACCGACCCTGCGGGCGCAATTCAGTGGAGTGTCATTGACCGATGGCCTTCCCACTCTGGTCTTGTTGAGGCTTTTGCACAGAACATCGAGGCTCAGCTCAAGACGTACCCTGAGGAAAAGCGGGATAAGGTTGTGCTGCTATTTTCGGCTCACAGCTTGCCTATGAGTGTTGTCAACCGGGGTAGGTCAACTCATAGCTTCTCAGTGATTCTGCTAACCTGTCTAGGTGACCCGTATCCCGCTGAGGTTGCCGCGACAGTTCATGCTGTAATGCAACGACTCAACTTCAGCAACCCTTATCGCCTGTGCTGGCAGTCTCAGGTCGGCCCTTCGGCCTGGCTCGGAGCCCAGACAAGTGATACCGTGCAAGAGTACGTGAAGAAGGGACAAACGGACTTGGTTTTGGTCCCTATTGCGTTTACGAGCGATCATATCGAGACCTTGTACGAATTAGACTTGGAGGTTATCCACGAAGCCAACAGCCCCGGCGTCAAGCGCGCAGAGAGCTTGAACGGCAACCCAGTCTTCATCCAGGCACTTGCTGACATTGCCCGCGAACATCTTCAGAAGGGAGAGCTCTGTTCCCGCCAGATGACTCTTCGTTGCCAGGGCTGCAAGAGTGAGCGGTGCCTGGGCCAGAAGCAATTCTTCGCTGGCAAGGAGAACGCTAGTATGGTGTTGTAAGCTGAGCCTTTTGCATCACCTCAAGTCATGGGTCAGATCGAGGTGTATTTTAGGTGCATTTGTATACACGCTGGGTTTTTGGGAGGCGTTGCTTGGCGACAAAATTTCTGGTATACTGTACAGCATAATGTATTTCTAGTCCTATATTCATTCAAATAATCGAAAGCGTCGGGCCAATGACCAGCACATGCTTCGGAGATAGCGGACCTTATCTACGCCTTAGTACCAGACCTCGCGCGCCAGAACGCCCAGTACTTTCTATACATAAAGGGGATTGATATAGACACCCACCCCGTTGGAACCTTGCCAGGGATGGGATCTGACCTTGCCAAGCCTCGGGATCACAACTGCTAACAAAACTATCTCCTTGCTTTTATACTCGTTGATATCTCTCAACTAACTCTTGTATCTCTAGTCATTTATCGAGACGACGTTTTCCTTTTTTCCAACTCTTTACGTGATTAAGTTCTCCTCAAATTTCGGGGTTTAGGATATCCACCGATCACAACATCATGGCAGCTATTCGTAAAACAAGCGAATCCACATATATCTTTCTCGACATCAAGGACAACACACTAGACGATATTGCCAATTCTTGTCACTGGAATGAAAATTCTGGTTTCCATCTCCCGCGCTACGGGCTTGGGGCCCTTGATAAACTCCCTCTTGAAATCATCCACCTGGCACTTATCCAGCTTGATATGCGGTCACTGGCTGATTTTCGACACGTCAACAAAAGCGCAAGACTAGTAACAGATTCGATTCCGCAGTATAAGCGTATTCTTGTTCACGCGCCAGCATCAATTCGAGGGTGCCTCAACATAGAAACTGCACGATTCTTCTCATGCCAGGACCTGTATGAGAAACTATCTACAGCTGAGTGTGACAGCTGTGGCGACTTCGGTGGGTACTTGTATTTGGTCACCTGTCGTCGCGTTTGTTTACTGTGTTTCACCCAGGAAGCCGACTACCTTCCTCTCTCACGGAATGATGCAATCCGCAAATTTGGTCTCGGCTCTAAAGACCTGGCATGTTTACCTCGCATGAAAGTCTTCCAGGCCACTATTCGCCTCGGGGGATCAAGCGTCGACAACGAGAAACCTTGTTCGATTTTTCTGCTGCGCGACAAGCTGGAATCGCTGTCCACGGGTCCCTCAGCTCCATGGAAAATTACGCATCGAAAATGGCATCGAGGAGGCTACAGGCCTACGATTCGAGATTGGTATTGGCTCTCCACAGAACAGACAGAGCGAATCTACGGCCGCCCAGGTCTGAAGATGCGTTTGATGGGCATTGCTCTAATCCCAGGCGCTTCATGGGCATTATTCGTGCTCCGTTCTTCGGTATTGGAACGGTACCTCCAGACTGGGGTTTCCATTGCCTCGCTTGCAAGGCCCATCACTATGGTCGACCGCTTCATTGGCGTCGAAAATATACGATGGACAGTTTCCAGGATCATGTTTCAGAACGTGGAGAGATAATAGAGGGGAAGCATATTCCCCGTATAACTTAAGAGAAACCCGACAAGGTACCAAACATGCTTGACAGCCATTGCCCCGTTTACTATAAGACAATAAATATAGCCACTGCAAGATATGATTCCAATATAACTTCACCCAGATATCCACCTTCCTCATCCAGCATTTTCCTATCTGTATCTGCGCATTCCCTCCTTTCCGGGCTTGACCATATGTCGTGTACACATGTGGACGGAAGGATCCGATGGCTCCTATTTCATGGGAGAGCACTTGACGTTTGTGCCTTCTCGTTCCTGGCATTGCTTGAATTCTTCAGCCTTCCTACAAGCACAAGTGGAAATCCGGTAGAATTGAGTACATATCTTGATTTACTCAGGCTCGGTGAGCGAAGCACGAAAAATTATAGAGATAGTGTCAACTTAGCTATATCGACCTCTTGAGCTGCAATATATAGCTTGGTGTCCTGATTCTTCCTGGCCGATGTCTTGGAAAAATAAGCAGAGGGTCTTCATATAAAAAATAATGAAATCCCCTTAGACAAACTCACCACTTAGTAAAGCTCGGAACGGTTGCAGAGAATCAGATGGTGAATGTGTTGCTCTTATACTTCATTCCCTCCACAGGACCATATATCTAAACATATGGGCTTTGGCTTGGTCCGGAAACATAAGAGGCTTCCTGCTCCTAATGAACGCCCGTGAATGTAGGTGTTGGTCTAGTGACTCGGATTCAGCGTATCACTTATGATAGTCTAGGTGCATCATAGCTAATCTAAATCTCCTTTTACGCGCTGACTCCGTGGTGAATTGCCGCCATGCCGATTTAGCCCCGTCTCCTCGTTTCAGCTCTAGGCTTCAAAACAATCATATATCGACGTAAGTTCGAAAGCCTTGCTTATTAAGTTTCCCGCTTATCAGCTGGGTTGGGTACCTATGCACCTGGGCATCAACAACATAAATGGCAAGGAGAACGAGTCCCAAAATGAGTCTGCCATACTCGACAACTTTCTCTTTCACTTTCCCGTCATGGAAAACCAACCAAAATTCGAATTGCTTTAAGTCGAGGTCGACGAAAACGATGAAAGTTATTTCCGTCTTCTGGTAGACAGTCAGTCTACCAAATACACCACTGTGGAAACTGGCATCTACGAAAGCAAATGTTCGTTGTTCAAAAATATTGTTGTCGTCAAATTCGCTCGTTTCCCCTAGTAGGTCCAGTACATGGAAAATGAAACTACAGTATTGTTTCTGGGAGACCTATCGCGCAAAGGAGGTGACGGTCTCCTTCCATATCATGTTTAGATAGATACAAGCAGTATTAAAAGTCTTTTCACTCGTCCAAAAACTGTTTATCAATAGGGAGAGCCCCATTTTTACTTCGTGTGCATTCCGACCAGAGCTATAGCAAACAAGACAATTCGGGACCTATCTATCAAATTTGCCGAGCTCGTGCAAGACCAATTTACAGCAGCTGAAATCCAGACTTACCTCCTGGATCTCAAGAATGACCCCGACAAGGCTGTTAGAAGGGCTGCTCAGTAGGTCAAAGACAATGCTTACCATGATTGGCAACTTGGGAGACTACTGGGCTAATGCGATCGTCATTATCACCGATACCTCAGAGAGCAAACAGCTCCTGCATCTTCCGAGCTGTAAACGTTCAGATAGCTTCATCTAGGTAGATCTTAACGTTAATTGGTTTAAGTAATAACTTCTCCGTACGTGGACGCGAAGTTTCGGTCCAGATGCGAAAAGGGCCCTATAGTTAGCTGCAGGGGGAAGAATGATTGAAATCGCCAACATCTCGGAGAATGAGCAATGCAGAATAGTGGGCAGTCCTGAAGTCTCGAATTCATTGGTTGTACATTTCTAGAACGATTGATAAGAGACTTGGATCCTGGTTTCCCCTCTTTCGTGCAAGTTCCCAAGATTACAAATCAATGCAAATATCTTGGAACTTGGGAATTGTACGCGTTCAATCTTCATGTCACCTTGATCATGGAGAACGAGCAACTCTTTGCGGGCGAGCCCGAGATAGATGTCCGGGCACGCGCTCGTGCGACTCCTACAGAGGGTGACGCGCTGCTGTCTCCCCAGGCATCCGGGGAATCCCCGCTAGAAGACCATGCCCAAGATGACCGACCGCGATGGAGGAGACCGAACGTGAGTGGTCGCAAAAGCCTTTAGGTTCAATTGTCTGATCTCTACCATGACAGATTTGGTGGCTCCTCCCATTTAGCCTTCTGTTCACGCTGGGCCTTGGCGGAATGGCCGTGCCCAGGATCAATCTGATCATGTCGCTCATTTGCCGGGATTATCTAGCAGAGAAGTCAACCCAAGACCCCGGGTTTACTTCCCTCCCTGTTATATTTGGCGAGGACAATCCTCAATGTCATATCCCACAGGTTCAATCACTTGTCGCGCAGTTCCAGCTGTATCTCAACCTCATCACGGGTATACTCTCCGCGTTAGTCAGTCCCAGACTTGGCCACTTGTCCGATCGATATGGAAGAACCAAAATGATCGCACTGGGTTCGCTGGGCGCGGTGCTTAACGAGGTCATCACTGCGACCGTGGCTACCTGGCCTGATCAGATGTCGGCCAATTGGCTTCTTGTTGGAGCCATGCTCGATGGACTGGGCGGCTCATTCACAACCGCGCAGGCTCTGTGCCATTCTTACGCCTCGGATTGCACGCGCATTGAAAAGCGAAGCGTGGCATTTGGTTTCTTCCACGGCGCTTTATTCTTTGGAATCGCAGTTGGGCCTGGTGTCGCTGCGTTTATCATTAAGTACGCGGGAGCTCTGCCCGTGTTTTACATTGCACTGGCATTACATGCTTCGTTCTGCATGTCGCTCTTCTTCATCGTTCCTGAATCCTTGTCTAAGGATCGGCAGCTCGCTGCTCGCGAAAAACACCGGTTGAAACCTTCGGATGTTGACGCTCCTAAGTGGTACTCTTGGCGTATCTGGAACCCGATGAACTTGATCACGCCTCTTGCTATCCTTATGCCGGCAGTCGGACGACCAAGCGTCTTGTTCACTAATCACCGTGGCGCCAGCCCGGCTCTGCGGCGAAACATTGTGCTGTTGGCAGCTATCGACACAGTTATTTTCGGTATCGCATTGGGCACTGCTCAGATCATCATTATCTATGCTGAGTATATGTTCAACTGGGGCAACGTGGAATCCAGTATCTTCATCGCTATCATTAACGTTTCGCGTGTGATCAATTTGTTCGTGGTGCTCCCATTGATTTCTTGGCTCTTCCGCACCCCAGTCAAGGATGACGGGAGTATCCGAGGCTCTGATATGCTGGACGTTACTCTCATCCGCTTATCAGTCGTGTTTGATGTGTTGGGCTTTGTTGGGTTTGCCATGTCCAAGCATCCATCGGTAATGATCCTTTCTGGTGTAGTCGCCTCGCTTGGTGGCATGGGGTCAGCTATTCTGCAATCATCACTCACCAAGCATGTGCCCCATGAACGGATTGGACAAATGCTTGGTGCTACTGGTCTCTTGCATGCCCTTGCTCGCATTGTTGCGCCGACTATTTTCAATCTAATCTACAGCTTGACTGTCGCAACCCTACCCCAGACAGTCTTTGTGGCCCTTGCGGTCACTTTTGGTGTCGCGTTCCTCGCAAGTCTGTTGATCAGACCACATGGTATGTTGATTATCTTTTCGGGATAGGATAACAACTGATTGTTTTACTAGTTACCCTCGAAAGATCCGAGTTAGATCCTGCAGATATGAGAGCCGAAGCAAACGAAGACGGTGATGATGAGGATGACGCTCTTTTGAGATAGAATATAATTACAATAAAATTCGGGATAGGCGCAGAATACTTCTCATTTGACTATTATCAACACACAGGGATGAGATAGTCGGAAACATCAAGCAGCAAGTAAATAATTTAGAAAACAACCTAGGAGTGGCTTGTATAGATCGTACGATGAAATTCCGGCGGGCGACACTGACCTAAAGCGCAAGTTGAATTGCGGAAAAAGCAGTTGCTCCGATTTTATCCTGTTCCCCCAGCTTCAATTGCCCCAACCACCATCTTCTTTCCTTCTGATAGCTTTTGGGCTTTACCTGGCCGGCTATTCTCACTTTGCATCTTATTTTCAAGGCCACCCATGCCCCGCTGTTGACTCATGCGCGCAACCCGCGCCCAGCATTCTCACCATGCTTCCGCACTCCAAACCCTCCGCTCTCGTACCCTCTCGGAATGCCCTTCGAGTTCTCCGCCAATTAGCCCTGGCCGGTTCAACAGTCGGCGGGTTTTGTGCTGTGGCAGCCTTCACGTACGATGTTCATCGTCGAATCCGCATCGCCGAGAAAATCATTGAAAACAAACGAACAATACACACCACCGCACCAAACTATGATGCAACATCTGCTGCCAAGCGTCTTGCAGTGATGGTCGAAGCAGCGGAAGCGGGAGAGTTCATGGGAATCGAATCCCTCAAGACTAGCAAACGAAAAGCTACCTCCGGCCCCGAAGAACCAGGATCGAACGCTCCCGAAATAAAACGCGACCCAAATCCCAAACCCAAGCCAATGATCACCTTGGCAAAAGCACATATTCGCCAGAAGAAGTCGTGGAGTGACCCGATCAAATTGTTCCAACACAAGAGGAATGTGGACGGGCTGAGCTTAGCTCGGAATAACGAAATTCTGGCCATTGAGGCTATCCAAGCGGAACACGCTCAGATAAGGGGCCAACCCCCCTAGATTCCGAACTTCGTCGATTGATGAGCGAGGAGTTGGAGATCACTGCTGCGAACTTGTTTCTGGGAGCCACCGCTCGTTTGAACGTCATCTCATGGGAACGGAGACAACTTGCGTGTCATATCTTTACCGCAAACTGCATCAAAGGAAACGTATTCATTGCCCGAACTCTCTTCAACCGACTAAACAATATCAGTGTTGTCTCGGAGGGGATGTGGGCCACCCTCATGCATTTACTCGCCAAAGAGGGCCATATCGACTCTGTCGGTGTCCTCTATGAAAGATTCAGTTCCAAATTTGTTGTCCCCACCCATCTGCTGGAGGTTATTCTCCGGTGCCTTATCGAGTCCAAGCGGTTGGAAGAGGCCAAGCATCTCTTCCACCTGCGTTTCAAGAATGACTATAACTGCGGCCTGTGCGGGGCTTACCTTGATGGACTCTGGAGGAAGACTAGGAGTATCGAATTACTCAAGGCAGAATTTGCCAAGATTCTTGAAAGTCTTCAAAGCCTTGGGCGAAAACCAACCGAAAAGCTGTTTAATCCGATGGTCAAAGCCTTGGTTGAATCGGGTCGTTCCGAAGAGGCCGAGGTTTTGGTTCAAGATATGCCAACCAAGTACGACGTGCAGCCTGGATCCCGCACCGTTGGATTGATCATTTATAGCAGGGCGCTCAATTGTGATTGGGATCGGGTTATGGATGGGTTATACGCCATGCACGAAGCAGGATTTACTAAGCAAAAGAAGGACTTTGCTCTCGCTTTTGACCGTGTCTTCCTCGAATACTATCCAACCCACACGGGCGAACAAACATTCGACTTGCTCATTTCATGCATCAACGAATTTGAAATCGTGCCTGACAGAGTTCTTCATCGACACATAATCGAAGCGATCGTTGAAAAGGGCACCGAGGAAATGCTCGAAGCCATCACGGAGATGGCCATCCAGCGTCAATGGAACACCGGCATCGGCGATGAGGAAATTGCGACGATTCTCAAAACGAGACGGCTCGCAATGACCAACAGCCCGGTGGGAATTTGGCGAATGATGCAAGCAGCCAAGGACCGACAAGCATCTTCGTCTTCTTCTCAGCGCATCCTTGGCACTAGCTTTGAGACCTGGGCAGTGCGAGGAGAGAAGATAGCGCCAATTCACGCTCCCGCCGAGGAAAGCTTCTCCGAAACAGTGAACAATATGGTGGAATCCAAAGATGCCAGTTGGTACGTCCCGCTCCACAAGCGAATGGAGCACTATCTTAACATGGGCCGGCCCTATGATGCTCTGGGGGTGTATCAACACGCTACCAATAGTGGTTTTGTCGTTAGACCGCTCCATCTATCTTTGGCTGTGATTGCCTCGATTCTTGAAGGCAAAACTGGCCTCATTAACGCGCGACGCATGATCACCTCCGAGTGGGATTACTGGAAGAAGGTTCCAACACTCCGTTACAGCAAGCGGTTTACGCCATGGCTCCCTGTTTTCTTCCAGCGGGTTAGGCAGATTGATCCAAGCGTCGTCGGACGCGCGGGGTTGATCAAGATGGCCATTTTCGAATACTACACCATTTGCAACAATACCCCCGGTCTTAATGTGAAGCACTTCTGTGCGGCTTCTTACAGTCAGTACCTGCTCAAGGGTGGATCGCCAGAAATTGCTGTCGATCTTCTCACGACGATTTACCAATCTCGCTGGAAGATCTCTCATGGATTTGATCAGGTCCTGTTGAAGTTGCTGCTACGGGCCTTTGGCGAGCTCCGCAACCTCAAGGGTGTCTGGTGGTGTATACTGACGGTCCTATCACGACAAGAGGCGATCAAGCCTGAATTCGTCGTGGAAGCTCTCTCCCAGATGACTTCATTGGACGAGGCACTGGCCGATACCTCCGGCAGTAACACACAGCAACTCTGGACATTGCACAAGGCCGTTGAGGTGCTACAAGCCAAGTCTCGTGGTGACGAATACTGGGCAAACCTCAGCGTCGACTCAGCGTGGAAAAAGTCAAGACGTTCCCAGCTCACTCGGCCTGAGAAGGAAGACCCTTTCTTGCCTACTGGCCCTCTCAAGGATCTGATCCTGAAATTTGACGAAGAGTGGGAGTTGGACTTGCTACTAGGACGCAAGCAGTTTAATACTGCCGAGCAGACAAAGTGGTGGGCAGAGCACAACCTCGCGAACTGTCACACGGTGGCACCAGAAGACCGCGAATATCCTATCTACAGGGACCAAACCTGGGATACATATTACGTGCCGGAGGAGTGACATATATGTAATATAATTGTACAAGATCCCTGTATCAATATGAAGTATAGAGAAAAAAAGAAAAGAAAAGAACAGAGTATAGATCTATAAACTTGAGTCTATATACCGTGATGTCTCGTGCTGCGTAGAATTCAGAAGGCGGAGAGGGCAGACTTTCACATGTCACGCCACCCCTTTCTCTCAAAAAACATCAGCCCATATCTATCGCCAATTCTCTTTTAAATCAATTGCTTCAGTCGATAATGGTCTCACAGTTTCTGTTCTGACAATCCTACCTATCTCCTCCATAATGGCATCCCTCAACGGCCATGCCGCCCACTCCCAAGCCGCTCAACGCCGCATCGAACACCACGAGGCCGACGTTGTGATTGTCGGTGCCGGAATTCTAGGCTGCGCGCTAGCATTCGCACTAGGAAACCAAGGAAGAAGCGTGATTCTGCTTGAAAAGTCATTGGAAGAGCCCAATCGCATTGTTGGTGAACTGCTCCAACCGGGAGGTGTTCAGGCACTGGAAAAACTAGGGCTACGCGACTGCCTCGATGACATTGACGGAATTGACGTGAAGGGATACTGGGTTTCATACTTTGGCGAGCCGGTCCTCCTCGAATATCCCAAGTCCACCTCGTCAGGACCGGCACCTCTAGGACGGGCTTTCCACCATGGCCGATTCGTGATGAAGCTCCGACAGGCGGCCCTGAGTTGTCCCAATGTCACTGTGGTCGAGACCAAGGTTACTGGTTTAGTCACATCGTCGCATACCCAGGAGGTTCTGGGTGTGGAGTGTGTAACTAAGGACCTGAAGGATTGCTACTTTGGCCAGCTCACCGTGGCCGCCGACGGCTACAACTCCGATTTCCGCAAAAAGCACCACAAATACACACCCAAGCGTCGTTCAAAGTTCTACGGATTGGAGCTTATTGATGCTAAACTTCCCGCGCCCAATACCGGTCACGTCCTTCTTAGTGATAGCCCACCTGTGCTCATGTACCAGATTGGTACACACGAAACTCGAATTCTCGTCGATGTTCCGGATAATCTCCCAGGGGCGTCGGTGAAAAATGGTGGTGTCAAGGGCTATATGAAGAACACTATTTTGCCTAGGCTTCCGGAGGGCGCGCAGGCGTCTTTCTCGGACGCATTAGAGAAAGGCCAGCTACGATCAATGCCAAATTCTTTCCTACCTGCCTCAGCCAACACGACACCCGGTTTGATGATCCTGGGCGATGCGCTTAACATGCGGCACCCATTGACGGGCGGAGGAATGACGGTGGCGTTCAACGATGTCTGCGTCCTCCGCGAATTGCTCAGTCCAGAACTTGTACCCAGCTTCTCCGATACAGATCTTGTTCTCAAGCAACTAGCTCAGTTCCATTGGGCACGAAAGAACTCCTCTTCTGTTATCAACATCCTTGCGCAGGCCTTGTACTCGCTCTTCGCTGCTGATGGTATGTCTTCCCTTTCCAGGCCCAAGTCGATCCCTCAATTAACGGTTTATACAGATCGAAGTCTGAGATCTCTTCAGCGTGGCTGTTTCCGCTATTTCCAGATTGGTCCTGTTGGAGGCCCCATCGGACTACTGGCAGGTCTCATCAAGCAACCTCTCATTCTCGTCTCCCACTTCTTCTCCGTTGCTTTCCTCTCTATCTGGGTCCTCCTCTGCGAAACCCCTATGACCCAGATCCTCCTATTCCCATACAACGCCTTAATGATCTTATACACGGCCTGTATCGTGATTTTTCCATACATCTGGACAGAGATCTGGTATTGACCCTGCTCTCATCCTCCCCAAAGCGATGCATAGGAGGTTTTTGTCCAGCAGTTTCCCTCCGTTTCATTATCTTTCTGATGAACATATTGTTGATTCTACCTGGCATTCGGCCTTCATCTTAATATCCCCTCCGGTCCTATTGTCTTTCAAACGCCTTTATGTGATTTAATTTTGTATTCTAACTTCTGATACATTGCGAGATCTGTGCTACACTCGCACACTATGTACTATACCACATTACATGCCATATACACATCATCATCTCAGTGATGGATGATGCAATATCAATACTTTCCGGATCCGAATCTTGCTAGTATGACTACTCCCTCAAAAGAAGCTAAAACATTATTTACAACCCCAATCTATGAGCTTCATATCCTCCTCATTTGACCAGCAATCTCTTCTGTAAGTAACCTATAAACCACCCCCCTATCAGATATGCGAAAACCCCTGTCCAATAAGCAAACAGCCAAAAAGCAACCCACCATCCACAAAATGCGCAATGCAACCTGCAAAATCAAAAATATAAACATCCCAACTGTCACGCGAGCACAAAGCAAGGAGAAGCCATGACGGCAGCAATCATCTGAATGGCGCAATGGCGGACAAAAGAGAAGAAGCAAGCAGCAAATGCTAACAACGAAAAAGCAAAGTAACAGACAGGAAATAAGAGCTAATAAAAGAAAAGGCTCTTTCCCCTCACTCCGGGTAATTCTTCAAGATACACTTGCGCTAATACACACGCCCTATACGAATGTTTTTGCTCTTCCTCTTTCACTTTCTCTTGTTTGTTGTTTCTTTCGTCTTGTTTCTTTGGGGTCGACGCTAGCTGCTGTAAATTGCATTGGTCAACAAGTCCTCAAACCAGAGATGTTAGAAGAAAAGATGGTAAAGGTTCGTTTCCATCGTGCTTGTTTCTCTTCTCTTTCTCATTTTTTTCGATACTAAACTGATATGGATATAGATATAGATATGGCCTGTCACCATTAGACAGACACAGCACCACATCCACATCCAAGCCAAAGAGCAAAGAGCAAAGCGAAAAAAAAAAAAAAAAAAAAAAAAAAAAGGACGGGAAATACCTCAAATCCCAATATACAAGCCCGGCAAAATACCAAAAGGCAAGCAGAGAGAAGTGATGAAGGAAGGAAAAAGCGAATTTTTCGAAAATTGTGGTTTGTTATTCTTCATTGGCAACAAGGGCAGTTAATCTCTTTTTATACAGAAAAGAGAATCGAAAATGGCATCATAAGAAAACACACACACAATCAGACACACGAACACACAAGAGCCCTGGATCTAACCTATTCAAACACAAAAGAACTCCAAACAGCTTCGGAAAAAAATTTCGTCGCGATGCGTATGAGGCGTACCGGCCACCCTCTTTGTTCTTTTCTCCTGATGACGATGACAATGGCAATGACAATGACAATGATGAATGCATGCATATGGTATTCCCCCCTTTTACTTCTGGTACAATCCTTCAATGGGGTGGGGGAGGGGAAGAGAGACGGACGTTCTGTATTTTCGGGAGAGATTGAGGTTGAGGTTGACACTCAGTTTGTCAATCGATCTGCCGAGGTGGTATACTGGTGGGATGGGCAAGTTGGGTAGTAGACCAGGAGGTCTACTTGCTTTTTATGAGATTTGTGTTTTGTGTTTGGGTATGGGGGAAACGGAATGGCGAGAAGGAAACGGTACACGGCAGACACTCGGGTTCAGCCGCCTTTTCGCAGGGATTCATCTGCTGGGAGGGGCTCGGGGCCACCATTGATACCGTGTCGAGAGTCGCTGGATGATTTGGTGTTTTTGCGGTTCTTCTTCTTTGTAGTCTGCCAGCCGCCGTGGTTTGTCTCGTTCGTGCCGTTGGTCTGGCCGCCTGGCTTTCGGGGCGGGTGGTCGGTGTGTCGGTCTTTAGAACCTTGGGCGGTGTTATGAGACGCATCGTGGCGGCCTTTGGGCTTGGCCTTGCCATTGACGCTGTTTGTCTTGTCTGAAGTCTCGCCATTTGTTCGGCGTTTCGAATTGGTTGTCTGATGCCGGTTTTCATTCGGTCCAGAGGTAGCGGGTTTGTCACCCGTGCCGGAGTTTCGAGGCTGAGAGTCCTTGCTCGTCCCCTGTGCTGTGCCATTCTTTGGTCGCTCCGGACTTGTCTTTGCAGGCTGTTGAGACAGTTTGGCGGCTGACAAATGGTAGTTCTGCAACCGATCGGCGAGAACCTCGGGCCGACCATTTGTGCTTGGTCTTTCACCATTCACGCCGTTCACCTTTTGGGTCTCGATAGACGGCCGAGTGAAGACGGTAGAGTGCTCCATATCATCAAAGGACCCAGAATCCTGGTAATCCTGAGACAAAGAGTCCGAAAAGCTGGCAGGTGTGTTCATGTTGTGGTCATCCGAGGTCGACGTGTAATGGCTGATGGCAGAATAGGGATCAATTAGATCCGACGCATATGATGAGCGGGTTTCGCTCGGAGGCACCGAGCCATCGACAATCAATGGACCGGGCACAATTGGCCGCGGAGACTTGGCCGGCTGCGATGGAGGCTTGGGGGCTGAGTTCTGCTCAGAACGAGCAGTGCCTGACGAGAACGATCCTTGTCGATACTCTTGTTGGATGGGAACATAAGAATATCCATTGGGGATCTGCAATCCCATTTGCGTGGACATCGGTGACATCATGGAACCTTGCTGGAAGGCCTGCAGTTGTTGAGGAGTCATGTAATAACTCAAAACTTCTTGCGGCCGGTTCTCATCGACCGAGTCCGAGCGCGAACCATTGCTGGCAAGGCTGTTTGATCGCATTGCTTGCTCATCTCCGCTACCTTCACCACCCTCTGATGATTCGGGAGCCGGCCGTTGTTTAGGCCAGCCCTCCGCAGGTTGTGGGATAGTATAAACGGGGATATAATTTGGAAGAGAGGGCGAATTTTGGGGGCGCGCAGGCTGCGAATGGGCTCGAATGGACTTGGGGGATCCGTTAACAACAGATCCACGTCGAGGGTTACGGCCAAGATCAGGCAGAGCAGAAGCGGCCGCCGGGGAGGGAGGGTTCGTGGTGCTGCCTTGTGTGCCAGCGGCGCCAACTGCGGCGTAACTGGGGTTGTAGAATGTTTGCTGTCGCTGTGTTGGGCTGAGTGTTGATTGACTGGCCGTCCCTGACCGTGACTGTGTGCTTTCATCGCCAACATCTTGTTGGTGTGGCACGGGAAATTGGATGAAAGGCTGTCGGATGAATACCGGTGGCGGCCTTCCAGTGATCAATGCTTGGTTGTGCAGCTGCATCCGCAATTCCTGCTCCTGTGCCTGGAGAAGCTGGATTTGCTGGTATAATTGGTCATGCAAAAGATATTGGGCCTGCTGTTGTGCCTGTAGTGAGATATCTGGCATATTTCCGGTGTTTGGTTGCCGGAAGTTTGTCTTGTTTCCAGTGTTGGACGTTCGACGTCCGCCAAGTCCACCTCGCGAAGATTGGTTGCCAAACCTGCCTCCACGGTTTCCTCCCCGTCCACCGCGTGACGGGAGCGAAGGAGTAAGAGTTGGTCGAGGTTGAGGTGGTGGTCGTTCCCAGGTCCGTTCCTCTTCTTGTGGGAACTCAAACTGCTCACAGCACTCTGCCATATCACCCTTAGCAACGGATCTGAAAGCTCTTCGTAATTCCAAGTGGAGTCCGCGGAACGATGTATCATCGGCGGTGTTGCCCAAGTTTCTTGACGTGTTGAAAGGCTCCTCCACGCAGAGACGGTTGTTCATGCCTAAATGCCAATTTTTGGCGTCTTTGTTGATCAATTTGCCTTCTCGCACGGAGATGACGTTCTTCTCAAAATCCAATTCGTGACCATAATACCTGAAGAATTCAAAGAACAACTCTCCAACGGATTGATGGTTCTTCCGGCCAAATTGAGTCAGGATATCAAGATTGTCGTCAAAGGAGCAGAGCAACCCATCAGGCGTGATTCTCTTATTGTGAGGACGAGCTTGCAAACTTGGGAGAATTGGAGGCTCTCTTGTTTGCAGGAAGTTAATTATCAAACAGATCCAGGTGTATGAACTTAACGTGCCGCCGAGACCTACACCCCGTTAGTATCAGCGTCAACGCGTCGAAGCGGCAGTTGCGCACTACTTACCAGCATCATTGAGAACTCGTCGCTTTGTCCAATGCTTGACGCACATTGCCAACGGTCGCACACGATCATCCACCTCGACGTATGTTCGAATCATACGAGTGTTTTCTAGCGCCAGTGTATTATTAACGTTCATGTCACAAGCCAACCGCAGCTCAGGATCCCAAATCTTGACAATAGGGACCTTCGCATGCGACACGCAGACGACCCGTTCCATCCCGTCTATCCAAGTCAGTCAATGCACGGCCAGTTCAATGTCAATTGGGCTCTTACGATCGGCCAACACTGCCGCCAGCAGACACACCTGCTCCAAATCCTTGAAGTTGGTTGTGATACAAATATCCACTGCCCAAATCAGTATGGTTTCCTTTCAACTTCGAGTCCGACACCTACCGTCCGAGTCACTGGAACAGAGTTTGTTCCCAGACGAGCCAAAAATATTTGCCTTGATCTCATGGCCAGGCCACTGTTCATTGAAAAGCTTCTCCAACTTTTGCACCAGTTGTCGCCTTCGGTCGTCACTCTCGGCAGAAGGTAATAACCGATCATAGAGGTCCATGATATCCGTCGTCAATTTTTCTTCCTCCTCCGGCTCCAGGCGTTCCTTTAACCCTTCCTTCTCCTCTGGTAATATATCTGCCCCCAAGCTATACGGCATCCGTCTTCGATATGCAGACATGGCGGTCTCATATTTACATCGCCCGAGGGGTTGCCGGGCAGAAGGGGGAGGTGTGTTGCCTCGGAGTGTGTGGATCGAGGGGAGGTGCTTCCGCGGACGGGGGACGGCGACCGAGAGTGTAAAGAGAGATTGCGCGCATGTTGATATGGGGTGGAGGGAAGGGAATTCGACTGGTGCGAGGTCAATGGAGGGCGAGCAGCTGCAATCTCGGGCGCGTCGGTTTGCGATGTCCATGACATCGTGGAGGGCTGACCCGTTATCGGTGGGACGTCACCGTGGTGGGAACGATTCGCATTCCCATCGATGTGTGAGACCATATAGCAATTCCCCCAAGCTACCCTCGCCGGTCCTTGTGCGTTGCGTTCCTTCTGTTCGGGCTCGGCAAATCGATAAGAGTCCACACCCGCACACCAACACGCACAATATAAACCCCTCGCTGTTCACGCTGTCGGCTCTGTTGGCAACTGACCACAGTATAAGAATTTGGTGAGGTTCGTTTTTGTTCGGGGCAAGGCGAGTAGGTACGGGTTGACACGAGGGATTTCGTGGGATGTGTGAGACACCGGAAGAATCAATCTCGACACAGTCGCAGGACGACTTATTCCGGGACTCGGCCGGGACTGGCGAAGAGAGAAAAGAGTAAAGTAAAAGAGACAATGCGTCAACCAGGAGATGAGAATAAGACAAGAGGGAAAAAAAGGTCACGTCAAAATGAGAGTTTCCTTGAATTGATCCAAAGAAACCGACCAAGAGCAAGGGATGCGTATGCGAATGCGACGGAACAGTATACGGAAAGGCGAATGTGTAGGAGCCAGCCTTCTGTGAGAAGTGGACTTGCCAGGAGGGGAATTCGAGAGTTGAAGATGATCAAAGGTCAGCCCCTGTCGGCGGTAAAGACACTGCCGACCGTCCACCTTAAGGCCACCCAAACATATGTAATTCGAGTATAAGATCAAAGATCAAGAATAAATGAAAGATCAGAGGATCAGAGGCTGGATCAGAGATCAGAGATCAGAGAACCAGAGGATCAGAGGATCAGCGAGAAGAGAATCCGAAGTTCATTATAGGGTCAACGTCACGGAGTAGCAACACTATTGGGGAATAGCTCCCTCTTTTTATTGAATACTCAGTATTCAGGGGCTTCATGTCCTTTGTTTGAATCTCTCATATTTATCTATTTATCTCCTTAACTTAATATATGCAGCTATGGATTCATGCAGGTACCATAACGGGGGTTATCGATAACACAGACTTTTAACAGTAAGAGTAAGAGTAAGAATAGCAGTTTCTTGGCTATTCAGGATGTTATTTGGCCAGAATAGTAAATAAAACACGTCTATCCCTCACTTAGCTCTCTCCTATTCTTCAACCCCCGCGATCGTCTCGCGCGTGGTCCTTGCACGTGCACAACTATAACCTAATCCAGATTGTGGCCTGAGGCATTTATATCCTTTGTTACTTGGCTATTCGATGCTTCATGTCTATGCTCCCCGAGCTGAGATACTCCGAGAAGAACCTTGTGGGTTCGAGCCTAATAGCCCCTCCACAGTCCTGGCCATACAAGTACCGACCAGGGATCGGTAGCCTTTGTTCATTGACATTGGCGGTTACTCCATTAGGACGAGGCTTTCTCATAGTTCTTTGTAACATTCGAGGGAAAAGAAAACAGGCGAGCAGAGTTGATAAAGCCATGGCCTGTGACTGGGAGGGCTTTCAACATGACCTCACTGCCTTTGATTCACGCACGCGTGGGGAAGACCACTATGACTGGGACTGGATTGGGCCGAAGCACAGTCCCATGTACATGTACAGTATGACGAGGGGAAGAATCTTTACCACGCTCTGGACTCCCAGGGTAACGCTGAATGCAGACGCAGGTTCGGGATCGTGTTAGCGACGCATTTTCCGGAGGGTTTGTGCTGTGCTGTTGAACCGTAGCCTCGGTTACTGGGGAAGCTGGTGAGTTTTCATAGTTCAACTATATTCCTCAGCATCTTGATATACTTGTAGTTATGCCTTTTCTCAATTCACCCCGATCACACCCACATCTTTACATCTTCGTGGGGAACCATTCTGCTTACTGGCCGCCGGATGTGTACACGGATTTTGGGCCAATCCTGTTCAGAGGGGCGCGGACCTTGCGGAAGAATATAAAATGAAGCCCCCGCCCTCTCCTGAATTGACCGAGACGGGCTGGTCATAGCGCATCAAACTGTATTCTAGGATGTTACTATTGCATTGCATTGCTGGGGTTGAAGGACTCCAGGATTCGAAGTGTCGTCTAGATCCTTGACTTCTATTGTTCTATTTGCTGATGCATACTCCATATATAGCGATTACATACGTTTGTTCAGACCATTGAACATCGATATACATGCAGATCATATTCCAGATGCGACTACATTCGCCTCGCCCAGAGGGGATTCTTGGCAGGCTGACTGCATCGTGTGGGACCTATTGCAGTTTGGTATCATCGTACAGTGGCCAGACGGAATCCGGTTCTGAGGGATTGAGAGTCTGTGGTTTTATAGAGCCTGCAATATTGTCTTATATAAGAAATGAGGTATATAGAAGTGCATATTACGGACAATGTCAATGTCCACAATAAAGTGGGGAACAGCCTTTGCAGTTGAATTCTTCCAAGTCAAAAGAAAGCGTAGAATAATAAAGAATAGTAATTATCGAGTGTTAGGGCGCACGCTTAGACATCCCAATCTCCGGTGACCGGGCCCGACTTGGACGAATAAGAACACTTGGGTTGCCGGGAATTGCCGCGTTGAATATCTGAGGAAAAAAGAAATGCAATGTTGTCTGATGTCTCTAAGGTATGGTGACAGTCATATAGATGCCGATAAAAGACTTATTAAGAGGCTTGTTAAATAATAAAAAAGCAATGTTGTACATCAACAAAAGTAGACTCCTTTTCGTGTAAGGAAAAAAAAAAAAAAAAACACACCCCCTCCTCCCCTCTATAAGGTAATACACCCACACCCCCCATAGGGACCCTCTCTCCTTTTCTTCAAATTCCCTTCTGCCTCGTTGACTCGTGGTAGAATCACAAGAGGCCCTCCCTAGTAAGTGTTTACTTCCTTTGCGATTGCACTACTGTACTCGGGTCATTTTGGTCATTCCAGTTTTGGGAATAGCCACAAGTCTGACGGGGAATTTTTCATATTCAATACCCTGCTGGATTCCCCCACGAAAAACCCCGGTGTTTCTTCTTTTTTACGTTTATGTTTGGGTTGAAACGTGTTGTGGATCGGAACTCACATTTTTTTCGTCTCGACAGATCGCCTCCGGATCATCTGCGCCGTTCTGCCCCTGAACACCTTCGGTCTCTCGAAACAATGTCTTCGTACTACGAACCTCAGGGCTGGCAAGCACCTGCTGCGCGCCAGGTCTCGTGGGAGCAGCCGGTGCCTCCCTCCCGGTCAGGTATGGATTGAAATTTTGGTGATCGGAGGCGCACACACAACTAACATTTCTCAGGATCCAGCTCGGTCTCCCAGCGCGAGGATTCCCCGGCCTTCTCCTCTCAGTTTGACGGTATGGATACACTTTCTATTTCAATATTTGAGATGCCTCTCGAACCGAAATCTCCGGAAACGTGATGGACACAATGATCAATGGCTGACGTTTGGAAAAGAGGTCGACCGTGCGATCGACAATCTCGTCAAGAGCGGGAAGCTGTGGAATGCTCCTCGACGGGACTCGATGCCCATGATGATGGGCCGGCCCTACCCTGACTACGGTATGTTGCGGGTACAAATGGCTCGCAGAACGCGTTTCTGACTTGTCCGTTGACAGACCCTCGCATGGGTGGTGGCCCCCAGCGACACCATTCGATCAGCGAGTTCGATGGCTCGCGGATGCCCCCGTCCGGCAATGCCCAGGGCTTCTACGCCTCACAGCGGTACCAGGGTCGTCCCAACGAGGTGGAACAAATGATGCAGGCGAAGCGTCGGATGGCGGCACAGCGTGAGAGGGAACTCCGCAACTATCACCAGGAACAACAGTACAACCGAAGTACGTGGTAGCGTCTGATTTCTCTTCCATTTTTTTCTTGAGCCTCGTTATATTCCCCCGTCGGCTTTTTTCATTTCATATTCGTCTATATCTTGTCAGCCTTGTGTAATATATTTGGTTTGGCTTTTTGTTGTCTCTTGTGAACACAGGGTTTTAATACTTTTTCTTCTTCCTTTCAAGGCCTCCTCGCCGAAATGTCCGCAAGCAAATCCGATCGTTCCACCAGCCCAGCTGCCGTGAGCGAAGACAGCCGCCGCGAGCTCCTCGCCCGCCAGCACCGCGCCCTGTACGGCAACGAAAGCCCTGCCTTCTTCCCGCCTGGTGCCTTCTCCGATGATAACTCGCGCCCCGATAGCCAAGCCGGTGGTGCCACCCCATCATCCGGCGTGCGCGGCTCGTCCCCCCGTGGCGTGGACCCATTCGGCCTGACCCAGGCTGGCACCGCTAGCGCTGACGCAGCTCTGCAGTCGCCCTCCCGTGCCAACAGCACCTCCTCGCCTAGCTCCGCCATCAACGCCGGCTTTGGCGAGCAGCCCGTTACCTCGACCTCGTCGCCCGGTGCCGACTCGCCTTCTTCCCGCCAGGCCCCGTCCAAGCCCGTCGCCGGCCCTATCGGCTCCGTCGGCCCTATTGGTTCCCGCCCCGTCCCTGGTCAAACTACCGCTCCTCCCTCCAACCCAGCATTGAACAAGCGTTCGACCACCCCACTTCCCTCCCCGCTGGGTCTCGGCTTCACCTCTGCTGACCCGGCCACTGGTCCTGCCACCGAGCGTACCTCGTCCGCCGGTCCTACCCCTGTTGTACCTTCTGCTGTTGGACCCGGAGCCAAGGACCCGGCTGGTGGTGTCAGCCTCGGCTGGAGCAACGGCAGCGGTGTCTGGGGCTCGAAGAGCGGACTCGGCGTCCAGGCATCAGTCTGGGGCTAAGCCGACAACGCGATCCGAGTGAGCATTGACATATTGCACTTGGCATTTTTCTTGCTTGTGGCGTTGTGAGAACAAAAGCGGACCCCTTTCATTGCTTTGAAATTTGACAAACGGATTTTTTTCGAGTCTGGTACATATCATTCGGCAGAAGGATGCTGGTTGTTTTTTGGTGCGCTCGTCCCGGTTTTGCTTTTCTATGTTTTGGTTCTGGTTGGTTTTATGCAGGCTTGGGAAAGGACTGTGGGTGCTGTTTTGATTTTTCCCTCTTTGGTGTCGGCGGATGGTGTCCGCTTGTGGATCATATCATGTCTTCTCTCGTATCTCGGGTCAGCATCTTGTGATTCTTTTTTGCCTTCTTTGCTTTTTGTTTTCTGCTCCGGTGCCCGTGCGGAATGGTCGGAATAATGGCGCTTATTTTCGAAGCTCGTGGGTCATTTCTCGGTGTTTTTCATGTCGGATATGCAAAGGTTTTTTTTCTTTCTGGGGGTCGGTTCGGGAACTGCACATTGAACTTGTTTTTTTGGGACATTGGTCTGCCTGTTTTACTACCTCTGCTATGGAGGAGAGAGGCGAATCGCGGCTCAAAACGGATATTTCGATTTGGATATTGATTTAATTTTTCTTGTTTTTTCATTTGTCTTTCTTTTCCAAGGTTTGGTTGGTGAGATTTGGTAACGATATAATGCCGTTGCAGATGTAAAAACGCCTGGAGTTTGCTTCTATACCTCGACTAGGATACTTGGTTACTTGGCTTCGTTTGATCTCGTTCCGGCACTGCTATGGACACCAATTGGGATCGGGATTGGGACTGGGACTGGGCTTCTGCTTTATCTTCTCTTGTCTTTGTCTCTCCTTTCTTATGTTTGCCTGGCCTTGCCTTTGGTTATCGGCACTTTGATGGGTTGGCTTGGTATATGACATTCTGGTTTCTGATATCGCGTTCGGCTTAGCATACGATCTGGTGCCCTGTCTTTTGGTTTGGTTGTGTGGAACACACCGGTGATCTGGCTATGTTGGCGTAGCAATTTTAGTCTCACTTGCTCTAGAAATTATAATCTGCCATTATAGTATGAGAATTCATCCTTTGGGGCATGTTGATCGAGATGTTTAGGCAAGTCTTTCCGACGAAGACTGATAGTGAATTTGGACATGTTGAAAAGGGACAGAGAGGATTATAACGCTAATGAACGCCATATTGTGACATTAATTCATCTAGATTTGAGGGTTGTATGATGGTTAATAGCAAGGGTCGGCTTTATGGTTATGTTCTGAGCCTTAACTTTAATTGTCTATAGATTAACGGCTAAAATATATCAATTCGAGCCCATTCCAAGCGCTTTCTATGCTAGAACTTACATGTACAATAGAAAGAAAGGCCCCTGTGGCATCCGGTGCTAATTCTCCCGTTTCATCTTTAATTCCGCTTACATGTAGGGCTGCCGGATATGACCCCATCATTGGAGCATTATTATTCACTTTCCTCCCGAGAAGACACCGAAATGAGTGAACCCGGAAGGAAATGGGGCATTATAGGGGTAGTCTCAGCCAAGAACATATGGTTGTGGAGAAAGAGGGTGTTCCAAGTAGATGGCGTTAAAACAGTGTTTCACTAGGCACGGATGATGTACCTTTTCCATCCGCTTCTACTATACACCAGACAATTAGACTGTCCATATGTCCACCTGTCGCCGATGATGCGACAGTTCGTGTGATAATTTATTGATGTTCGTGTCCGTATCCGTATCTCTAAATAGAGCTATAATGATATAAAGTGTGCAGATCCCATCAACATCCAGGAAAATCGACAGGCAGCGCCACCGACTATCACCCCAACATGCGTGGGACTTTCGTTCTTTCTCTGCTTTCGGCGCTGGGCGCCTCAGCTTCGCTCCTCAAGTCTAACCTCAAAACTAACGTCGACGTGCTGGCACTCGACTATTCCTTCAACCCCGTGAAGGCATCGTACTGGACTGGATACCCCCATCACCGCCGTACCCCATTCGCCGTCTCGCCAGACGGAAAGTCCGCATACATCGCGTACCTTGATTCTAGTGCGACAGATGTCCACGTCCAGCAATTGGACCCTGACACCTTCAAAGCCACCGGAACCACCGTCACTGTTAGCGGCGGAAAGGAAGGTATGCTAGCCCTAACTCTCTCGCACCCGAACAAATCCATCAACTAACACCAACCCAGCCGGCGGTCTCGTCGCCCACAACGATGGCTTCGCCCTCCTAACCAACGAGGCGATGCCCTCAGGAACAACCAACGCCCCACCAAGTGACACCCCAGTCCCAGTCCTGTACCGCTACACCAGCGGCAAGCAAACCTTCAAGACCTGGCTGGGTGGACCAGGTGTGCACACCTCAGACGGACTTTCGGCATCGCCGGACCTAAACGGCGACTTGGTCTACTCCGAAAAAGCAGGCCTCTACGGCGCCTACTTCGTGGTAACCGACTACTCAGGCGACGCCTCAGGCCACTTCGGCGACAGCATCGAATACGTCTCAACAAACGGAACCCTGGTAACCATCGCCGGCGCCTCCAGCTCCTGGGGCTGCAGCCACAACACTGGTATTGCTTTCGAGGCCGCGGACGCTGCGCCCTTCGCTAGTATCTGCGCCGAAGACCAGGGCGCTATCTGGCTCAATACCAAGACTCAGGGTATGAGCACCGACGGCGTCAAGATCTCGAACGAGAATACCACCAATGGTGCTGGTGGTGAGGCTATGGGTGGTATGTCTGGTAGTTACAGTGCGCTTGCGCGTTTTGCTGAGACTACGAAGTATATCTTTGCTTGGGTGTCGCGTGGCGCGATGGATGTTACTGAGAATGCGTGGATGGGGAGTGGGTATACGAATGTGCAGAACCGGACGAATGGGCGCAATGTTGCTATTTCGTTGTTCTCGGATAAGTATACTAAGGTTGGTGACCAGGCTACCTCTGTTGTTGGTACTGAGGATGGCGATAGCCAGGTTAATTGGGTGACGAGTGGATCGAATGATTGCTCGAATGCGCATGCTGCTACCTTTGATAGTGCCAATGCTGTTGTTTCTTGGGAGGAGATCTCGAATCCTACTTGTGATTACATTGCTATGGGATGCCGGGGTACTTTTGCCGGTACTTTCTTCCAGCAGGTTGATTCGACTGGTGCGAAGGTTGGGGAGGCCATTTCTAGTGAGGATGTTTATGTTGCTGGTGATATGGTGACTATGTCTGATGGCCGCGTTTGCTGGCCTTATGTTAGTATGACTTGGGATTTGTCGCAGGCTGTTGATGACTCTTCTTCGTCGAGTACTAAGAAGATTAGTGTTGCCTGTTTGAGTCTTGGGGGTGTTGATACTTCTTCTGCTGCTGCCACCACTGCCACTGCTGCTGCCACTGCTACTGCCTCCGTTGACGCCTCTTCCAACGTCGCTTCTGACGCTTCCTCTGACGACTCAGCTAGCGCCTCTACCGAGGTCGCTTCTACTGCGGCTCCTGCTGCCTCATCTGCTGCCGTTCCTGCCGCCTCCGGTGCTTCATCGGGTGCTTCTTCAGATGCTTCATCCGAAGCCTCAAACGCCTCTCCTGTCGTTTCTGCGGCCGCTTCCGCTGCTCCTGTTGTCCCCGCCGCCTCTGGCAGCGCCGATACTGGCTTTGAAGGTGTCATTCCCTCCGCCATTCCCACTGGCATTCCCGCAGATGAATCGTCCGATGAGGCTGCATTCTCTGCCTGTGCTGGAGCTCCTAAAGCCCATCACGGTAATCTCGGCCATCACACCCATCACGGCCACCGCGGTCACCACACCAGCTTGCTGCCTGACTTCTAGAGGAAGATTTGGAGTGCGTAGGTAGATATATGCTGTATTGTGTGAGTGTGAGATGCAATTGATGGTGGTTTCGCTGTTAGGGGGATGCATTTAGGAACAAAGTTGTATACCAAGCAAATTGTGTACCAAGATCTTGGGATATATATTAGGCTCGAGTTGATGGAAATGTATGATTTTCAGCAATTGGTGTCCAGTTACGAATACGTCGTAATCATTGGTAGATGAAGATCGTATGCAGAGCATAGTATCGTTTACTGAAGTTTAACTATTGACTACAGTGATGTCAGATGAAAAGTGGCTTTAATCAACGTATTATTTTAGATTAAGCATTATAACATGTCTTGAGCACACAACAACTTTCAAAGATCATGACGACACGAATTAATGTGTAACAACCCTAAAGAGCAAAAGACATTGTCGTTTATCTGTCTCTTCCCGTTCATTCTCTGTGTAGATCATTTAGAAGGAAGAAAAAAGATCATTCCCAACAAAATCAGACAGAGCTGGTATTTACCGCAGGAGTCTGCACATGATCACGACCATGATCATTGGAACCGGTAGCAGCAGGAGCTGCATGCTCAATCTTCCTCTTCGCAGTGAAGATACCGACCACACCACGCTCCTGGTTTGATCCGAGCCACGGCTTACGAGCCTCAGCGAGGACCCGACGACCAATAAAGTAGATGAGCTGACCAACAATGATCAGAACAAAGGCAATCGGATACATCCAGTGGATGTGGTAGTGGAAGACTTCAACACCGATGATAACACCCCAGAAGTTCATAGTGAGCATAGAGATGTTGAAGAAGGCCGCAGACGAGAGACGGAAGAGCAGCGGGGCGAGACAGTAGAACATACTCAGACAGAGAGTATAACCGGTTAGGTAGCCACCGACCTTGCCGTTCCAGTGGGCAGTGGCGAAAGAGCTTCGGTCGAAGATTCCAGCCTGGACACCGTTGATGATCATACCGAAGAAGGACATCTGCCCGAGAACCTCGTAGACGGGACGCGTGCTGACGAAGTATTCTTCGCCAGTGTTGGTGAAGCCGTAGAAGGTTGCGCCTAGAAGCGCGAACAGGTCGCCCTTTAGCTGGTTGCCGTGAGAAATGTCTCCGCCGTTGGTGCCGGTGATATGATCAGATGCGATGAGGATACCCATGCCGCCGATACAAATTAGGATACCCAGGA